CCCCCCCCCTAGATACGCCGTTGATCTGGCTAGTGTTCTCTCGCTATATCTATGGTTTCTACTGCTTTTTTAAATAATCACGTTTTGCAAAGTACTTGAATATAATAAGGTGTAGGAAAGGAATGTTCAGAGCAAGTTTTAATATGAATAACAAATAGGGGTTTTGAAGCTCGATGATAAACGGGAATTGAACACGAGCACAAGTAACTTTGTTTAGAATTTAGTGAAAAAAAAGCACAATATATTTTTAATTTTAAAAATTTCATACCAAAAATTACTGTTACCTATACACTTTCCGTCTATTTTGCATATTATTTTTTTTTTTATTGTGATTGCGATCTCACATTTATTTATATTTTTTTTGCCTTTTTTCAAGTTAATTTATAGTTTAGTGAGATTTGAGCGTTTTAATCCATTGCATTTTTGTTACAAAAATAATAACAAATTTACTACAAATAGATAACACTAACAACCTTGTCTATGGTTCTAATAAAACCTACATCTATGTAATGAAAATATGTGTTAAAAACAAACAGAAATTACGATAAACTGTAACTTGTAACTATAATTATTGTAAGAAATTCGTAAAATTGATGTGTAATTTATTTTTTATTTAAAACTTGATGTGTTATTAAAATAAAAAAAAACTTTCTAAATGGCCTATAAATTGTTAAAATTAGTGTTCATCGTAATGTGCCAAATGTTTTGGCCGTTTATCGATAAAATGCACATAATATCGCTTTTTATTCATGTTAGAAATTTTATTATCTGTAGTAGATGATTTTTAGTCTATGGATGTAGTGTTGCTATACGCTCTTGTCGAAAAAAACTTTGTAAAACCCTGAATACTTCTAGATGAGAAACTGTACATTGTGTATTTACTGTAAGCTGTTTAGTACGACTGTACTCAATATTGATATACTGTGACGTCACTTGTTGATGTCGAAAGAAATCTATTTTAAATATCATTGTATGAAGCTGTATGTTAACTGTATAGAAATAAAAATGAAAAATCAATAATCTTTTATTTATCATTAATGTCGTTTAAATTTGTTCAATTGTTTTAATATTATAAATAGTTAGGGGATAGAAATAATAGACAATAAGTAGTAACGATTTTTTAATAACAATTACATAACAAAAATTGCATCTTATATACGTTTTAAAAGCACCAGGTAGTTTTTACATTTAGGATAAATAAATATTTAATATCTTTTAATAAAATGAAAAATGAACAGTTTAAAGGATATGGAAGAGGAAGTAATAAAAGTTCAGTAAAGTAGAAATAGAAAGAAGAAAAGAACATTTTAGAAATACATAAAAAAAACTTGTATAAAGTAGTGATAAAATAAAAAAAATATGAGTTAAAAGGAAAATAAAGTATGAAAATGTTTTTTGAAAAAAAAAAAGATTGTGTGAAGCCGAGTCAAAGGAATAAAGAGATGAAAATCGTAGAATAGATAAGACAAAAGATATAGAGAATGGACTACTTTATGACATAAAAAAAGTTCATGCTAAAAAGAAGTCATATCGAGGAAAAATATAAATGAAAGAAATAAACATAGATAGAAAGACAAAATGTTCAAAAACCAGTTGAAAATCTATAGATTATTATCACTGCGATAGCTTTTCAAATACAAGAATCAATAGCCTCCTTATCTAAAATCTTGAGCTTATAGACAATGTTCACGTGTAAAAATACTCCATTGAATAAATTAGTGAAGTTATGTATATGTCCCAACGTTAACTTGACTTAAATAATCACAATTAAGCTATGCAAAGAAAATTCTTGATTCTTTTAAAAATGACCGAGAAAGAAGAAGAAGAAATAAAAACGCATAGAGTAAAAGCAAAGAAAGTCAAAGAAATATCAGGAAAGATACAAACACGTAAAGAATAATAAAAGGAAACATGTAATAAATATAGAAGAAAAATAAGAAAGATAGATTAAATCAAATAAGATAAGATCTAAGAACATAGAAAGGCAAAAAGTACAGATAAGAAAGCTTAAAAGCGTAATAAATAAAAAAAAGAAGAATATATTATATATGAATGTAAGAAAGTAAAGAGAGAATAAGGGATGAAGATGAAACATAAAAAATGTTGACAGTAAAATAAATAGAAAAGAATAAGTAAAGAGACTTGACAAAGTAAGGTTTTAAAAAGAGATAAAGCAAAGAAGAAAGGAGAATAAAGCATAAGAAAGATAGTAATAGAAATAGAAAGATAATATAGAATGAAATATAAAAGCGATAGTGTAAAAAAGACATTTAAAGAAAATATGCGAAACCAATTACTTTTTTGTAAATTTGATACTACAAACTTTTTTGTTTACAGTCAACGTAAAGAAATGCTCAGAAAGGAAATGTGACTGAAAAGTGGATAAAAAAACAAACATTATAGTAAATTAAGTAGAAATAAGAAAGTATAGACAGTAAAATACGAGGAAAAACATGTAACATATTTATATTTGTAAATGTAATGGAAGGGTAACGAAAATAAGAAATAGCAAAGAATAATGTTTAAGACGAAAGAAAAATAAGAAATCAAGCATGTGTAAGAATTATAGGATGTGAGGTAAAATAAGAGTGAAGAAAGTTATTAAATTAGAATTAAGAGTAGATGAAAATAATAATGAATGAGAAATCTGAAAGTAAGAATGAAATGAGTATGTATAAATAATTAATAATAATTTGAAATCGTTTAATATAAAATGTTGTAAAGGAGAATTTAGTGGAGGAAGAAAAAAAGAGAAGTATTATACTATTGAATGAATAAAGAAAATAAATGGAATTTAATGATGTTTTGGATAATGAAATGTAAAATAAAGAAATTCCAACCGAAAAGAACGACAGTTACAAATTGAATGATTTTGTAAGTATTGGTCATAGTGTAATTGATGTTAAGCGACAATTTAAGATAATAGTTAGGTATAGTAAAAAATAACAAAATAATGTATAAGGTGAATTAACTATAATAATTAAAATAATTTCTAATAGAATAGGATACGTAGTTTAACCAGGAAATATAAATAATAATCAGATTAGTATAGAAGACAAATCAAAGAAAATTAATCATAAAATGTAGAAAAGAATGGTATACAGATGTAATAAGATAGATTTAATAAGTAGGGATGGATTGTGTGAAAGAGGATATGCTTAAGAAGAGAGTGGATTCAGATATAACGGCTGATAGGGCAAGTTGATAGATAGGCAAAGGCATGAGGATAGATATAATAATAAGAAAAATGAAGTATTTAAGTAAACAAATATAAAAATTATACATATATAGCATTTACTGATACATTAATAAGTAATTAATAATAATATAATGATAAAAATACATACAAAGAATCACGAGGAATATGAAATGATACAAGAAAAATGACAATAAAATATGAAATATGAGAAGAAAATACGGAACAATGAAAAGAAAATTGTTTAAAAGTATATTTTCTAATTGTGATATTCTGCATAATGAGAAAATATTATGTTCATGGGTATGAAGATGATAGAAATAGAAGTATGAAATTGAAATGACAAGTATAGCGGCTAAAATTAACGTAAGTAGAAGAATGATTAGGAAATATGAGAATAGATGTGAGAAGAGTACATTTGTAAATGCGAAATAACGATAAAGGAATAAGTAAAGTGAAAAGAAACGTTTTAATAAGGAATAACACAAATATTGATGAAGTTAACCAAGAGTTACAATTTATAGCTGCTTTTGTAAGTAGTAAATAGAAAGTAAAGACAGAAAGACACAGATGAGTTGTTGATAATATAATAAAAAATAATAAGAAGACTTTAAAGAATGACATAGTGAAGGCGTAAAGTGAAATAAAATTGCTTAAAAAGTTAAGTAAGAAAAATAAGATTATGTTAAAGTATATCGATGAAATGGTAGAAATGTATAAAGATAAGAATGTTGTTTAGAAAAATGACATAGTGAAGTATAGAACGAAAATGAAATAAAAGTGTTTGAAAATTTGCATAACAAAAAAAATTATGTTAAAGTATATGAATAAAATGATATAGTTAAATGTAAAAAATATAGAAAGATAAGAATGCATATAGTATTAAAAAATCAGAGTAAAGTGTAGATGAAAAGTTAAGGACAATAGGGCATTAAAACTGGTAAACGTAATAGTATAAAGGTAATTTTAAATAAAAATATTATAAAAAGTTTAGAAACAGGAGAATAAATTGAAATAGTAAAATAGAGTACAGATATAGCGATAGCTCAAATAATATAGTGTATTGTGGTAAATAATATTAAGGAAGAAAAAGAGAAAGATGTTTGGCAAGATAGTGGCATAAACTGCAGAGGAAAGATAAAGCATAAATAAAATAAAATGTGAGTACATTCAGTATAATATAAATAATATAGTCGAAAGAAATTGTACAGTTCTCTCAAATATAATATAAGAAATACATAAATATGAAAATAAAATAAGTTGAGATTGCGAAAGAAAAGAAAAGCGATGAAGGAAAAAAGCGAAGTAAAGAATAGAAAAAATAGAAAATAGAAGAAGTAAGATGAATATAGAAAATGCTTAATCGTGAATTAAATACCATCACCAAAATGAAATGAAACGAAAACAGAATAAAGAAAGTGTATTATATTATTGAAAAGTGAAGTTTTGAAATACAAACAGTGGTAAAGCAAGATGATAAAATAAAGCGGTGAAAAAAGTACAGTCAGAAATTAAATATAGAGAACAGTGAACAAAGAAAGAAGTGAAAACATAAGCAGTGAAAATGGCAAAAGAACAGGAACAAGTATAAAAGAAACAGATAAAATTAAATACATTTATGAGTATTAGATTAATATGGAAACGAAAAACTACCAAGGTGCATATCACAGTGTTCTTTAAAACTTAACAAATAACAAAAAAAGGAACTTTAACAAAGTCGGTAACTCATAAACCAACAAAAACCTCTAAAAATCGACACAGGTCTTTAGCCTGCTTGTATCCTAATTATAAAATAGTGCAAAAACAGCGTAATTCACCGTCTAAAACAAATGTGCGGTAATTCGCTAACTCTACTCTACTATCACGGAAACAATACTGTCTTTGGTAACATAATGAATAATAACAGACATTTCATAAACTAGGCAAGTTTGTGCTTAAAAAACAAAGATGAGGGTAGCTAAGAATAGACAAGGCTTCTAGAACCACGTGGTCATCCGCCATTTTGTTTTTTATATTATAAACTACCCTCTAAATAATAGTTTACTTTCCATATCCAGATTCCTCTTGATTGTTGACGGGGTAATCAGCATACCAACCGAAAGCGCCATTGTCACCAGTGTGGGCGCCGAAGTCGACGTATTCACCGAAATCGGGCGGCCTCTCCGCGTACTGTGAAGGTTGGGCGATAGGCGCTGGTGCTGAATCTTTTTCTTGTTGCTGGATTTGAAGTAGCCTTGCTGGAGCTTCAGGTTGTGGTGGTACAAGACCTATTGCTGTAAAGACAGTTTAGTTAGTCTTAGAAAGGAGTTATTCTTAAGTTGTAAAAAAGGGAGATCTGATAAATTACTGTAAAAATCAAGACAATTGTCAGTTGATGCCTGAATATGTCTGTTTATATAGTTCATTACTTATGTACAGTTAAATGAAGTGTATCGAATTCAAGACCCGTATGGTGTAACCGGTAAGATCATGCCAGACATTAACTTGCAACACGCCGGATTCTAGGCCAGTCTTGCTTAATCTATACATATGATAAAGATGAAATATTTGTATTTTTTTTTGTATATTCGATTCATGTAAAAACTACTGGGCTGATTTAAAAAATTCTTTCACCATTAGAAAGGTAATTTATCTGTGAGTAACATAGGCTATATTTAATTATTACTAATGTATAGAACCCATTAATAAATAGCGTATGTCTGGACCTGCGCGTTTAAAAACAACATAATTTTAACTTTCCACGGCTTACGCTGCAATCAATAAATGTTACTATATTAAAAAACAATTCGTTCGTATATTAGCAGTCTAAATAAGCAAGTTGTGTTATTTAGGAATTCCTTGAAATACTAATGTCGGAAGGCGTCTAAATTATACAACAATCCAGAAGCGATTTACGTAGTTGCCCATTTAGATTGTACATATTTGTTATGTTGTGCAAATGTTGAAAGATAAGATCAAACAATGGATATATAACATTATTAACACAATGGGTATTGAATATAAAGAGGTTTGTAGAAAGTGTAGCGATCCTTTGTCGCAGTGAAAGTGAACTTGATGGATAGCCGTGCAGCACTGCCTAAATTCATCTCGCTTTCTTAGCTTTGAATGATCACTGACATGCTGAATGACTGTGTGCTTTGAAATTCAATATTTCTTGTAGACAACTAGTTATTTGTTTTTTTAGTACTCTTAGATCCTTTTCTAATTTGTTTTATGATTGAAAATTGCATTTCAATATTTGTTTTTCCTGAAATGGCGTATAAAAAAGTGGGTAGCATTGTTATTGATCCATAAATGGTTTACGCTAAGGTGGATTATTGGTTAATTTAACCTGTCCAAATTAAAAAAAAAATATTGAAACAACTTTAATTTCCGAAGCATTTCTGGCAAGAAGAATTTCAAGAGAATAACTCAATATAAAATGATGACTTACGTTGTTGTTGATATCTCTGCACTGGTATAGGCTGGTAATCCTCTTGGTACAGTGCATGTGGCAGCGGCGGCTCCAGCGTCTGTCGGGGCAGGCGTCTCGCCCTCATTGCTGTCAGATCCACGAACGCTATCTGGTCTGCTGGTACTGCGATGTATGACGGCATGGCGCCTACTGCCGCGATTGATATTAATATTATGAACAACTGTTGAGAAAAAATATGTTATTTAATAATATGTTGTTGGTACAAGTGTTAGGTATGTAAGGCTGACATGGCCAAGAGCATATTCAACTCCTTGCGATGCTTAAATGTTTCTAAATTAAATTTAAACGTACTTTATTAATGTATTTAAATGAGAAATAAATAAAAAATGGATCAATTTTCTTCATTATCTTTCTATCTACGAGTAATATTGTTTATTTATCAATGTAAGTAACAGTTAAGATAGATTCAATATGTCGTAATGAAAATCTCGGCAACATTAAAAGCACGTTGTGTCTGGATTTAGTATTGAGCTAAGTACAACTTGATAGTTGTATCCGTAAGATGTAAGAAACAGTAAGCTATGATTGCAAGTTAACACCATATTAATTAGAATGCAACCCGCGAAGTGTGTCATGTGGTAAGTGGTTGGCGGGTGGTCGTGCTCCACTGCCCATGTTACAACATTGCAACTCACGTCAATATCCTATCGACGCCATATTTGAATGTGTCAATCAATTGATCGCACGTTATAAAAATAAATTGTGAAATATAAAAAAGACAAAGAAAGAAAAAACAACTAAAGGCGAATTCAGAAAACTTTGTATATTTTTTCCTACTTATCTAATATAACTTCTAACTAATATTACAAATACGAAAGTTCAGATGGATGGATGTTTGTAAGAGTTTGTAGCCTAAATGGCTAAACGGATCGAGATGAAATTTGGCATAGATGTAGAGCATAGTCTGGAATAACACTGGATACTTCTTTTCTAATTCCTCGTTTACGGAATCGCCGGCAAGAGTTAGATTACAGACACATTAAGTTTTCGAATTGTTTGTTAGGTGGGAAGTATGAGTGGGACGCAATAGGAAGCATTGAGAGTTTGCGTGGGATAATCACTCCCACGTAAGCCCTAACTTTCAATAATCCAAGATCAGATAACACTTCCTATGTTACGAAATTGACACATTGCATTGATATGTAAATACCGTTTACGATGAATAATGATTACTCTTATAAAATGTTTGTTTAGAAATTTCTCAGTGAAATGCGCAAATTGACAATTCTAGACTCTAGGACATAGAGACGTTTACTTCCATGCTGTCCTATAATCTACCACAAAACTTGAGAGTCGGTTTAAGCTGACTTAATTATAAAAACATTTTTTTTAAATTGCATAAAACTTTTAGTAAGTAATTGTATAATAATAATTTAAAGATTAAATAACGTTCAACTTGTAAACGATGAAATAAAAACTTGCAAAGTGGAACTTTCAAATACGTTTCAAGTGAAATTATTCTTACGTAAGTTCAGCTATCTCTTGCTCAATTTGACGGTCGAAATGTTGTACAATTGTCGCTACATGAAATCGGATCGGAAGTTACTTACGTATTACTTTTAGAAAGTAAAAGGTAACGATTGCCTTGAGGCAGATTATACCACCGAACAAATAACGGGAGCAAGACCGAACACATATACGCTTATTGCAGTGAAAACGAAATTGTTTAACGATGACATGTAATACAGTCTGCATTACTTGTATTGGAAATTTTTTATAAGAGCCTTTGTTTTATAACTTTTTAAGTTTTTTCAACGCTGAAGTTTGTTCGCCAACTTTACAAATTTATCGTAGTCTTGACTGTTCTATATTTACTTAACTAATTAACTTTATAATAATATTCTAATTAATATTTATTAGTTAAGTTACTTTTTTTGTTACTAGCTATCGCGCGCGACTCCGTTCGCGTCGAGTTAAAAAAACAAAAGTAAGTAGCCTATGTGTTCTTCCAGACTATGCTCTACATCTATGCCAAATTTCATTCAGATCCGTTAAGCCGTTTAGGCTACAAACTCTAACAAACATCCATCCATCCATCTAAACTTTCGCATTTATAATATTAGTAATGTAGATTACAATAGATAATTGGCCATACTGCTAAATCCCTGAAGTTTGCTTATTCCAAAAGACCTTTACCTTTTCTAATAATCTTTTGTCCCGTTAGAACGACAAAACATCATAAAGAAATCAATTTAAGTACTTAATAAATAGTTTTCTCACAAACACAGGTCGGAACAATATCTGTTTGGCCATTTAAGGTAAGGTACTAAAAGATAATCGATATTGGCTGTGGGTTTCAGTTGAGCCAACGCCCGTGCCCGTTCGCCTTCGGGCTGGAGGCGAAAGGTCTCGATGCCATTTACTTCGCCCAACAATAAAACAAGTAAAGCGCCAATGTTATAAGATATTTACGTCGAGATCACGGTCACCATATGTCCGGTTGACACACGGACAATGTTTAAAGTTCTTTGACACGAATGATTGGATTAATTAGTATTAAAATAATATCTACTGCAGCAATAATTTTCTGTATATAAAAAATTGTCGTTCTTTGCTGATAGAAGAGCTTTTTTAATGATAAATTGTTAGGTTTAGTAAATTTATAGGTTATACGGGATCAATAAATAAAAGTTTTTCACTTTATAAAAAAGCAATTAACTGTGATTAAGAAGGTCCTTAAGTGAAGATATTGTTTTACAGATCTGTACTAAGGGACAATCAAAACAGACTGCTGTAGAATGACTAATTTTTCCACGAATCATTGTCATTTTTTTTTATTTTAATATCCTGTATTTTGTAAGACACGTGGTGACCGCAGTAACAGAATCAAGGCCACATTACCAAATAACTTTTACTTGTTCACGGTTATTACGTGAAATAGAATAAACGGTCTCACTTTTGTCATTATTTGGAGTTGTCTGTGCCCTATATTTGTCAACGATTTATCTAATTTTAAAAAGATAAACACGCTGTTACAATAACGTGGAATGAAGAAATGTAACAACGTAAGTAAACGAAATATTTGACAATTAAAATGTTTGCTTTTTAAGGACCTGTCCCACTGCAACACAAAATCCGATATTTCTATCTCGTATTTTACACGTTTTTTATCAGACAATTTACAATTTGGTGGGACAGACCCTAAATATTTTGAATAAAAAAAATGAAATAACTTTCCGCAAAAATAACAGTTATAGTCAGTTGAAAGTAAGAGTTTTTGGTATCCACGCTATTATGTAAATTGTTAATTTAAAAAAATGCAAGTTTTTAAACGTTTTTAGAAGTCGAAGTTTCTAAAGGTTTTTTTCGCTGACGGTTTTTTATCGTTTCGCTCCACAGATTATCTAACAAGAGTTACGTGGGTCATTACCACTCTTAGTTTATCGTGAGATAGAGTGTATTTACTAAACATTTATTAGCTACGTGTGATTAGCACTGGAAGGCATTTCTTCATAGAATAAAAAAAGACAACTGAAATTGTTTTACAAGTTTGCTAAGTGTTGAAATTAACAATTTTAGATCTAATAAATTAACAAAAACAAACGTAACATGTCAAAAAACTAATTAAACCACGACCAATTATTTAACGTGATAAGAAAGCGGGCAGTTGTAAATTTTCATTGAAAAAAATGTGGAAATCTTATCTAGGTTAAGAAAATAAAAACAACTATATCATGCATTTATATACCACTTGCCTCAGTTTTGTACTTTTCATTTTTTTATTATGTAATAGCTTTATAAAAAAAAACTTTAATTACAAAAAAATATGCCCCAAGATACATCGTCTTATAACATTTTTTGTAACAAATGTGAATGCAAAATTCAAATAGAAATATTCATACTTCAAAACTAGTTCATTGTCTTAATTAGAAAAGCGTTTAATTACCCACGGCCTTGAGTACAAGAGATACCGCACTTTTACGTTCTGTTAATAGTCTTGTAATCGCATTAAAATTGTTAATTAACCATTACTTAACATAAAAGCTCGGTAAATTCAACTTGGAGTAACTACTTCCGTAAATTATTGTACCATAATTGTTATATTTGATTTCACTGTTAACAATATCTGAATATGTTATTTGATAAATCTAAAAAAGAAAAAACTCTCTTTTTTTTATTTTATACTTACATTAAATATAAAACTTATAGCAACACTAAATAAAAAAAACAACTGACCATAACTTCCAAATGGCGGGAAACTGGTAAAACTGTACAACGGTCGCGCGCGGCACGCTTCGACTGAACTCGCAATAGGCCACACTACAATTTTTATAGCAACCTTTCGGCAAAGCGGTTTCACTTTCTACACGGAGGCCCCTAGTCCGGACTTGGAGTACTTTTTTTACGCCTGATCAGTCTTTAATGGTAAACAAAGGAACCAAAGCCCTCACCTGGGTGGTTCGTTAAGAGGCAAAGGCAATACGCATTCTGCCAGATGGCAACCGTGCTTTAATCAAGATCATTTTTTTTGTTGATCATTGTTTTTCTTTTACCCGTCTGTCAAAGAGTATTTTTTTTTCACGGATACTATTTTTGTATTTGCATGCCAGTTTAAACAAATTGTTTGATTTGAAGTGCGAAATTAAATTCTATTTGTAGGTACTTATTTCTCTTGAATGTTGTAAGGTATCTTTCAAACTTTTTAAATTATTTGATTCCGTATTCCCAGTATCAAGCTTTGAATATTAAATCGGTCAGAGGGTCATTTCTTTCAATGCTCCAGTTAACATAAGTAGAGTTCAGTTAGAAATGTAAGTATATCACAACACGCGACATTACATTCTCTACTTCCTGATAATATACAAGGTTTTCTAAGTGTTCGAAATAAAACAATAATTTTAGTTAGTAATATATTGTATAAATATGTAAGGATTCAAGGTGTAGCGAAGTCCGAGAGGTGTTACTTATTCCTAACTTTATAGACTGAGTGTTATAACATAACTAAACTTAACAACTAAATTTAATTGCTTTAAAAAGCATGTTTATTGATAGATCAAGTCAAGGTCCCAAGGTTGGGAAAGTACTTATAAATATATCCGTCCAAGGATATTTACAATGACTAGAAAAATATACGGTGTTAATTTTTTTTCCTAATACACCTTTACTTCTGTGGCCAGTATTCAAACTTTAAGCATATCTACATTTAAACAACCAGTTTCATTTAGTGTGCGTTTAATGAAAGTAGATCAATGTTGCCTTATAAAAATTTAACAATCTTGTTTTGCATTTGCGGCGAACAGAAAGTTTAGGGTAAAAGAGAGGGGGTTATTAAAAGCTGTTATTTTATCAGTGAGTAAACTGAATATCTGAGAAGGTTTTTATTACATTTTTTTATGTTTGCTAAACTAGCGCTTGACCATGATCCCACTTGAAGAACCAATAAATAAAGAATTATGCTTTCTCCTAAATTATATAAAAATGTTATTAGATATGAAAGAAATCGCTGGACGAAGCCAGAGATCAGAAATAAAATTATAGGTAAAATAAGTCCGGTGTGTTTAAATTATCTTACTAATATTATAAATGCGAAAAGATGGATGGATGGGTAGAGTTTGTAGCCTAAACAGCTAAACGGATCTCGCTGAAATTTAGCATAGACGTAGATGACGTCTGAAAGAACACATAGGCTACTAATTTTTGATTTCTTAATTCCACGCGGACGGAGTCGCGAGCAAAAGCTAGTATTTTTATAAGTTACTTAATGCTATAACTGTATTGAATTTCAAGTAAATGTAGGCTGCAACGTTTTCTTATTATAGATAGTTTACAAGAAACCGGACCTGGTAACAAAGTAGTTGACATTATGACAGTGTTATAACTTCGCAAAAAGCTGTTTTTACGTTCACAAGCAATATGTCAGTAGGTACTTGTTGCTTGTAATTCAAGTTCATAACTTTAAACTTGAATTTATAAAACGTTTTGAAACAAAAAACAACTTCCTTTGTTGGCTATTGCACAGATTAACAATTAACATAGATTAGCCAAGTAAAATAGAATGAAATGTCTAATGTGACTATTAATAAACTTTTTACTAATAATATTTTCCATTTGAATTTATTATAACATGGTAATTTATAAAACCTGATGAAGATAATGACCCAGTTCTAAAATATAGGTTATCATACTAATGTTATAAATGGGAAAATTTAGATGGGAAATTTGTTAGAGTTTGTAGCATAAACTGCTGAATGGATTTCGATGAAGTTTGGCATAGATATAGAGGATAGTCTGGAAGAGGACATAGACTACTTACTTTTGTTTTTTAATTGAGTCGCGGCCAAACGTTAGTAGTAGTAATCTTTGTCGTCATCGCATTTATAAAGACCGGGAAATATATATTAAGATGTACATAAGTATTGAAAGTGCGTGGGCAAAATTGTATACTATGCTATCGTTTAAAAGGGTAATTACTGGTATTGCTTTGTGATTATTTACAGAATAAACTAAATACATTCAAATGTCAAGCCCACGCCCACGCCGGTATCCGCCCACTCTGTTCACTTGAAGAAAAGTTCAAAACCAGTTTAATATTTAATTAAGATAAAAGATCAATTACAAAACAATCACGTCTGTTTGTTAAAATAAGCTTAGTTTAGTTTAATTTTAAACTAGCTGTTCCCATGCGACTTCATTCGCATGAAATTATGAAAATTGTTTTATTGGTTGAATTTGTCAAATTCAATTGCAAATGTCAAATTGACATGACATGATGACAAAGTATGGTCATTTTGCTTCCTTGATGTTGGCAGTAACTTATGGTCTCTTTCCCGCATTTAGGTTTTTATCCAAAATATTTACCCCCTAAGTTTAATGACGTGAAAATCTATAGCCTAAAGCGTGACGTAAGTGTAGGGCATTTTATTAAAAAAAGAGTTAATAAAAAATATTTTGTAATTGCTGACATCTTAGGCAACAAAGAAGTGTGTGTTTATGCTTTATTATAATAGTATAGATTAATTGTTATATCCAGGATTAACTGTTATATTCAAACATGTACAGCTTAATCTTTAAAACTTATTTCTACTCGATCGATCGAGGAACATTTTAAAAACACTTTTCATTTATACAAATGCTTTATCGATTTTTTTTATTAATGTGTTTTATTTCACTATCCTTATAAGTAAATGTGGCGTAGTTACATTAACACGTTGTGTAACTCATTTATGCACCGCATGCATTACTTACGACAGACGCAAACATTTAGACCACTTGCAATTTACTACCGCATTTAGAACCCTATGTAATTAATGTTACAGAATAAAAATATTTTAATACTTAATATTTAGCCTGTTTTAGTATTTTTTTCTAATAATTCGGAGCTTTAAAATATGACTGTTACATTTTTTAATCGTGTTTTTTTTTCGAAAAGCACTTCACATATGTGACCGTACTTCTTTGTATTTTGGCAATAGTGTAACTATTTTCTAACCTCTAAAATGTTTTCTAAACTGAAATATAACTGTAAATAAGTTATCAAATTATCTTTTAAAAGCAAATAAAAGCTGGAAATTCAAGATAACTATAGTAAACTATTAGTTATAATATTTATGTCTTAGACGAGTAACAAATCTCAGACATCCGTATCCGTGTACTGCAAGAGAAACTATTTGCGTTCATTTATCAGCTAGTTAGTGTCTACATGAAGCGCCGACTAAATATTGCATCCTGTTACATAAAATATATTTTAACATCTCATAATATTACGTTAATTTCCAAATAAACTCTTAGAAACTGAGCATTTTTAACAGAATTTGGTTTAAAAAGAATATGAAATTAATGCAGGTATAGTATAGGTGTAGCTTTTGTATTATCTGTGATATGAATCTGTGACGTCTCGAATAACCCTATAGTTAATTTTTTATGGTAAAAAAATCGTTTATATTTAAAATCATTAGAATGATAAACGAAGCTTACAGTGATTATGTCTGCTGCCTCCGTAAGTTTCTTTTCCAATTGGTTATTTTCTTTGCGTTCCATCAATTTGCGATTGTCCGCGCTCCGTCAACCGAACAGTTACATAACGTCGGCTTAATCTTTGTAACAATAGGTTTACTTCTATATCGCCAGCATTTAAAATGCTTTTTTCTTTTACTAAAATTAAAAACTAACTTTCATAATTTTCACTGAACAAATACTCGTTACAAATACTGGTTACGTGAACAAAAAAAACATACAAACGAATTGAGTACCTCCTTCTTTTGGGAAGTCGGTCAAAAAGGGAGTGATGACGTATGATAGAGTTATGTGGAGGACATAAACTTGTCGCGCCGACACTACGGGAGTAGGATAAGAAGTAGGATGATGATGATGACTATTTACATGGAGTTTAGTAAGAAATTCGCTGTGTAAAAAACATTTTTATAAATTTTCATAAATAAGTTCTTTAGTTGTTTCGATAATAAGTCAAAAATAACTCTAAAACATTGAGATTCACAATCAAAAAAAATATTAAACGTCCCTGATTATTGTTAAAAGAAAGAAGCAAGAGCAAATTACCAAAAACCTTTAGTTTCTGCTTACTCTCCGTTACAGATTTAAAAGTCTGTAAATCTGCACTTATTTGTAAAGTTAACAGCATTCCCACAACTGGTTATTTATTTGATAATCTAAATTGTCAAGCAAAATCATAACAAAATATCTCAAACTATCGCACAACCGTTGTGTTGTTGTCGATTGTTTCGCAGCCAATTCAACTGTTGCCTAACTAAAAATCCAGTACTATGCGCGATATAAGCTCATAGGAATCAAAGCGAGACTAAAAAGTTATGCGATAGTTTAGTTTCAGGTGTGCGCACACTCTAATCATGTTAGATTATATCTCGAAGCCTTGATAGATAATATTTATGATTCTACGAGCACAAATTCGGTTAATGACCAGAGATACGAGGGAAGTTGACATAGACAAATGTTAGGTTTACTAAAGTTCAAAGATTATAAAACTATTGCGTTATTGCGACAATTATTTTAATAAACGAAAGATTTATGACGTCTAAAAGACTAAAGTAAAATTATGGATCTACGTTTTTTAATAACAAGTACATGTTTGTGCTTAAAGTTGTGTTATAGCTTGTTGTTTACTACAGATCTACGATTCTTAAAAGGGTTCAGGTAGAACTGGATGACCATAGAAGGCTCAGCGAGAAAGTACGATGTGTGAATACAATGTCAAAGATTCAATGAATAACAAATGCTTGCTAGTGTCGAACCAATAACATTTTAAGAACTGCTATAGATATTCTGAACAATACAATTTCAATAACAATCTAAATTGCCAGTTCAAAGAGAAGTGAGAAGGGGCCAATTCACAAGAGCACGATTTGCATAACACTTTCGTTTTCACACTTAACGAGTCCGTGACAAAACAATAACAGTTGCGTGCAACATCGATGTTATCCAGACCCGTAACCGTGACCGATGCTATCAGATATCCGAAAATGGAAAAAAAATTGTAACCGTAACTGAAATTGATCCGAACGAATTATAAGAAAAATATATCTTTTGCCCTTGTAAATGTACCTTGATTGCCTTACCATTATTTTCTCTCTGTCGAAAACCATTATAAAAATCTATACATATAGTAAAATTAGAGTGTCTGTTTGTAATATCAAATGAAAAATTCCAGATTTCAGGAAGATAATTTAATTGCGTTGCTGATAACGAAAACCGCATTTAATTTTTTTTGTCTGGCTATCTGTCTGTCTGTCTGCAAGTCGCCTTTGTTCCCGGAAATATCCGAAACGGCTGGACCAATTTGGAAATAGCTACGGTTCACTCGGGATAAACTGATTTCGTTTCTGTCATTCTACGCGGACAAAGTCGCGAGCAAAAGCTAATAGTTAATATTTTAGTTTGTTACAGTATCGAGTACTTATAGCCTTTCTAACCAGCATTGTAGGGAGTTCTGTAAAGGTTTCATTTTCGAAAGCTTAGTTGGAGTATAGCTTTCTCTTTGTCCCGCCCTCGACTGTTCCCAGTTCAACGACAAACATTTCCGCGTTGAAGTAAATTATCATTTTATCCGCGTAACAAAGCATTTCATTATTGTTTCGCTCTAAGCCATTGTTTGAGATCATTTTGTTTTCGGTTGTGAAATATTTTGTAAAGATTAAACTCTCGGTGCTGAAATAATCAAGCCTAAAATTTTATTATTTAAAAAAACACATAAAAAGGACGTGTACCTTTGTTGCTTTTAATAATGCAGACTAAAAAAACTTATTTTAACATGAGGTACGTAAGTCGACTGACTTACGTAGGTACCTCATGTTCCAATCAAGGGACTCCTTAGGATGTCTCTTAGCGTATACTTTAAATGATTGATGGAGTCATAAAGTTAATCGATGTATAACTTTTATTATATTGTTATTTGATTGCGTTTGAGTCCCGCGTATGAAATGTTCACACGAGATTAATTAGAGCCAAAGCTATTAGTACATTTTATTACGAAACCGATGTAGAAACAATATACATTTTGTACTTTACCACGGTCATAAAGTTACACATCTTTTTAAGTAATAAATTACTTCCAAAACAATGTTATGGAAAAGGTTAAATTCAAAACATAGTTGGGAATAAAGCCATTTTGATATAAAATACCTTGTACTGTAAAGTACAATCTCATTTAAGACACATAATCTATACTAGCTTACAAAATCTTAAAAAAAAATATTAACACGACTATTTTATAATTCTTTTTAACATTCGGCAAAGACAATTTAATCAGATTCTTCTTTAAAAAAAACTTAACTATAGTGTTTTATCTGTCCCAACGAGCCAAACTCCATATTTACATAATTATTTTGTCTCCATGGAGGCCATGTTGGAAAATAATGGCGGTAAAAGCAATTATATTATTCAATCGACGGTTGTATAACAGAATCGTTAACAAAACAACTAACACGTAATAAAAAAAATTATTGTATAATTTATGCAATCATAATGCTGCAATTTCTGTCATTATTGATATTTATCAAAAAAAACTATGAATTGAAAAAACTGATTACCACGTAACGTTTGTGGCCAATGTAAAAAAAATGTTTAAAGACATTTAAATAAGATTTAGTTGATTAGCGTAAATTAAAATAAAACTCTTAAAGTCGCTCTGAATATTGTTTTTTATTTAACACTATTTTTTTTACAAAAAATCAATCTTAACTATACATTCGAGTGAGAGTAACATTTGAAATTTACTACCTCCATATTGTAGACGCAACCAAAATTAAAAATTTAAATACAAAATTCGATATTTAAAATGCAGAAAATCTTTTACTGGTTATTGTTAACAAAAAATAAAAAAGAACTATTTGTAATTACGAAAAATGCTTTACATTTACATATAGAAGGACTTTTTTATTTTTTTTATGAAGACTTCGTTCTTTCAAAATATAGAGGTAGCAGTACAATAGCCATGAATAATGCGGGACATATACGTTTTTTGTGTCTTTCAAAAAATCTTTAAAGAAATACGTATAAGATAAAATTATTTACATTACGTTATGCTTATTTCCTTTTTTTCTTTGGAAAACAGTTTTGAAATAAACAAAAAATTGTCCGTCATAGTTTTTGGAAATCTATTTTTTTAATAAAAAAAAAATCGTTTGCCTGCTCTGTCTACAAATATTATAAATATACCATTCACAGCAGAATAAATATTTGTACTTTATGGCACTGTTTTTCATTTATGCGTATACCAAAGAAAATTAAAACTATTAAGTAACTTTTTATTAAAAAATACAAAAAAAAACTGATTTAGCACCATTTATGCAGTGGACGTTGACTTCAAAATTACATAAAAAATGGCGGGAATTTTTACTATTTTAAAGTAACCAAATTGTTAACTTTACAACTGCTGTACTCACAATCATTATCTTCCTCAGTAAACACTCAGGGAAACATTAGTGTCTCGCGAGTAAATAATCGCTTGCCATTTTCTGTATAGTTAACTCCACTTTCGACTTATTTTCTACAGTTTTACAAAATCTACAAAGCGATAATGTTAAAGCTTATCTACTTATAAAAAAAATAACAGCAGTTATTTACAATCACAGACTAAAAAATATGACATATGATGAAGGCGGTGTTGCCATGAAATAGTCTCTTGTAAAAAAAACTTTATTCAGATCAAAAAATTGTTGGTATCTGCGAATATTTGAGATGCATTTTTACATGTACGGTATCAAATCAACAATGTCATTTATTTACTAAATAATTAAAACTAATACAACATAAAGATTGAAGGCTTGAACATTTAACATGTGGAACATTGCCCAATATAATAGACAAAAAATTACAATTTAACTAAATTATATGATAGCCCGCTGCCTATATTTAACTGACTTTTGTTACTGTAAGTTAGCTACATTTTTTTACCAATGACAGTTACTAATAAATCTGAATTTTAGAAAAATCCTGCAAAATCATGGTCATAATACATTTTACAAACAAAATACTACGAGTTTTTTTTTTTTCCTTCATTGGTAATTAACAACCGTGTACACTTTTAAACATTCCAAAGCCTTCAATATACAAAATAACAGTAATAATGTAGTTTTTGCATATATACAATATACAACTAATGCTGTGTTCGACTTAAATCGTCTAAATTATGATGAGAATCGATTCTGTTCATGTTTGCTTTGAATTCGTCTCTCGTTTTCAAAGACGGTGTGCTGGGAACCGATTCTATTTCAATATTACTTCTTTCTTTATTAATAAAATCTTCATTTGAACCATTTTGTGCTGGTTTACCGAATTCTGAGTACGATAGGTCGAAATTGGATACGGATTTTAATTTATCAGACGCCTCTAAACCTGCTGATAGAGATTTTGACGGCGATAACGGTGTCAGATCTATGAAAAAAAAAAATATCTTACTAATATTATAAAAGTGGAATTTTAGATGGATGTTTGTTACAGTTTGTAGTCCAAATTGCTAAACGAATCTTGATGGAATTTGTCATAGATGTAGAGGATAGTCTGGAAAAAGACATAAGCTACTTTTGATCCCAGAAATATTTGCAGTTCCCATGGAATATACCATTTTTTCCCAATATATCATGATAATCTGGAAGACCAGTTAGTTAATATTTTTTTTAAACCATACCGACGCAGTCGCGAGAAAAAGTTTTTTTTTTAATTTACCTTTGCCTAGTTCCGTTGTGGTTTCCTCGCTACGGTCATCCTTGTGGTCTTTGGGCAAGGAGGACGAGCGGCTGCTCGGTAACATACCCAGCACCCTAAATTATAAATATAAATAAATTAAAACCGTATTTTTATGGAAATAATGTTAAGAATAATTTATCGCGTTAGACCAGTTATCTATACTAATATTATAAAGAGGAATTATAGAAACAAAGGATATTTTTTATTTATTTTTTAATTTCACGCGGACGACGTCGGGAGCAACAGCTAGTTTATATTAAAAAGAGTTGAACAATGTCATAGTTTACAATAGTTTATAATCTCTTAAGTTTCTTTATCTTTTGATAACTTTGTGAAGCAACCAAAAACTGTTCAAATCGAAGTGACATCTAAGCGGATATTAAGAACAGTGACGTCACAAAACTCGGCCGCGTTTAGTCACTCAAAAATATATAAATTAGGTTCAATGGTTTGTTTTTATTAAGACTTTTTCTGTCTATGTTATAACTAGTAGGTTTAAAATTAGTAAAAAGACATGCATATTTCATATTAAAATGTGTCGTGTCACCTGGAGTTGCCGAGGTCTCCGAAGGGCGTGTTGGGGGCGGCGCGCGGCGGCGAGGGGCGCGGCGAGCTGCTGCGCTCCGCCCACCCCTCCGCCACCAGCGCCTCCCCCACCTCCACTGAACCCTCTGCGAACAACACTCTACTACATCCATACATTAAGTAACATTCGATTATTGCTATCGCTGTTCGAAAAGTCAAAAATGTATAGAACTGACAATTTGATAAGTCACATATGTTCGACACATTTCGATTCTACAAGCGACATGCCTAATCAAAAAATTGCTTTGTCTCGGGAGAAGTACTTAATACAAAACAATACTAAACTACATCCGATCATCCATTATTTTATAAACATTTATTTATTTTATTTATTTACCACTTGAAGCACAAACATTACAAAAAACTAAGCTTATCAACTACATTTGTGGATTCTTTAATCTTTTTACAACTATTTAAAAAAAACATACAGACGAATTGAGTACCTCCTTGTTTTGGAAAGTCGGTCAAAAAGTAAAAATACATATATAAACAAAATCGACACATACGAGCATGTATTCATATTGTTTCATAGTTCAAAGTTAAGAATAAGCAAGCGGCCATCACAAAACGTTCAATCCATAGATATTTACAAAAAAAAGATGATTGTTTGTCTATCCATATTTTTTTTTAATAAATTTAAATTCTAGTAAATTGAGTAAAGCCGGCATGCCAGCTGGTAGAAACATGACAGTAAAATTCGTAACCCGTCTTATAAGCAAGTAGCTGTCACAAAATTAAGCATAACATCTACTGGCATGCAATTTAGAGTTCACATATGATGTTGAAGCGTTCCAGTTACTGGAATGCTAGGAAGCCAGCTACTGTCATGTATTCTTTGGCTTAACATTACCTTCAGTGACATCAAATAGTTTGATTCCGGGTATTTCCTTGTCTTTCTCTCCATTCATTGCGACTGACTTCTTGTAAGTACACGTTTTGGACAGTAATGGCTTCCAACGCGCCACCTGGAGATAAATAAAAAAATATTACGATTATTATATTCCGCGCGAACAAAGTCGCTAGCAACAACTAGTTATATAATCTTTACTAATATTATAAAGAACAAAGATTTGTATTTTTGTATGTATTCGATTCACGTAAAAACTACTGGGCCGATTTAAAAAAATCTATCCCCATTAGAAAGGCCATTTATCTATGGGTAACATAGGTTATATTTTTTAATTTTTTATAAACTCACGCGGACGAAGTGGCGAGAAACAGCTAATTAAGTAAAAACACACACTTCTTTGTTATGTCAGCAATTACGGCATATTTTTGAATAATCCTTCTTTTAATAAAGAACCCTACACTTCGACACGCTTTAGGCTATATATTTTCACGCTATTAAACTTAGGGAGTAAATAAATTGAAAAATCTCTCATGCTGAAAAGAGACAAAAATACAATGCTGTTATCCAATGTCATAGTCCTCGGTTGTCATTTACGCAATAGTATTTTGATATTTGTTATTGAATGTTTTACAAATCATACTAATATTATAAATGCGAAAGTTTAGATGTATGGATGTTTGTAAGAGTTTGTAGCCTAAACGGCTGAATGGATATTGATGAATTGATATAGATGTAGATGATAGGCTGGAAGAACACGTAGGCTACTCACTTTTTGTTTAATTCGACACGAACGGAGTCGCGGGCGAAAGCTAGTGTAATAATATTTTACAATTCCATGCGAATGGAGCCGCAAGGAATCACCTAGTTATTAATTATTATTTAATATATTTACTTGTGTTAATTCTTCGAATCGTTCGATAGCTTGCGAGTGCCAGCGCTCCGCGTCGCCCGCCGGCTTCACGCCCGCCAAGAAACACTCCATTGCCTGAAAAAGATAAATCTATACTATTATAATAAAGCGTAAACACACACTTCTTTGTTGCCTAAGATGTCAGCAATCACAGCATATTTTCGAATAACTCTTCTTTTAATAAAAAGCCCTACACTTACGTCACGCTTTAGGCTATATATTTTCACGTCGTTAAACTTAAGGGGTTAATGTTTTGGATAAAAACCCTAATGTGGTAAAGAGACTATAAGTTGCTGTCATGACATTTTGACATTTGAAATTGATAATTTGACAAATGTAAACAATAAAATGAAGTTTTTACAATTTCACGCGGATGAATCCGCACGAGAACAGCTAGTATATTATATTGTAAAAAAATTCTAAACCTAATAGAACACAAAAGAGAACCGGGAAATGTCTCTCTATCTCAGGAGTATAATCAACGGTGTTAATTTAATCAACTCAAGAAAAGGATGGTTTGCCTTTTGTAGGAGGGGCACTGCCCCGCCCCCCAAATATCGACATTTATACTTAAAGTTCATAATTTTACTAATATTATAAATGCGAAAGTTTAGATGGATGGATGTTTGTTAGAGTTTGTAGTCTAAACATCTGAACGGATCTCGATGAATATTGGCGTAGACGTAGAGAATAGTCTGGAAGAACACATAGGCTACACACTTCTGTTATTTATAATTCCACACGGACGGAGTTGCGGATGAAAGCTAGTCTTATAATAAGAAAGGAAAGATGGATGTTTTTTTAGAGTTTAAAACCTACTACTTAACGGATCTCGATGTTTCTCATAGTTGTAGGGGATAGTCTGGAAGAACACATAGGTTATTTTATTTTTTTTATTTCACGCGGACGTTATCGGGTGCGAAAGCTATATACCTGAAACCTGAGGCGCAGTAGATCAGCGCGCAGTTCGCAGAGCTCATGCGTGGCTACGTACTCGCTGTCACCGTAGTCCAAGAAAAATACATCAGCAACCTGCACGATATACATGTTACTCTTGGATGGATGGATGTTAGAAGGTATCTCCAGAAAATCTTAATGGATTTCTATGGAATTTAGCATAGATGTAGATTATATTCTAACAGGGCGTAGTTATATGATATTTTAATTCCTTCGGAACACATTTTTTTATTATGAAGACGTTACACAGCATTTTTTTCAATAATTTTCTATTCACATAAAAACCCCTTCAGTTACGACACAGATTAGGATATATTTTCACGCTATTCAATTTAGGGGTGAAGAAATAAGAAAATGCGTGAAAATGACAAAAGTACCAATAGCAGTAAAGAAACAAGAGTGCTATGGTAACGGTAATTGTTAAGCAATGGGTAATTTGTATAATTGAATCAGCCAATGTAAGTTTTAACATTAAAATGAAGTTTTTATAAATGCGAAAGCCGCACGGAGACAGTTATTAGTAAATTGTGACCTGATGCGTGGCGTCGAACTCGTTGGGTCGTATGTCATGTACCCGCGCGCGGTACCAGCGGCCGTCGTGTCGGAACACTGCCGCCACCACCTGGCCCACGCTTACCGTCTGCAGCTGCACACACACACAACACACTTCATACATACACCCCAATAGCCTTATGTTTAGGGTACGGACTACCAATCCCGAGGTCGAGGGTTCAAATCCCGGCATTAGACTATTGTAAACTAGCACAAGCCTTTAGTTGGAATGGTTAAAGGAAATATTAGTAAATTAACAAAAATCTACTAATATTTTTATAAAAAAATACATCATACATTTAACAAATCAAAGACATTAAAAAAATTAGACATGTAAACAAAATTTTTTTTCACCGGTAATCGTGTATGTGTATTTACATGTAATTAAACATTTTATAAAAATATAATAAACTCTATCTTTATATTATAAAAAAAAAAACGTAATTTGTCTGGATTAGGTCCTCGCTCAGCTATCAATGCTATATGCTCCTAATTGAAGTACCAGCGCTGATCTATCACAAGAACCCTTGGGATCATCCACACGTCAGTAGTAGCGGTGGATAGGCAGAAATTATCAAATACTTACTGCATGCGAGGCTCTATTCTCCTTATTAGAGTAATATTCAGTCATGTGAGCGACAAGGTTGTCCAGCTGAGCCACCTGCGGCCCCACGAACTGCACCCAGAACCTCGACGGCGAAGAAACCGCCGACACGTACACTTCGATAGACGAACTGGTCGCCTCTGTACAACAATATAGTCGAGGACGTTAATTCCCTACCCAAATGTGAGACTGATAATTTGATGTAAGCAATTAGATCGAAAACTTATAGCGAAGTGACTTTAGATATCCTTATCTGTGTATATCTACACTAATATTATAAAGAGGAAAGATTTGTATTTTTGAATGTATTGATATAACTCAAAAACTACTGGCTGAATTTAAATTATTATTTCACTATTAGAAAGCTGCGTTTTCAGTAACATATATAAATTTCACGCGGGCGAAGTAGCGAGCAACAGCTAGTCTATATATGCTAAATTGTAACTTAAAGCTCTTATTCGTGACAGTGTTGCGTCAACTTACTATCTGTCTATTATAATTAGTTGAATTTAAATAATTCATGAAATAACAGAATTAAAAACTACTAAATTCCAGTTTTAAGACAACTTAAGATTTCATCAAAATTATGTTCTATCATACCAACAAAAAAACAACAAACCAATCCTTAATCAGCTAACAATACATAAAACTCATTTACCATACAAATATAACTTCAATGGCCAACAAGCAATAAAATCGATCCCAAATAATCAAATTCCTTTTATCCCATACAAAATGTTCATATACATTTTCTAATGTGTACAAATACTCAAAAGGTGCATAAAAACAACATGCCACTGCTACAAACAAAAATCTAAGAAAAACTACAAAAATATAACCCCACCTTTTCCCTTAGAAAACACCCTGTACATATGTCACTACCTTCAAATAAACTGATGTCCTCTGGAAACTCATTGTTGCCATATAAATCTTGATTTTCCAAATCATTTGAATCTGGGGTGAAATAATTTCTTACATCGTCTAAAAGACGAAATATAATAAAACATTTAAAGCATCAATCACTAAAATACAGGCTTAAATATCTATGACTGAAAGATATTTAAAAAAAAAAAAACAGAAAATATGTATGGCAACACTTGTCTATTTCATGTTATCTTTCAGGCATAGACAATGTGCAACAACAAGGGCCGAGCATGCAGTTAGTCTTACCAGGCTTACACTTGGCATGTCTGAGGGCCGGTCTACCTGGGGACTCCTGAGGCTGAGGAGCTGCCGGAGGAATTGTCACCCGAGGTGTCCTCTTTGATTGTTCTATTTCGCGACGGCATTTTTCTTGCGCAACCTAAACACAGACATCTATTTAATTTCTATTCTAACCTCATACATATAATAGAACTAAATGTTGCTCAAGACTTTGTCCATGTGGAAAAAAAACATAGCCTATTACTCAGTGATAACATAGCTTTTTAATAGTGAAAAAATATTTAAAATCAGCCCTCTAGTTCTTAAGCTATTCCAATATATAAAAAATCCAAAAATGCAAATTGTTCCCGTTTATAATATTAGTATGAACTGGCTGTCAACCACGACTCTGTCCGCGCGGAAATAGAAAAAACAAAATTAACCAAATTACGTCAAGATCAGTTCAACAGTTTAGGTGATATCTTCTAACATACATCCATCTATACTTTCGCATTTATAATATTAGTAAAATAACTTACAGAATTCTCAATCAGGTCCATAGCAACTCGGATCTGCTCTTTGGTGCCCCTGAAAGAGATCTGCCGCTGGGTGCTACTCTCCGCAGATGGGGAGCCTTCTATCCTCACTCGAGCGCCACTTCTATGGCTTATGTTGTTTATGTTCTCACCTCCTGTGCCTGAAAAACGCATAATTTCATTTTATTACTAGAAATATAGAGCTTTTTCATCAATTTTTTTTCTCTTCTGCAGTAATACTAGTCAAATTGTATTTAAAAATCTGATAAAGTATAATTTTAAGATTTGCTTGGTTTTACACGTTTACCTATTATCCTACCGCAAGCCCATCCCGGTACCAACATAGTGTCCGTCTCAATAACTGGCTGTTGCTTTATGAACTCTTGTATAATCGCCTCCGCAATCTGTGTGCCTTCAATCCGACCTCTGATGATGCACACATCATACTCCTTGTCGCTGAACTTCTTGAAATGAATTTTTGCACCTGATTTACATTCTATTTCTTTTATATGGGAGCCATTTCGACCTGAAATAAATATTAAACATTCACCATACATTCCACATAACAAATGTTATTCATAATCAGTTGTTGGAAATTTAATTAAATAAAAACAATATTAAGGTGTTAAAAATATGTTATGTCAGTTTTATTTCTGGATTTAAATAATAATCAGATAATTTATCGCCATTACTGAGATAATTGGTTTACTAAACAATTACATTGTTTTCCCTCACTTTATCTAGAGGGCTACTTGCTAAGATGTTAACATAAACAATATCTGAAATCATACCAACTTGTAAGTTTTAACAACTTATAATAACTTATTCAACCATACAACCTTGTAAGTAGACAAGTGATTGTAGAAGATAAATTCAAATATCAGTTACAATATTTTTTTCAAACAGATAATGTGTTAAGAATAGTTTCAAATTTCAACTGGAACCATTGAAGCATGACAGATTTCATGTTATCATTAACTTTTTGAATATTTAAAATCTCATCAAGGATAGAACAGAAAATCCATAGACAGTTTTACAAAGATATTTCAAAGATATATGAAAAGTTACATCTGTAAAGACAAGTTCTTATCTAGTAGGGTGCCACCCTAGTTTGGACACCAGTCCCCAGCACAAAGGGAAAATCAATAACACTCTTCAACTTCACTGGATAGATCGCTTTTACAAAATTTATTACATTAATAAGGTGGAAGATAGATATTTATTCAGTGACGGAGCAAAGCAACAACTGTATACACAATGTATGACATTATACAACCTTGGATGAGTCAAACATGCCTAAATAATTTCAGAGTTACAACAGTGCCTAAAAGACTGTTAAAAATAACTGTTTATGCATTGTTTACCTTATCTTGTTCAGCTTTTTGCAATTAAAAATTACATAATTTAAGTTCTTTTTGTAACAAGCTTTTAAAAATAATTTGTAATAATTATTTAATTAAAATTTTATAATATCACTTATTTAAATAATTTGTAGTGTCATGCTCCAAAATCCTTTTTAAATAACAATTTAAACAGGAATCTGATATTGTGAAGTTTTGATTTTATTTCATTAATTAAGACATCTTAAAATACTTACCAATTAATGCAGGAACAATACTTTTTGGTACAGATACTTCGATTGTGTTCAATTTTGGTGCTTTTATAGTCTTTTCGTTTATTTCTTCCTCATCCTTTTTAAAAATATAGTAAGCCACAAAAGCTGTCACTGTAACTATAGACAGCCCTAACGCAACAGGCAACAACAACCTTGTATTCAAAGGCATTTTACTGAAAAATACATGATTTTTTATAAATATACTGAAAATATAACTGCATAATAAGATAAACGGTGATGTATTTCATTGTTTATTTTATTATAGCTTAATTTTTAGGAAACGAACTTTACTAATATCCTTATTGCGATCTTATATCACAAGGAGGTAGTCAAACATAAGGAAAACCGAGTGCTCTTGCTCTCTTCATTATAATTTAGAAAATGTATATACTACGTTATATAATCCAAAGAATTAAAATACCGGTAACATTTATTGAGTCAAAGCTATTGCACATACAGAGTGATCTATTAGCAGCTATGACATAATGCGAGAAAAGTAACATTGGAAAAGTAACATGACACCATCAACAAGTAGGGCAATAAAACATAAATTTACCTATATTTTTAACATAAAAGTTATCAATAACGGTGTTTAAATAAATAATTCACAATCCAACTAATGCAATATTTATGGCTATCGGATCAAAACAAATAACTCGTGTGTCGTATCGAATAGTTCGTATTGGAAAATTATACAAACTCGCAGAAACGTATATTTATTTCAATGGTTTGACATTGACAGCAAATTTTAACTTTGACATCTTAAGTGTCCATCACATTTACGAAGACCGTTACTTTAAAACTTAAAGTTCTATGTTTACATTTTTTTTGCCCCAATAGTTTAATAAAATTAATGTTTTAAAAAACATGTGTGAGCAATAAAAACACAAATACCTATTTAATATTTATTTAAAGTCATTTTTTTGCGGTGGTCTTATGAATGACAATGTTGATACATATTTGATATTTATAAAAAATATAAAAAATAACATGGCTTTAAAAAAAACTTTTAAATCAAAGTCAATATTTCAAAATGGTTTTTCTCTTGTGTTATCGAATTTTGTAGTTTAATTTATCTTGGTGTGATATTCTATATAAACTTGATTTAGTAAATAGATCATTTTTGTTAAAAGTGAATAATTTATAAATTATATAAGTTCACGTAGATCGTCGTCGTCGCCAAAGATCTCCTAGGATTCCCATGTATTTTCAATCCGATTTCTCCAAGTAATTGCTAAAAATGTAGAATTCAAGATTTCTATGTCAGACCTGTATCAAAAAAATGGCATGGGATATTACTGAAGGTAATTTGTCCAAAGTTGTACGCTTTCCGTGATTTGTGCGCCACAATTTTCATGTCATCAATTTCTTATAACACGAACAAAAGAAAGCATGGTCTGTCTTCAACGATTTGTTAGGGTGGCAATAATTTTGGAAAAGCGATTGGGATTATACATTTTATAACTACTTTTGCAATACATACATTTAAACACTTTTCCAGTCCAGTACTAAGAAGACAAGGCATAAAAATTGGCGAAATAAATGGATATTTTAATCTTACCACTTCAAATCCAATCCACTGATCGCCTTAAGATGACTATCTACTGCTATATGAAACCTATCATACACTATGAGGCCAAGAAATAGCTAAAAACTTTAAATGTCAAATCAGTCCTTCTATGTATTACATTTATATCGAATTGAAAATTCATTATTCAAGTAATATAACATTATTGAGGAATGTTTAGTAAAATAAAAAATTTAATACAACCACGGCGGCATTGAGCGTGCGACCCAATAAACAGTCACAGGCAGATTTGTCATATTTTTTATTATCTTTACATCACGAACCCCAACATGATCAGTCCGCGTAGAAAGCCAACATGCAGCGGCCGTATAAAAGACGATATCTCCGCCCTAATAATATGCATGAGGCATTTCACGGCGGTAATTACGAACTTTCAATTTGAATGTTACAATTAACAGATAGTTAAACACGTCGCTATAGTTGTTATAGGTATAACAGTTTACTAGTTTTCCGGCTGTCGTGTTAACAAACATAAAAATAACTGCTACTCCCAGTAAACCAGTAATAAAAGTCACCTTAAAAGTTTTTCTAGAGGTCTCTAGACTACACCTTTTTATATCTTCCCAAAAATTGGAATGTAATATTTTCAGATTTCGAATACGTGATAACAAAAAAAGATCCACCGCGTGTATGCTTTGGGACAGGGCTGCCGCGAGAAGTGCTGCCACGATCTGGCCCTTGCTTAAGTCCTTTTATGAGACGTATCGTTAGTGAAGATCAACCTAACGTGGGTCCGGCCTCTTATAATGAACCTCGAGATGCATTTTCTCGATTAACACAAAGGGTAAACTTTCATATTTTTTTTCTGATACATATTAATATTCTTTTAGAATACGCAAGTACAAAAGCTTTGTTATAAAACCAAAACAAGAAGGTACTTAATTAGTTCCTTGCAGTTTACGCACATGTCAATCATAGGTAACAAGCGTATACAAGAAAAATTATTAATTATAACTACTTATAGATATACAGCAAACTATATCATGGAGCTAAAACACCACGTTGGAAGGAAAAACACGAATATCAACCACCGCCAGGAGAGATCCCACCGGAAAAGCCTATACCGAAAAATTGTGCTCCATTCAACTCCTTCTCCAAAAGGCAACCTTTGTTCGCGCCTAAAGACTATCCCGCGTAAGTTGAAACTAATCTTTGCAATGCAATAATCAAAACATTGATCTAAAGCCATTTTTATTTTATTTTCTAGACCCTGTGACTACTATCCGGAATGCAAGAGGAGAACATTAAATTTTGCTTATAGTTTCACTGGGAAAAAAGCATTAAGATGCGCAGTTGAGGTATTAATGTTATAGGATTATTTAACGAGACATTTTAAAAAATACGTCTTAGTTTTCGAGATTTATTTCATTATAAAGATATTTTTAATTTATCAGTTTTTATTTTATGCGCTAAATGTAGGACATTTACAGATTAAATGTGTTCCGTACAACTTGGATGTATGTGCCGCGTGTGGAAGGTCATGTTCCGCCCAGGGTGACTATTGGCAATACGAAAATAGAATATTCCTCTGTAGAAAACATTATTCCAGATTTTTCACCCATTGTCTAGCAAAGTTTCAAGGGTATAAGCTCGCTGAATTCAAGGTACTTACTTAGCTATAGCTATGAGAAATATTTACACGATGATTGTTTTGCACATGTTTACTTCTTTTGTTACAGCCAATAAGGGATTGCTTTTTCGCGCACGCTCATAACAGCTGTAAGGCCGCATTAAAGATCATGAAAGTACAAGAAATACAGAAAAAGCTGCGAAAAGAAGCCTATTTAGACCTGTACTTTCCTCAAAGACGTCTATGTACTAGTCATTGATTTAAATATTAATTTACTGTCGAACTTTTATTTTAAATATATTTAATACTTAATACTGTTTTTCTAGATCCTTGCAAAGTATTTTAAATAAACTTAATAGTATAATATTATTTTTAATTTTGGGTAGATTTCAATTTTAGCAATCTCGCGGTTCTGGCCACACTGAATGTTCGTTGTTTTGGTATGGCATCACCGAACAGCACGTTTCGTGTCAGCTGTCACTGCCACAACATGTTCATCTGTTCTGTTGTCAAAGTTTTGGCGCCAACAGAAGTACCACTAGCCGAAGATAAATTTAAGTTGTAATTTACTTAGTAGACTTTTTAATTTGTATAATATATTAGGAAATGGAAGACAAAGATGATTTGTCACAACTTGAAGAGTTATTATGCGCCGATTTGGACGGTGAGCAAGAAGAAACAAAGAAAAAAGCTCCGTGCGTTCAAGAAGTAAACATTTTCGAAGAAACAAATTGCTTAGAAAATTTACCGGAAAGTAGTGAATCTTTAAAAACCTCAGTTATTCATAATGGTGATACTGACTCCTCTGACGATGAAGAAAAAAGAAACTACACAGAAAGAAAATATAATGACTATGGAACAGAAGTTAAAAAATTGCTGGACGATAAGGAAAAAGATCAAATAGACAAGAAACTAAACTTTGAAGTGCGACTACGTCAGGCTAATATTGATGTAAAACTAGCTGCTCAGAGTTCATTTTCAAAAAAACCTCTAGAAGATAATGAACCAAAAACTAAGTATATTTTTGGAGCTCCTGTAACTAATAGTAACAATAATAAACAAAAAATAGATGTTTTTACTGATCCTGTGTTCGGTATTCGTATCACTAGACCGCTTGTATCTAGTGCTGCACTGCTTGATAGAATGCAAGGCCGAGAAGCTGTAAATATGCTTAGAGTTAAAAGATATGTGGAAAATGAAGATTTGTCTAAAGACTGGGTGATTGCTGGAGTTGTGGTGAGAAAAAGTTTGCCTAAAAAGTCACAAAAAGGTAGCCAATTTTTAATTTGGACTCTCAGTGATCTTAAAGATGATATAAAAACAATTTCAATGTTTTTATTCCAAAAAGCCTATCACGAACTATGGAAAACAAATGAAGGAACTGTCGTAGCGATTTTAAACCCTAATGTTTTAGATAGGTCACAAAACAGCACTGACCAGGCCTGCCTCAGTGTGACTGGTCCTAACCAGGTGATGATCCTCGGAGAATCAAAAGATTATGGAACATGTAAGAGTAAAAAGAAAAATGGTGAGCAGTGTACAGCTGTTGTCAATTTAGCAAAATGTGAACACTGTATATACCATGTAAAGCAAGAATATCAAAAATTCTCCAAACGTCAGGAATTGCAGTCCTCGACTATGGGGAAAGGACTTGTTAACTTGCAAAATAAAGTCTTAGGTAAAAATACTGTAATTTACGGCGGAAAAGCATATTCAGCTTTACCTAAAGCTAATAATAAGAAAATTAAAGAACATGATCAAAATAGGTTGATGTCTTTAAGTGATTATTACAAATCTGAAAGTGAGAGTAATTTAATGTCCAACAAAGCACCGTATGGAGCAGGGTCACTGAAAGGAAATACCACAACATTACACAGTCCAACAGCACAAAGAATCTCTGATACCATCAGACTCAATAAATTAACACAATCTAATTCAAATATTAACTCTACACCTGGACTGACTTTAGCTCAAAAAGTAGCGAATTCCCCAAAACTTGGCAGAGGATTTAATTTAAAAGGCAATGGTAGTATTGATCTAAGTGTTTCATATAGACAGAAAACAGCAGAACAAATAAAATTAAATGCCATAAAACTTATACAGAGAAGTGGTGGTTTAACAAAAACTGATCCAAATAACATCAAAGGTACTGAAGCAGGGAAAAAGAGAGCATTAGAAAAATTAAATACATCCGATAGTGATGAAAATTTATGTAAAAAGGTTAAACCGAACGAAGATAAAAACTTCAAACCAACAATGTCTGAACGGTTTAAAAAAATTCTCGAAGCAACATCCGTCCATCAGAATCTCATACAGCAACATGAAGATGATGAGCAAGAAAAATACTTTAATAAACTAGAAAAGAAAGAAGCTATGGAAGAGAAGATGTTGAATACATATAAATTAGCTTGCAAAGCTGTACGTTGCACTAAATGTAAATATACTGCATTTTCAGCTTCACAACTTTGTAAAGATGAGAGACATCCTCTAAAAGTCTTAGATACATTTAAAAGGTTTTTCAAATGCTTGGATTGTAGTAATAGGACAATTTCATTAGAATTACTACCGTTACATTCTTGTGGCAACTGTGGAAGCTCACGTTGGGAGAGAGCAGCTATGATGAGAGAAAAGAAAGTGGCTCATTGTGATAGTTTATCTATAAGAGGGGAAGAGGAAACCTTTATCGGTGGTGCGACTACGGGAAAAAACATTAACCTAATGGTTCCCGACTCCTGATATTTCTTTTTATTTACTTTTGCCCAACACTTTGTCCGCTCAGTATTAAAATACTCACTTGTATCCTATTGTGTTCTTCCAGACTGTTTTATATTTGTGTCAAATTTCATCGAGTTTTTAAAATATCTTGGAACTGTGTAGAGTAGAATCCATCCAATCTTTCGCATTTTAGTGTGATGAGCATGTTTTTTGTGATTTTTTTTTACTTTTAAAGAACTCTAAAAGCTTTTAGATAACACTTTAATTTTTAAGTTTTTATACTAATTTTATGTGTTAACTATAATGAAATTTTATCTATGAAAGTCGTGTATTGTGAATCAAGTATTTAAAATGTTGACTGATAAGGTAATAAATAATAAAAACTTATTGAAAATAAAGCATAATATAATTTTTATTATGAAACTTCCAGTCAATAACACTGAACCATTCCATAAAACACCAATGTGTCTTTGATTTACAAGAATTATTTCAATCGACCTCGACGTGCGCAGTACTTGTGGGATCTTTATAATTTACACAGCCTTTTACAATAAATTACTATGTCGTTACAAAACTGATCAATGGAACTAAAGCCGCCAACCACCTTCAGTTTTACCGAACAATCGAAATGTACAGTTAAATCCGATCTGTAGACAAAATGTTAACTGTCAAACTACAGTTGTCTGCTCTAATTGTACAGTTCATGTGTTCAGTTAAAACTGAAGGTAAATAACGGACTTAAAATGACACCAGTACCTCGTGTCGCTTTATACCAATCTATTTACAAATTCATTATTAGGCAGTGATCCTATTTATATTACATTGGAAAATTTTATTTACAGTCTTACTTTAGCAAAACTATTGACAACAAAAACACCATTTACCAAGCTTCGAAATAATCGATAACAATTGTATTCGAATATCTAATATTCCACACGAAACGAAAAATTGAGTCAATTTACGTACTTCGCTATTAACATAAAAAACCCGTACTGAGGGCGTACAAAACTTTTCGTCCGTTTTTGAATTTAAGTAGCATAGAAAATAGACGAAAAACAATGCAAACCCCAAGCAAGCATAACGTAAGCTATACTAAAAATAATAATCGCAAACCAAGTTATAATTAACAAAAACGCCTTTATTTGATAATTAACAGAACAAGTCATAAGGCAAATATTTTCACATCACATTATAAAACCGTTCAATTACGTGAGAATGGGACCACTGCCTTAGAGTGCGTTCGTTCAGTAAAAAAATATATAAAAGACGTGTCGTGGTACGTCGTGACGTGACGTGATGTGACGTGACGCGTCACGTGCGATCATTCCCACTCGGTGGTGGCGGGCGGCTTCGGCGTCAGGTCGTACAGCACGCGAGAGATGCCCGGCACGCTCATCAGCTCCTTGCGCATCCTGTCCACAACCTGACAACAAACAAATACAATTTAAAATTTTTTAAACATATACAAAGAGACGTTTTTATCGCATCAGTGTGAAGTTCTAGAGGGCGCTGCGAATTAGCGAAGTTATAAAGGGCGTTATGAGTTAGCCAAGTTGTAAAGGGCGTTATGACTTAGCGAAGTTGTAAAGAGCGTTATGAATTAGCGAAGTTGTATAGGGCGTGATGAGTTACCGCAGTTATAAAAGACGTTATGAGTTAGCGAAGTTGTATAGGGCGTTGAGTGAGAGAACTTGTGAATGGCGTTGAGTTGCTTACGTCTTGCGGCATGGCGTCGGATCCTGGCAACGCAGCGACGCCCGTCATGAAGTCTCCGGTTAGGAAGGGGCGAAGCACTAGCGAGCGCTGGCAGGAGGGCGAGCGCAGCGCCGCGTCCCGGTCCAGGTGCACTGGCAGCAACACCACTGGCATCTGTGCGATGCGCGCCGCACACCCGCTAGATGTCAGCACCTACACACGAACATGCAAGACCGCTACACACTCTCTGTTCTGAACTGTATGAATTGTGCGTCTGAAATGTGCTTAGTTAGCCAGGCATAAAACAACGCGCTTTGATTTACTTTTATTGAATGTTTTAAAAATCAACTAAAGCTTTAAAACTTCCAAAGTTTATTTCGGATGCATATTTCCATTGAAATCGTGTTTATTTTGATGTCTGGAACAAGTTACTAGTTATTTTGTATTTTCTAAGAGATAAGAAAACGGTTGTTTTTTTAAATAATGGTTAACTTTTCCATAATGCATATAAGGGCCAAAATGATCACAAATGATCCCCTTTATCACCTCCTTAGCAGGAATATGTCAAATTACCAATAACCCTGTATAAATCAAAGTGAAATGTGTACCTGTGTGGCGAGGTCGTCAGCCTGACGTAGCGTGGAGACGACGTGCTGCGTGAGGAAGGTGGGAGTGATGTCTGTCACCTGCTCCTTTATTATACCGCCGAATGCGTAGCAAACCCTGCAGTACAATAGAGATGTTAGTAAAATAATGTAGTTTATGTATCCCTATAAATTATCTCTATAAATATATTTTTTCGGTAACAAGTTAAACAAACTATGCTAAAAATCAAATAGATACAAAATAATACGGGTGTCAATATATTTAAGTGGTACCACACCTGTTGACGTTGTGGCAGACGCGCGGTATGATGCGCGCGAGGTACTGCATGTCCTGCCAGTCGGGCGGGTAGCGCTCCGTCGACAGCGCCACCACATAACTGTACGTGCGCGCGTCGCCTGAAAACATCCATACATTTACCTCCATATGTACAGGCGGGGAACTTCGCTGTGTTCCACTTTGGTAAAATACTCTATTATAAGTAACCAATTAGCAGTGTGTTTATAATCTATGTATTGATAAAAAACTACATAAAAATAATAAAAAGGAGTGAGCAGTGTACCACGGACCGACCTTTTCGTACAGACTGTATAAAATTACATCGTATTAGTTATTGTCCCGCACTGTCTTATCAATGCGTACAAAACGTTCAAAGGACTAGATTTGAACGTAAAACACCGACAAACTCCCTAGTAGTACACATTTAAGGAAAAAGACACTTTTGTTAGGGATTAAAGTTTTTAAATACGTTTTAAAGTATTTATTTACCTTGTACGCCGACAGATCGCACCGGCAGCAGCGTGGCGGCAACGGGCGACTTGGAGGAGATGCGCTTCAGCTCCGCCTGCTCGGCCGGCGTGCTCGCGCCCGCCACGCGCCCCAGCAGCGCGTGCGACTTCACGCACATCGACGCATACTCCACCATTATCTTCACTATTACCTAAAAAACATTAAAAGCTGGTGACACAACAATTATGACGCACATTAAGGAATCTTGATACAAAACAGACGATATAACTCGTAAATAAAGATGCATGCGGAGCCTATTACTGGAGAAACCGTGTTCGAATTTGTATTGACAATATATAAGAATTTAACTTTTGATTGTCATCGACCACTGTCTATATTGATATTGTTTAAAAAAAATCTATTAGCAATACTAACAAAAGTAAGAAAAAGATAATTCAACTACATAGACTTACTTACTGCTAGATATTAGTAATAGATAAAATATATCTATTTTTTAAAAACAAATTGTCACTACTATGGTATAAAGAATAAAATTTGAAAAAATTATAGTTGACAGCCAGCCTAAAAATACATTTTATAATTTTCAACACATTACAAAAAGAGCTACATAGTTATACTAACATTTGTGGCTGTACGAGTGCGTTGCCTTTGCCTTTTGTCATTACAATTTCGATAGATGAAACATAGATTTCAGTATACCTGTGTCTCGGAGAAGTCCCGCTCCGCGTAGGGCTCCTCCTGGCAGAGCACGCGCACGGCGAGCCCCGGCCCGGGGAACGGGTGCCGCTCCACCAGCGCGCTCGGCAGCCCTAGCTCAGCCCCCAGCGCGCGCACCTACATATATACATCGTTTATTGAACTACCACTTGTATTGTGTGAAAGAAGGATTTGTTTTCAAAAATAAGAGGGGGCAAACAAGCGGCGAGAACACCAAGATGGTTAACAACGCCCATGGACATCCGCAACACCAGAGGAACTACAGATGCGTTGCCGGCCTTTGAGGAAATCATAGTATTGCTTAAGAAGGAAGTGGATTCAGATATAACGGCTGATAGAAATGTATGGAAGAGCAACACATTCTGTGCCGAACCTTTTTGGGATAAGGGCAAGTTGATAATGAACTTGCAAATCTAAATCTACAGTTAACCTTATAAACAAAATTAGAAACTTCATTTCTGTCTATACAAGTTGTTATACAATTCAGAAAACACAAATACTAGTCGCCCGCAACTTTGTCCACGCGCAATAGAAACAAAATTTAAAAGTATTCACATTCTTTCAATGTTTTAGTAAAAAAAATATTGAAATTCATGAAGCCATTTTAAATTATATGATAACTTCTTTTCGATTTTTTATATTTATACTAGTAGTAAGTATTTTGTAATATTTGTTAGACAGTTCGTATTTTGATTTTAAAAAAGTCATGATGACGTCACTGTGAGATTCTTTAAAAACCTTTATCTTTATAGTTATTGAAGGCAAAAGTAGTAGAAAAGGTAAGGAGTAAAAGGTTAGCATGTAATGGGCATGTTATGAGGAGATGAATCACATGTTACAAGGAGAACGTTAGTTATGAGTGTGGAAGGGTACATCGGTAGAGGTAGACCTAGAAAGAGATGGATGGATTGTGGAAAAGGTGACATGATCAAAAAGGGAGTGATGACAGATGACGTATGATAAAGTTATGTGGAGGACAAAAACCTGTTGCGCTGACCCTACGGGAGTAGGATAAAGTGATTATGATGATGATGATGAAGGCAAAACAAGCAAGCGGCTTCTTTAAATGCTTTCCTTCGCCAAAATAGCGAAGTGACTTGGTTCCACATTACCTCATCCTTGTGGAAGTCCTTAAGTGGTTCAACAACGCGGCCGCGCTGGCGCAGCACGCGCACCAGCTCCGTGTCGTTGTGGTGCGTCTTGATGGTGGCCGCGTTGCCGGAGCACAGCGCCGACGCAGACTCGATCAGATCCGGCCGCAGCGTGCCCTGCCCCAGCAGCACTTGATCCTCTCTAGTTACAATGGTATAAATTATATCCATATTCACCCATTTATATATGATAAATGGCTTTCTTGTCATATAAATGACAAGAAAGCTACGTATCCCTCGGGAACCGGACATTTCTCGGGCATGTAGCTTATCCCATGTGTCCTCCAGACTTTGTTTTATATCTGTGCCGAATTTCAATGAGATATGTTGTACCGTTGCAGAATGATCGAGTAACCATTAAAAAACTAAATTAATGAATCCCACGGGAACCGTAACTATTCCCGGGATAAAAATAGCCTATGTGTTCTTCCAGACTATGCTTTAAACGTATGCCAAATTTCATAGAGATCCGTTCAGCCGTTTAGGCTACAAACGCTTACAAACATCCATCCATCTAAACTTTCGCATTTATAATATTACTAAGTTAAAGGTAAGTTGATGACTGACTGCAGTTCGAGGTCGCGCACGGCCTGCTCCGCGACGCGTATGAACACGTCGCCGATGATCTTGCGCTTGTCCTCCGGCGAGGTGGTGTGGCAGAGCAGCGGCGTGTGCCGCGCGCGCCCGCCCGCCTCGCGCACGCTGGTACTGCCTTGACGGAACTGGAACACGTACGTACATACATACATATACATACATACATACATACATACATACATACATACATACATACATACACACATACATACACACATACATACATACATACATACATACATACATACATACATACATACACACATACAAAGTACACACATATATTTTATTTATATTTATTGAAAATTTTACAGAAAAAAATTAAACAGATGCACAAATATGGCCCCGCAAAAACCATATAATTGGTTTATCCGCGGGTGCGATGTTACAATATTACATATGTAGAATGTCGTAGTGGACTGTAGCATACTTGTACGACGTTTTTTTTTATATATACACACATACAAAGTACATATAGGGCTACATACAAACGAATTGGAAGCAACAATAATGTTGTAGTTAAACTATGTAGTTTACTTTGATTATTATTAGTTGTTGCTCGCGACTTCGTCATCGTGATATCGTAAATAGTAATAAACATGGTCTATGTTACTTACTATAACATTTAATAGTGAAAGATTTTTTAAAATAAGTTGTTTTTGAGTTATTTCAATATTTGCAAAATACATTTTTTAATAATTTTAACATAGATTTTAGTTTTTAAATTTAAAATAGGTTCAAGCAGATCAATTGCTCTTTGTCTCATAAGCACCTCTTCACCGCGGCCAATCGTCACCATCAGTGTCAAAATGGCGAAAAAAACGACACCTACCGAAATTTAAAGCCTGCCCATTTATAGAGACCAATGAAAGGGTCATTATCGTTAATTATTATAATTAGCTTGATACCTGATGTGCTGCGTTTATAACGTGTAGCCGCACGCCCAGCTCTCGCAGCGACCTCTCTACCTTTGCGCTCTCGTTCTTACGCATGAATCCTGTAAGTTTCATTAATTACTATATTATTTTGTCAATTTGAAATCTTACTAATATTATAAATGAAAAAGATGAACGGATCTGGATGAAATTTGTCATAGATGATAGTCTGAAAGAACACATAGGCTTCTTTCTTTTGACTTTAATTCCACGCGGACAGAGTCGTGGGCGAAAGCTAGTCTTTTATAGATATTTCCTAGTTATTACCGTTATCGATATGAAGTGCTATAACTTGGTCTTCACGTAGTGCTGTTCTTAGCAGAGCCGCGCACACTGTGGAGTCCACGCCGCCGCTCACTAACACCTACAGTAAAGTAAACATTTTAATATTTATATGATTAAAAACTGCTCCTAATGAAAGTAATAAATTTTTTTATCACGAAACTTCCCACGAATTTCACTAGTACTTAATAAATACAAAAATTGGTTCGAATAATGTTTTTTTTTAGAAAATACCGAAAGCATCAACGGATCTCGATTTAAATTGACATAGATACAGAATAACAGATAATTAATTATAATTTTTTTTCATGATTAAATTCCACGACGTTACTATCGCAGCAATTTATAATAGCTAATTTAAAAAAAAATTCTCATAAATAATCGAAATCGATTATGAATTTTCAAATTTAAGCTACATTGTAGTTTTTACAACATTTGCGTCTTGATTATAAAATATATTGAATATTAAATGTATTTCTGTATACTTAGAGTAAAAATTGCTGGACCAAGCCAAGGCCCACAAAGGGCTGTAGAGCTACAGAAGAAGAAGAAGATACTTACGAGTACTTTATGATCACCGACAGTTTCTCGTATGTACTGCACGCAGGCCTCGCGGCGCGAGCGCAGCGTGAACGTGCGCGTCAGGCCCGCGATGTCGAACAGGAAGTTTGATAGCATCTGCTTACCCTTAGGCGTTAGATCCACCTGCAATATATACAACAAAAGTAATTAGTAACCTATGTTAATATAAAGAAGAAAGATTTTGGTCTTGTGTGTTTGTAAAACTTAGTAGTTTTTGAGTTATTCCAATAATAACAAACTACGACCTAGTGGTCGATTTCAAAAATTCTTTTACCATTGTATATTTTTTTATTTTTTTTTATTTGACACGGACGAAGTCGCGACCAACAGTTAGTTACATTATAAAATGCAAATGTTAAATGGATGTTTGTTACTACGTATCTCCAAAAGCATAGATGCAGAACATAGTCTGGAAGAACATATAGGTTTTTTTTCTACACGTATACACACGGGGGATAACTGTTAGTAAAAAACAAGATAGTATATTCTATTACAAGCTAAAACAATTAATTACCAAACATTCCAAATATCTAACTAACATTATAAATGCGAAAGTTTAGATGGATGAATGTTTGTTAGAATTTGTAGCCTAAACTGCTAAAGGGATCTCGATAAAATTTACTTTTATATAATTATAAAAAAAATATTTAATTACAATCTGAATGTCTTCATAAACAATTTTAAAATGATAAGGACCTGTCCCACCAGAGCTCAGATAGCTTAAAAATGACGTCACTTTCAGATAAGGTAACAAAATCCGACATTTCCATAACATATTTTACACATTGGATTGTTAGATAATTTACAATTTGGGACAGGCCCTAAAAGTTATAAAATATATTAATGCAATAACCTCAGGATGGAACTGCACACCGTACAATCTCATCTGTTCATTGTATATTGCCGCTATGAGGTGGTTGCTGGAGTGCGCGCCCACACGGAAGCGCTCCCCCACCTTCTGCACAGAGTCCCCATGCGTCAGCAATACCGGCTGCAGCTTCTCCAGGCGGCTGAAATACATTTTTTTTTAATATCAGCAGATTTTTTGTTTATCTATCTATACTATTATAATAAAGCGTAAACACACACTTCTTTGTTGCCTAAGATCTAAGCGATTACAGTATATTTTTGAGTAATACTTTTTTTTAATAAAAAGCAATACACTTATGTCACGCTTTAGGCTATATATATTCACGCCAGTAATCTTAGGGGGTAAAAGTTTAGACAAAAACCCTAATGTGGGAAAGAGACCATAAGTTGCTGTCAACATTAAGGAAGCAAGATTGCCATAGTAAGGTAATTGGTATTTTGACATTTGCAATTGACAATTTGACAAATGCAAACAATAAATTGTTAATTTCATGCGGATGAAGTCACACAAGAACAACTAGTTTACTAATATTTCCTTTAACCATTCTAACTAAGCTCTGGACCTGTGCTAGGACGTGGTTTATAATAGGCGAATGGCGGGATCCGAACCCTAAACCGCAAGATCGGTATTCCGTACCCCAAACCATTAGGTTATTGGCATTTAAATGAGAAAAAGTAATCGTTTCGAATGGTCATTTACTAAACCATCGCAACCGTTTAGTCTAACTTTGATTCCTATGAGCTTATATGGAGGAGCGCAATTTACTCGATTTTTAGTTCTGAACTAAACTGTTGAATTTACTGCAAAATAATCGACAATCGCACAACCGTTGTGCGATAATTTAACCAAAGGTGTCCACCCGCTATAATAATACAAAGATTAAAAGACCTTGAAAGTTGGTCAAAATTTTTGTGACGTCAGATAATACACACACGAAAAACGTCACTCCTTTTATGTCTCATTTACAAACAAAACTGAATTTATTAAGACAGTAAATTATGTTAGATTAGATAATTTACGTTGCGAAATTATTTAAATACAAGAAAAACATATCTTATTATTCATAGGCAACAGAAAAAGCTTGAGAAAATACGATACTCTATCAAAATGTACTTACTTAAACAAGGGGCATGTGGTCTCAATTTCCACTTCGTACTGTCCGTCCTCGCGAGCCTCCTTCCTTAGCACGGAGCCACCGAACTCTTTGTTCAACATCTGCATGCCGTAGCATATACCTATAAACAAACATATCACCTATTATACAAAAATATATACTTAAATGTATTTAAAAACATAACCTTTTATCAAATAATCTAAATATGATATGTATTTAGTTTCACTGACATTTAGATTTGGTTAATGTTCAGTACGCAGTCCTTTATTATTGCATCAGAATACTAACTACACTGATACTTAGACCAGAAACGATTATAGTTAATTCAATTTTTTTAAGTTAAATACTGAAACGCATCTTAAATACTTCGCTTCGTGACACTTACGATCTGATATACATTAAAATTTTAAAGAAATTTGAAGTTTAAGTGGTCATCATTTAAGACTGATACATTTATATGGCGTTTCAGTATTCAGCCATCAGTTATACTTATCTAGTGCCTATGCTTAAGAGTGGGTACCTTTGACCAAACTATAGCACAACTTTGTGATTGTTTATTGTTTCAGCAAATTCAACTGTTTAGTTGCACAACTAAATCAAGTAGCTCCATATAATCTTATTGGAATCAAAGCGAGACTAAACAGTTACGATAGCTTAGTCAAAGCGCTGTAAGAAGGGAGTGAATTCACCAGCAATATAAAGGGTTTACTGGGGTTCTTCGGAGAGCTGGGTTGGCTGGAATAATCCATGTCCTGTTATCACGCAAAATACGCGCTAGCCGTGGAATTGCGAAAACCATAGCCCCTCCTACTACTACTACCAGGGAGTGAACTCAGATATAACAGCACTTATGGAAGAACACACTATGCCGACACCGTAGGGACAGGTTGATAATAAACCTACCTAGTACAGGTAGACCTATCTTGAATATATCCGCGTCATATCGTGGTGCATCCTCAGCGTACACGGAGTTGGGACCTCCTGATATGATGATGGCGCGGTATCCCGCCTCCTTGAGATGGTACGCCGGCGTGTCTAACGGGAGAATGTCCGATTCCACGCATAACTCACGTACTCGACGATCTATCACCTATTTACAAATAAAAGTTTAACTACAGAAAAAATATTAATCATCTTCAGTCTGTATAACATTATAAAAAGGAAAGATTTGTATATTTATATCATATGTATTGAAATAACTCAAAAATTACTGCGACGATTTCGAAAACTCTTGCACTACTAAAAAGCTATGTTATCACTAAGTAATATAGGCTATAAATTTATTATTTTTTTAAATTTCATGCGGGCGAAGTTCGAAGTAATAGCAAGGGTATCAACCAAAAATTAAGTTTTTATGATCTGGAGAACCCGAAAGGACACCAACTGCAAACTATTCAGTTTTGAGGCTATCTAGTTTTTACTAAATATTGCCAATCCCTTATTAAAGCCAGAATTAAATATAAGTACATACTATTTAACTACTAATTAAATACATTATTCCGATCTTGGGAACATAAATAATTATAAAGACAAAGGTCATTAGACCAAGTTGCCACAAATGTTTGTTGTAACAAGGTTAACCCTCTGGCCTAAATGTAAACATAACCCTTACAAACTTAACAACTGTGTAAACAAGAAAGTATTAAACAAAGTAGAATTAAATATAAAGCAATCATCACTTTTATACTTTTTGATAAAGAATATCTATACTAATATTATATGAAAAAAAAAGATTTGTATTTTTGTATGTATGGAACTAACTTAAAAACTACTGGATCTACTTCAAAAATTCTTTCAACATAGGCTGTGATTTTAAATTTTTTTAACTTAACTCGAACAAAGTCGCAAGCAACAGCTAGTAACAAAATAATTTGAACATATTTCAGTGCTGGAAATTCACAGAAGTTACTGATATTAATAATTTCTGGCTTAACTTCCTTGTTTTTATAATATGAAGAAATATGTCGAATTAATTAAAAATAAGTTACCAGTCCTTCATTAGTCTTATCTCCTGATAAGTTTTTTTTATATACATAAAAAAATGTAACATGGACATACCTTCCCATACTGAGATCCGGCATCCAATATGGCGACTTTATCTCTACCATGCGTAGACCCATTCGTACCGCGGTACTGTCCATCGGCGCTGGCAGTGTGCATCTCGCCAACTCGCCAGCAACACTGCACATTATAAAACCAATAATTTAAGTAACTTAAGAGTAAGCGGCCACCAGAAATGAATATGCACATTTTCAGATGGTTTGGCCATCTTCAATCAACAGAGTTTAGACAAAGAAAGAGGATATTTTCTTAACTATGCATCCCATCTCCTACCAAATACACTCCTTTTCAAACACTCGTGAAATTTTTTAGACATTATATTTAAAAAAATATTTAGCATATATATTCCCCCGAGCTACTATATCTACTTAAATAAACTAGGAATGGGTTTTAATTTTTTTATAAGACCAATACAAAGTAGTTATAAAGCATTTAAATTATGTACTTTTAACATTTTTTTCTATATATATGACAGTTCTAGAGACCATATAATCATATAAAACAACATAAAAAAGCACTAGCATTTCTCTATTGTGGGTGTAATACTATTAAAGTGAAATCCCTTAGTCATTCGATCGCTGTGTAAAAATAGTAGCAACAATTACTCAACCATTTAATCCTACATCATGCACACTTCTAAATCTTCTGTATGCAAGCAACTATCATAAAGATACCATATTGTTAATAATAAAATAAAATTCAAATAACAATAATAATCAAATCTTAGTAATCTCACTATTATTATAAATGTGAATGTTTAGATGAATGAATGGATGTTTGTTAGATTTTGTAGCCTAAACTTCCGAACGGTTCTCAATTAAATTTGGTATAGATGTAGAGGAGAGTCTGGAAGAACACATACTCTACTTACTCTTGTTTTTTTTTTTTAATTCCAAGTGGAAGGAGTTGCCGGCGAAAGCTAGTATTTCCATAAAAATGATTCCACATTTTGTTTCATATAATTAAATTTATTAATTTTGTATAATTACCGGATATAAAAAAAATGGTGCATAAATAGTGTAATACTATATTTTGGACGTAAAATAGTGTTAATAAAGTACTAATTATTTCAATAAAAAGTAAACAACACTTCAAAACAACAAACAAATATAAACCTAACTATAAAGACATTAAAGTATAAAATACAATAGCAAATAATTTTACACATCCAAGACAAAAAAAAATAATTCCATGTCACCAGTAATAAATGGACATACCTTACTGAAGATATTTTTAAAAATGTTCATCACAACAATAACACAATAAAAAACCCAAGAGATGCATTGAACTTGGAGATAATGACATTTTGAACTAACACTGTTTTACCAAATGACAGAATAAACAACTTTCACACAACACTAATAAAAAATAATCTCTTAACAAATTACTGGAGTAAAATTTTTATGTATAAAGACAAGTGTTGTTCACACTAGAGACTTCAGTATGGTTATTTATAGAAAGCATCCTAAATGCATGAAGCATGCACAAGTGTAGTGTGGATCAAACATTGGACAAATGTTTTTGATAGTTGGTTGTTGGAAGGCCAATGTTGTTGTTTTTTGTATGGTCATTGTGTAACCTTCACATCTTTTACATAACTTTTTATACTAAAATATTAATTTAATGAATGATATTATTCTAATAAGAATATTTTAAACATTATTTATGTTTGACTTGTAATATGAAGTAAAATTTCAGTATTATTTTCATTAATATTTATTTAAACCTCAATGATTTTGAATGTTGAGTCTACATACCTTATTAAACAAATGTTAGAAGTCAACTGAAATCTTCCATACAATCAATCTTGTTACAAATTTGAACTTTTAACATTTTATCATAATATCAAGAAAGGTTATAAAAATATAGTTATCACAGACATTGGGTCATTTGTCTAATAGCAAATAAACCTTGAAAATGATGTAATCTAAACATATTGCTTACAAGCGACATAAAAATTAAATAAACCGCCAAATCTAAAAAGACGAGTTTTAATATTCTAACAGAGTATTCAAATACCAACCTTTTTCAAAATACAAAACATTACAATATTATAAAGAGAAAAACTGAATTGAAATTCATCATGTACAAAATGGATAGATATTGGAGATGAAAAGATATCTTAACAGATAACTATGAGATAAATCCGATCATTCTTATAGACATTCTCAAAAGAAATGTTACGTTGTATGAAGACCGGGCGATACCTCGTTGTGATCTCAACACTATACAAATATAGACGTCAGCAAGGACGGTCATCCGTAAGTTTACTACAATAAATATGAAATAATTCCAGCTTCTACTTATGTCTAAAATGCACGTAATGCAATCCAAATTGCAAGTAAAACCGGGGTTTGACATTACTTACATTCTGGGTCATGATGAGGGAAAAACTTTTGTATAGCTAATAACACTTACCACCTTGAATATAGCAAATATTTGTTAAATTATTTCTCACCTAAACTTGAATATTCTGGATTTCAAAAGCAATTATTCATTAAAAACACGAAAAAATGTGTTTCTCCATTCAGCACTACGAATACAAAATTTTAGTACTGAAAAAGACCGCGCGGTGGCTCTCGAATAGGATTTGTCAATGCGTTCAATTACATTTTAATTACAAACGAAAATTAAATTATAAGTAAATATTTAGTCCGGTAAAATTAACTTGTAAAGTAGTCAGAAACATATTAAACATTATTTGAAACAGTATCTAAAAATTAGATATTATCAACAAGATAGATATGGGAAAAAAATTAAATGAAGAAAAAAGAAATGATTCGCTTGTCTGCCACTGCTTCTACAACTCACTAGACGAAGTTATCCAAAAATTTTATTAAATAATTAGAATAGAAATGAAACGCTTTGTGCTTTAATAAGACGAAATTGAATTTTTATTTGCAAAAAAAATATTAATTGAATCTGTAAATTAAGTTTATATACTCTGTGGTTAGTATATGACAATTCATGAAAATCATAATCGATTTTTACTCTGCGTTCATGAATTTCGTTTTCTTAGTTTATAAAAGTAAAATATAAATTTATTTATTATTTGAAAAAGAAACTAATAATATAAAAATGCCAGATCATTTAGGAGACGATATGAGAAAAGTGAAAGATGACAAAGAAGAACCAGAAAAGGAGATTAAATGTAATTCGGTTCTTTATAATTTCTAACCCTTTGTGTGAAATTTTCATTTGGTTTCTACAACTTTAGTTTGTTTTCAGCACTGGATGAAGGAGATATTGCACTTTTAAAATCATATGTGAGTATTTAACTTTAAATTCACTATAAAGAACATTTGTTTTGGGAGTGTAATGACTTAGCATTTTCACTTCGGACTTACTTTACTTACAATTGTAAAGTGAAAGTTTGTATAGAATGACAAATTACCAGGAAAATTTATAATTTCTAGGGTCAAGGACAGTACACTAAGATAATCAAGGAAGTTGAAGATGGTATTCAAACAGTGATGAAGAGGGTCAATGAACTAACAGGTATCAAGGAATCTGACACAGGACTGGCACCTCCGGCATTATGGGATTTAGCTGCGGACAAACAAACATTACAGAATGAACAACCTTTACAGGTAGGAATCTTATACACTTTTATCTTAGGACAGTGCCAACATGGCAGGGGTGATGAACCAATGGTGTGCACATTATGATGGCATATGACACAATATTTTAGACATGTGTATTAAAAAAATTGTAGTTGATATGTGAGAGTTGAACATAAGCTAGTTTTTTATTATTTTGCATCTATCCTTATTAAATATTTCTTTAGGTAACACCAGGTAGGTTCCATATTGATAGGTAAAATTTGATATTTCATTACTGTTTTTTTAGGTGGCAAGATGCACAAAAATCATCAATGCAGACTCCAATGATCCAAAGTATATTATCAATGTTAAACAGTTTGCCAAGTTTGTGGTTGATCTGGCAGACTCTGTCGCTCCTACTGATATTGAAGAGGGTATGAGAGTAGGGTTGGTATTTTATTTACTTAATGAGCAGCAATAGGAAATTGTAGATTTTAGGATTTTACATCCTTACGATTTTTTTTTTACATAAATGCAGAATGTAATATACTCTAGTCAACAGCACACTAGGCACATTTTTATCTTGCTGATATGTTGGGTGAATCTAAGCAAGTAATTAATTTGTTTAAGACTAGCTTTTGCTGGCAACACTGCAAAAAAATTCTAGTAAGTAGCCTACGTGATCTTCTGGACTGTTTTAAATTTGACCAAAACTCGTCTTGATTGATTGAGTTGTTTTGGAAATACCTTCTAACATCCATCCATATAGACTTTCATATTTATCATATTAAGATTATTTGTAACATATAAAAATATAAATATTTTATATTAAATATTAGTATAGATGAACTATGATTATAATTCTATGATTTGCAATGTTGTGTAAGTAATAATAATACTTAAAATATATTATTGGGAATGAAATTGGAAAGTAGCTTCCTAGTTTTGGCGTTTTCTGTCACACTTTCCCAAAATGAATGTGTTCAATATTTTTAAATATCGCAATATTCTGTATGAGCAATTATTTATACATGCGAAACTTTGTATGTTGTTAAGGGTATCTTCTAAACGAAATGTAGAGCATAATCTGGAAGAACATATAGACTAAATATTTTTTTTTTGATTCCGAGCGGACGTAAACGCGGGTGATGACTAGTCTTAATAAAGAATCCAGTAAATAATAAAAATATTTTTAGAGTTGACCGCAACAAGTATCAAATCCACATTCCACTACCACCTAAGATAGATCCAACAGTCACAATGATGCAAGTGGAAGAGAAGCCTGATGTGACATACAGCGATGTGGGTGGCTGCAAGGAACAGATTGAAAAGCTACGGGAAGTTGTTGAAACACCATTATTACATGTAAGAATAAATTGGAATAATGTAATTGGATTCAGATATGACGGCTGATAGAGATGTATGGAAGAGCAGCACTTACTGTGTCGACCCTCCGTAAGGGATAAGGGCAAGTGGATGATGAAGAATAAAGACGTACTAGTAGATAATTATATCAAAATATTTATTTTACCAAACTAATAGCTGTGATGAAGGATTATTTTGATTATTTTTAATTACTGAAGTCAATGTTAAACTATTCCCTTCACAAATCCGTTAACATTCTGATAGATGTCAAAATATTAATGAAATTTGAAGTTTAAAGATGGCTTTATTATTAAAGAACTTGTGAAATATTTAACTAGTTTCAATACTGTACTGTTAGTTGCTAAAATTTTATTTAATGCAGGTACCAATACATATTTTTAGCTTATCGGAGCGATTTGAATTAGGGCTGTAGTACTTATATTTCATTTTTTTTAAATACATTGCACATTGTTTTTTTTTTACAGCCAGAGAAGTTTGTCAAGTTAGGTATTGAGCCGCCTAAAGGTGTTTTACTATTTGGACCTCCCGGCACGGGTAAGACTCTGTGTGCCCGAGCTGTCGCTAACAGGACTGATGCCTGCTTCATCAGAGTTATTGGTGAGTTAAAACATAATGCCTAATCATAATAAAACTTTATTTCGAGAATATTTTGTTTGTAACACTTATAACTAGTTAGTAGATAAAAAAAAAATTAAATACTCTCTTTAATTTCATGGCAATACAAAGAAATAAACTCGCTTTCTATTTAGGCGTCACTTAAGCTTAAGATCGAATATCGTATGGCAACCTGTTATTGTTACAAACCTATAGTATAGCATTTATTGCGTTGGTTTGATAGTTTTCAACCTAATTGCATTTTTTTGGAGAGCAAAGTAAGAGTCCAATAGTATTGTTGGATATCTGATTAGCTCTCCGAGAGTAATGTATTTCAAGAAGGTAATAACTTTGTTACTAAAGTTGAATGACAAAGAAATATTCATTGAAATACAAATTATTTTATACTAGCTTTCGCTCGCGACTTTGTGTTCTTCCAGACTATCCTACGTCTATCCTAAATTTCATCGAAATCCATTCAACTGTTTAAGCTACAAACTCTAACAAACATCCATCCACCCATCTAAATTTTCGCATTTTAAATTTGACTAAAAATATTATAGATGTCCCTTAGTTTGTCATTTTAGTGATTAAATAATTATGACTGTTTTAAGACTTGTAAATTCGAAAAACTATGAAAAAAATTCAATTACATAATTTACTAGTGTAAATGGTAGTTTTTGTTAACAAAGCATCTTTATTTGGAATACATTACTAATATAAATGCAAAAGTTTATATTGATTGATTGTTAGAAGGTGTCTCTTAAACACATAAGTATACTTTTCTTCCAAGTGAAGATGTGGGCAAAAGTTAGTTATTTATATTCTATCCAGGTTCCGAGTTAGTGCAGAAGTACGTAGGAGAAGGCGCTCGTATGGTCCGCGAGTTGTTCGAGATGGCGCGCAGTAAGAAAGCCTGTCTCATCTTCTTTGATGAAATCGACGCTATCGGAGGTGCTCGGTAAGTAAATCAATATATTATGTAAAAAAACTAAAATAGACATGTACTTGTGTAACATAACTTAAAAAAATGTAAGAACTACTTGAAATGTAATACTAGCTGTTGCTCGCGACTTCGTCCACATGCAATTAAAAAATATAGGCTATGTTACTCCCAGATAAATTATGTTTCTAACGGTGTAAGAATTTTTGAAATCGACTCAATAGTTTTTGAGTTATTTTAATACATACAAAAATACAAATCTTGTCTCTTTATAATATAAGTATAGATAAAACAGTATGTGACTTTAAAGCTCAAACTAATCTACATTAAGGGTTAGCCTTAGTGATAATCATATTTTTTTAAATCCAAAGGTTTGACGATGGCGCGGGCGGAGACAACGAGGTGCAAAGAACTATGTTGGAACTCATCAACCAATTGGATGGCTTCGATCCTCGCGGGAATATAAAGGTGAGTACTAGAAAAGCATAAAAACCATGTACGTTTTAAATTTACAGTTAACCAAGATAGGCGTTACTAGCGAAAACACGTGTATTTCAACAAATATTAATTATTACGCAGCAAATATGGACATACAATATACAACCATATCCTATACTTCTTTTTCATGTTAATTTCAAATATACACAGAAATGAGTATTATTCAAGTTATTTTAAACATAATAAAAGGTGTAAATCGCAAAATTATTTCTTACAATAGTCTACGTACGTCATTCACTTATACTATAAGTCCATCTTTCTTTGGTATTCCAGTAGTTTACTTTTTCTTTGGAGAGTAAAGAAAGAAAGCAGTTTAAAAGTATTGACTGATTTCTGATACAACTTTCCTATAAAAACTGTCGCTGCTTTGAACAACTTTGTTGCTAAAAAACAAGCAATAAAGCTACACATTGCAGTACATATTTATTCATGAAGCATTACAATTAAAAAAATAGTAAAAAATGTAGCCTGTCATTCAATGATAAATTAACTTTCTAATGGTGAAAGAATTTTTGAAATCTGTGGAGTAGTTTTTGATTTGATTAATTACATATAAAAATAAATTCTTATAAATTAGTATATAAAACAGTTTGTCGTCTTTTAGTACCTAGTTATGGTAAAGAAGGGTGTCGTGAAAATTTTACCCAGGGCGTTTACAATTTGAGCGTTGGTGGCTCAGTGGTTAAGGCACTTGACTTGTAATCTACAGGTCTTGAGTTCGAATCCCGCCATGTACCAATGTGATTTTCGATTTTTCGAATTTTCATATGTACATAATTTACCCGACCTTCTTACGGTGAAGGAAAACATCGTGATGCAACCTGCACATATCGGCGAAGGAATTCAAAGATATGTGTGAAGTCAACCAACCCGCACTTGGCCAGCGTGGTTGACTATGGCCTAGTCACCCTAACTTTAGGGTAGGCTCCGAGCCCCTCGGTGGGGACGTATAGTGAGCTGGTGATGATGATGTTTACAATTTAATCATTATATAGGTTTTGATGGCAACGAACCGTCCGGATACTCTGGACCCGGCGCTGATGCGACCTGGGCGTCTGGACCGGAAGGTGGAGTTCGGTTTGCCGGACCTGGAGGGGCGCGCGCACATCTTCCGCATCCACGCTCGCTCCATGAGCGTCGAGAGAGATATACGCTTTGACTTGCTGGCTAGACTCTGTCCTAACTCCACGGGGGCTGAGATCAGGTAACTGCAACTTCACATTGTTATGTTTCATAAATCTTACTTCTTACTAATATCATAAGTGCGAAAGTTTAGATGTGTAGATGGATGTTTGTTACAATTTGTAGCCAAAACTGCTGAACACTGCTGTAGAACATAGTCTGCAAGAACACAGAGGCTTTTTAATAAGTTTTTTTTTAAAATTCCGCTTGGACGGACTCGAGGGCAAAAGCTTGTTAACACTAAATTACTTATTAAGGATTCGCTTAGTTACTGCGAGTCAATCAAAATTTCAATATTATTTAGATTTGCAGTAAAAGTGTTGAATTGTTTTAATTTACTTTTCTCTGCTGTCTCTATGACAGCTGTCAAATGTGTCTTATTAAAGATAATTTATTGTAATCAATTAAAACAATGTTAAAGCACATATATCGTATTTTCTCCCTAGAGCGGTAAAAACTGCCATTTCAGTGAGTTACGTATATTTAATGAAAATCTGATTGTCCGTGTATCAGGTCTGTATGTACGGAGGCGGGCATGTTCGCGATCCGCGCGCGCCGCAAGGTCGCCACTGAGAAGGACTTCCTGGAGGCTGTCAACAAGGTCATCAAGTCCTACGCTAAGTTCTCAGCCACGCCGCGTTATATGACTTATAATTAAAATGTAAAAACTTTTTAAAATAAAAATTGTCCATTCTGTATTGTACTTGATCTATGCAATAAACAGATAGGTGCAAATTTTGGGGTCAACATTTTAATGTCTGTCATCTAAACATCAACATTGTGATTAAAAATTTTATAGTACTATGAATAAAAGTATTGAAATAAACAGTGTGTTTTATTTTTTCTTCATATCGAGAAAATACGATTTAAAGTTTAAACAACATTTTTAGATAAGTTGTGGGTAGTTGTAAAAGTCGAGACCAATTTTAAGAAATATCAAAAAAGTTATGTCATGTGTTTGTCGTCCTTAATGGTGTCGTGAAGTAATATTAAATTAATAGAAAAGCGTGAAAACCGTATGTTAGTTGAAAACGTAAGACTGCATTAAAAGTGATAAAACAAAAAGATGCCGGAAACTGTAAGGGTGAACTTGTATTTAAAAATCTTTCTAACAATCAAAATAGTAGTTTGTAAAACTTTCCATGTAACAAACAAACCATTTAAATTCAAGCAACTTTTGACTCCATTATCCTATCATACTAATGTTATAAAGAGAAAAGTTTAGATGGATGGATGTTTGTTAGAGTTTGTAGCCTAAACGGCTGAACAGATTTCGATGAAATTTGGTATAGTTGTAGACGATAGTCTGGCAGAACACATAAGCTACTCGCTTCTGTTTTTTTCTTAATTCCTCTCGGACGGAGTCGCGGCCGAAAGCTCGTATCCTATAAATGTATTTGATTAGAGACACGATAACACAGTTATATAAAAAAACCAAAGAAGGTTACAAACCACTTTTATCTCGGAGAGAAATAAGGTGTTTTAGTTTACTTTTAACAAACTATTTCAGGAAACACATAGTGATGCGGTGGAATTGTGTGCATTGTTACAATGCTTAGGCTATTCCGTGAAAACATTATCTACAACCGACGGCAACGCGAGTGAAGATGGACCTGCTAGAACCGTCGTTATCAATTGCCCCGTAAGTCTATTAAATATAACAATTTCATTGAACATTACTACACATTCTTTGGACTAGTAAAAACGCTGCTTAATGAGTTGTTATATTATGCTTCTTAGTAAAATTGGTAGACTGATCACTAGATTAAAAGTTATATCATCTAATCGATTGATTGCCTATTCGACTAGTTGCTTGACTGGTCGCGATCAAATGATCGCTCAGTGGAGCTCTTAAGGACTTCTTAGGCGTTTAAAACAAATGAATCTGTTAAAAGACTTCAGGTCTGCACGTGGTATTGGAAAGTAACAATCTCTCATGTTCCTGTCCCGCGACGACGCAGCAACAGAACAGCGGGGTCTGGCAAGTGTCGGGGATGACAGGAGGAAAACAACTAGAAACGGTAAATATTACAGCATGACATTTGTTTAACAAATAATGTACCACAATCACACTTTTAACACATTGGTACATATCTGGGGTCCAGGTCATAATGTGGATCCAGTGATTAACCACTGCGCCATAATGGTCCGGGTTTCCGTGTAATTTGGTCTCAATAATTTCCTTTTCTTTAGGAATATGGTAGCAGCCTTCTCGGTACGTTACCAAAACAATATCGCGAACGTTTAACTAAAGAATTATTCGAAATGGTGCGCGGCATAAAAGAGAACAGCGAATCCGATCTTGAAAAACCGAAACGGGACTCAATGGAAAACAAATCGATGAGTATGCTCGAAATGAAAACTCCGGACAAACGGTAAGAGCTGAATGGGTCATTAATAAAGACCCTTAGTGTAGAATCAACTTTAGTTAATCCATTTTCAGTAAATTTCAACTTGCACTGGAAACACCGACACGCTATCGGTCACTGGACACATTGACCGCTAAAGACACGAACGACCAGAACCTTCCCGCACCAGGGCCATTGCAAAAACATGTATCTACAGACATGTCGTGTAACGATATCCATGATGTTAAGGATAAAAAGAAGGTAAATAAATGTATCTCAAATATGAAACATTTTTTATGTAAGTTAGAAAGTTTTACCAATAGAAAATGCTCTTTCAAATAGATTGAAAACTATAAAAACATGTGTATGTTGATTTTCGTATATCATATCTGTCGTAATAAACATTTAAAAAAGATTTCACTGTGTCCCGTGAAAATTAGGCGTATATCCAAGGTCCAGTTAGTTGTCCTGGTAATGAAGTCCACTTGCATTGTTTTAAACTTGTAAATGATAAAGGAATTCTATATTTAAAGAAGCCTTTCCCGGTTTTCTTTGTGTATTGACTAATGTTTCAGTTTACATACCAGAGGCAGAGCACATACACGCTGTCTTCAACTCCAGACAGTGTCTCGCGACGCAACAAGACATCCAGGTGATTCTTATAGTAGTAAGAGAGGCTAACCTTTAACTGAACTATCGCACAACCTAGGGCCAGTCCCACCAAATTGTAAATTGTCTGATAACAATTCTACGTGTAAAATATGTGATGGAAATCTCGGATGTTACCTTATCTGACAGTGACGTCAATTTTAAGCTATCTGAGCGTCTATCAGCCAGTGGTAAGACAGGCGCTTGGTCTCGCTGTGTTTCCTATGAGGTAATATGGAGGTGCACACTACTCGATTTTTAGTTGTGCAACTAAACAGTGGAATGGGCTACGAAACAATCGACAATCGCACAACTGTTGTGCGTTTTTTCAGTCAAAGGCGTGCGCCCGCTCTTCATACATACAAACGTAATCATGTACAATATATGTTGTTATACCTTTCTCTCATTCATTCTTATTTTGTAAATCTAGTAGATGAGAAAATGGGAACCTTACCTTTAGTATTTACATATATTTGTCTTATTGAATATTTATTATTTCAGCCCTTTACAAGGACATCAAAATAAATTACTGGAAAAGCTTCTATCCGCTGAAAGGCACGCAGAGAGTCTTCGCACTAAGCTGGCTGATATTGTTAAAGAATTACAAGAAGATGGGAAATGTGATACATCCATGTCCTCTCTCGCTTTGGACGTGTCGAAGATATCTATACTAAAGGTATGTCTTAGAGTTGTCATTGGAATTTACATAGATTTTGTATTAATGGGGGATTAGACCTTTATTTATTTCTGGTGAGTTCCAAAGAGATCTCGAACACTCTTCTATTGCGAGGATCCCCACCAAAGAGATTTTAGTGGGTCAAACCCAATATAACCTTGCTTTCTTCCCAGAAGGCAGGAAATCTTTAAAGATTTATCCCCTTACCAAAAAGAAAACTTAATTTAAACAGATTGAACATGTTGGTGTAAAGCAAACACGGTAATCACAACATCAAGGTCTTTTAAAATTTACGTAACTCAAATTAAATGCAAATAACCAGATCTAAGTGTGTTTTTTATAATTACAGGTTGAATCCTCTAAAGTGCAATTCTCATCAAGTCCAAATCTCTCAGGGGCAAGACGTGCGAGTTACGACTTCCCTAAATCAAGGAAATTATACGCAGAGCGTGCTTCCACGTCCGACTTACTTTCTAACAAGAGGCTAACGAAAGAAGGAAAGATGGCAAAATTCCGTCGAGTTTCACCGAAATTTTTAAAACTCAAAAAAGATACAACAGACTCAAAAGTCGATAATGCCTCACATCCAAAAAATAAACTAAACAGTAAGTAAAATACGACAAACAATATACATCATTTGTCAAATTTAATCAGCATTTCTAAAATTGGAAGTATATTTAAGTACTTATTAATTTTAATAATTTAAATTCTAGTGATATTCAAACAAAAAATAGCAACGCCGGTCCGTGTGCCCAAAGTTAACGAACCCGCCACATCTAAATCGAGTCCAAACCTCAGTGCCAATAAGAAGAAATATAGCCACATCAAATCAACCATACCAAGACCATCATCTTTCAAAAGAGAATAGACAAACTTCAAATATGCGACATGTTTATTAGTAAAAAATATTTTAAAAGAATTAAAGAAATTTTAATTGTAATTGATTTGATAACATATGAATATGAAACTAAGCTATTGTTTTATTTATAAATGCCGTTCATTAAAACTCGGAACAGAATTGCATTTTATGTTTTTCACAACTAAGGTTAATATGTAAGATTTAAGATGTAGGACTGTTGAAAGAGCTAGCGTGCAAGGATCGCCAAATAAAAATCTGAAGCCTTTGTCCATCCCACGAGGTATAACAAAGAGAAAATATGTTCTCTTTGAATAACGCTAAAAAGGAGCGATATAAATATTTAATATAACTACGAAACTTGCAAACCAAAGGTAAATAAAATGGAAGATATAAAAAACGTTATTTTTATTTTTAAACATTTTCAAATAATTCACCTTTCACCAATCGGTGTGAACACAACAAATATTTGCCGATTAAATTATAATCGACATTGATTTATTAAATATAATTTAAACATCAATCGGATGTATCTGAATTTGAACAACTTTTCATTAATTTCTCCACTTCTTTTTCTAATGAATGTATTTTTTCTGGCGATTTTCTTTTTTTCTTCGGCCGTATAGACTCCCGAAACCTGCGCGTCCGCATCGATTCCGCGGTCTCTTTACTTATTTTCAATCCCAAATCGGATGTAAAGAAAACGTTTTTTAAGAATTCCTCTCGAACCCGACTTCTGGAATCGTCTTTATTTTGGAGATGGACTGTACTTTTTCGCCTGTGTTTCTTGTAGTATTTGTCCTTTACATCTTTATCATTATCTTTGTCGGAATCGACATCCAATTTATTAATTCCTTCATCAATTATTTTCTCCTGACTCTTCTTTGTGAGTTCTCTGAGAGTATATCTGTCTGCACTGACTGCTTTCTTTTTCTCTCTTGCCAATTTCAAACATATCGTTGCTTTTGGATAACCAGTGAATTGTTGATAACAACCACCTTTTTCTAATGATACGAAACTATTAAAAAACCGTCTCGGATGGACCTCTTCACTAGTATCGTTTAAATATACATAAGCTTTCTTAAGAAACATTTTCATATTTATTGGATTTTGTAGGTGAAAAAATTTCTCAATTTGATCAACGGTTTTTAAACGCCTTATCGCATTTTTTTGGACAATATTATACGAGACAACAATCATTAAAATGTAAGCTGGTTCGTTGCTAAGTATGTGGTCCCATAGGACGAGCCACTCGGTGCAGGTGAGGACCTCACTAAATGCTGTCTCTAATATCTTCAATGCATATATTTGACTGGTCACACCCAGCTGACAGTAATGGTCAAGTAACTGCTGATCATGTTCAGCGAGCACATTTTCAATCATAGCTAAAACACTTATAGGTGGAAATGGTGCATATTCAAACCACAATTGACATTGATTCATAAGAATAGTTGCCACACATTCAAATAAAAGTAGGGGGTCTTTTTGTAGCACTTTTACAAAAGGAAAGACAAAACCGGGTAAAAACTTCATCACTCCAAATAGAGGACACCAATGTGCAAGACATGAGAGTAATCTTTTCAAATTCTTAAGTGTAACAGTACTGTGTATGGTAAATTGTTTTTCTATATTCTTATATGCTGGATGGATGCCTTTATCAACTAAAGCTGAATATGCTACCTTATTTTTAGGTGTGATCAAAAGAGATTTCCATATAATTGAACGGAACTTATCAGGATATTCTCCATATTGCATTAGAATTCTTCGTAATCTAGCGCTGTCCATACATGCACGCATCTTCTGTTCAACTGCTGATTTATTTGCTAAACTTTGTATGTTACATCTATATGTGTGTGTAGAGCAACCGGGCAATTCTTTCTTCTCCGGAGCAATGATTACATCTTTGGAATTCTCTATGACTAATGATGAATTGTATATATTAACTTCTCCAAGCTGTAAAATGCACAGAAAGTATTTTCCAGTAGGACTTACAACAATTTTCTTGATACTTGAAGATTGAGGACATATGTTAGTTATAAGATCTTGTGTATCTAAATCTAATAAATGAAGAGTACAATTGCTACTTAAAATGGCAAGTACTTTATTTGCCCCACCATCAAACATTTGAGGTACAAAGGCAACATGTTGCACACCTTTTATATTGTATTTTGTTAAATCTATAGACTTCACAGCTTTCCATGTATCCATGCTGAATAAAATCAATTTAGGCACAAGTCCTGCAATTACCATTGCTCTTCCATTCAATGTGAATTCTATATTTTTTATATGTTTCAAGCCAGTTGGTATAATCTGTTTCACAGATTTCATTGTATCATGTCTCCATATTTGTACTGTATCATTTTGAAAACACGCAACCAGGTAATCTCCTGCTGGTGTAAACATTATCTGTTGTATTTGTGATCCTAAATGAGTATTTAATGTAAAGTATTTTGTACAGTTTTTAAGTTCCCATAAAATAGCTTCAGCATGACTAGCAGTTAGTAAATTGTTCAACTTAGTTTTAGAGAATGATATATGTTTAATATGATCTGTATGTCCAGTCAAAGTAAGAGACACACATCCAGTTTCTGTGTCTAAGAAATTGAGATCAAATTTATTTGAACTAGCAACGACTAATGCGTCGAGTCTGTCAGGTACAAAGTGTAGAGCTGTGCATATACCATGATTTACTAATTTCCAAAACTTTAAATCACAAAAGTCGATAATAAACAAGTTTCCTGCATTATCAGTACATGCAAGCTTTTCCTGACTATCATCAAATACAGCCAGTGAAAAACGAATTCGACGACAGTCTCCATGCGAATCTCGAACAGTGTGATGAAGCTGTAGTATTACTCCATCTTTGGGCTTCTTTTTTATTTTGATATCAAATTTTTCTATCTTTTCTCCGTCAAAATGACTCCCGTTCTCCATAATAGTCCCGAACAACCGACACGCCCGCGATAACACAATAACATTTTACTTAAACATTGGATAAACACATATGCATTGCAATGGTCTTAATTAAAACCTTTTAATTACTTAAGTTGATAAAAATTTAAATTTTGGCGGAGTCAAAACAAAACAGTATTAAACTTAAATGTCAAATAATTTCAGACTTCTCGTTCACGAGAATCGAATACAAATAAATTATCGATTCGTTCAACTTAGTAAAATAATTAAGTACAAGTATACTGTGTGTTCAATTCCAGGCAAGACGTCGGTCACTTTTTAAAAGCGTATTATTTTAAATTAAAATATAATTTAAAACATTCTCAGTGCTAATGAAATTACTGAAGATTTTTATATAATTTAATCTTTAATTTATTTCGAAACATCAGAAAAACGAGTTATCGATTTCACAACATTAGACATTGTTGTTCAACTGATTTGTCAATGTCAATCGATGAATCATTTTCTTAATTTTCCTTATATGATTGAATTTATTCCCAGAAGAAATAATTAAATGTAAATATTACAACTTAAAATCGAAGTTGTATGTTTCCATAGTGAAAAGGTTTAGCTATGGCAGGTACGTCTCCTTTGAGGTTAATTTTTACAGTGCAATAAGTCATCTCATTATTTTTTTTTTAAATTACCTAGAAAATAAGGATACGCCGATGACTAATAAAAACGAAAATACAAATGAGGACCAGGCAATGGAACACGAAGGGTCTCCTCCACCGCCAGTAACGCCTCCTCCGCCTGCAGACGTTGATACTCAGGAAATAATTATTGTAAACGAAAATACTGAAGAGCTCGACTTGAACCATGGAAGGATCGGCAAGATTGAGAATCTGGAACCATTGAAGAACTTAGAGAGGTTTACATTATAATCCTAATGAATACGTCAAACTATTTATTTCAAATTCTTAGTAGCTATTAAATATTTGCAATATCTTTGTTAATACTGAAGTATAATTTGATTATAGAAAGTGACGGCGGATTATAGCTTGGTTTTGCCATATATTTTAAGGAGTAGATGCAACAAATTTGTATATTTGTGATCTGTTGTTAATGCAGTTTCTTCATAAAATTTTATTTTTTTGCAGGTTATATTTAAGATGGAATCTCATTAAAAAGATTGAGGGATTAGATACCTTACAGACTTTAGTGGAACTAGAGTTGTATGACAATCAAATTGTTGTCATCGAGAATTTGGACAACCTTGTTAACCTTGAGTAAGTGATATGTTTAATTCTATCATACTAAACTAAATGCATCAATTTGGATGGATGTATGTTACTATCTCCAAAATGCTTAACAGAATTTGATGAAATTTGGCACAGATGATAAACGTTTTCTTGTTTTTTTTTTTATTTTTAAATTTAATTCTGCGCTTATGAAACCGCTTTTATTATTATTATTTGTCTTTACAATTTCAAAGATAACCAGAGGGATAGTAACCTTTTGTTATAAGTATTTGGGCAGTTATAATCTGCAGTAAAGTGAAGTAATGTTTAAAATTTTTTCTGTATATTTCAGAATACTTGACCTGTCTTTTAATAGAATCAAAGAAATCACAGGTTTGGGGAATTTATTAAAATTGAAGAAATTATTTTTAAGCTCTAATAAAATAAATGAAATCAAAAATGTTAATCATCTACCAAAGCTAGAATTATTAGAGCTGGGTGATAATCGAATTCGGGTATGTTTTTACTTTTTAATCTTATTTTTATTCTTTTTGATACTGGCCATAATAATACCAATAACCAAATGGTCAAAGATCATCCACTTTATAATGGGTTCAAAATCCACCATTATTATTGTAATATTCCCATTTCCTATATTCTCATAAGTTTTTATATTTACAGGAAATAAAGAATCTCAATGGTTTGAAATCTTTAAAACAACTTTACTTGGGTAAGAACAAAATTAACAAAATCCAGAATCTAGAAGACCTAAGTGATTTACAAATTTTAGTACTTCAGAATAATAGGATTACTAAAATTGAAAATCTGCAAGAATTGACAGCATTAGAACAACTTTATATATCAGAGAATGGTATATCATTAATAGAGAATTTGGATAACCAGGTAAAACTTGAAACTTTGGATCTGGCGATGAACAGAATCATGGTTATAGAAAACTTAAGGCATATGAATGATTTAGAAGAGTTATGGGTAAGTTAAGAATAGTAATTGCTTACAATTTATATGTTTTCATCTGTTAAGGCTGTATAAAGTTAAACTTAGGAGTAAACTAAGTATGAGCAAAATTTGTACCTATATTTGCTATACTCAGTTTATTCCTAACTTTAACTTTATAGCTGATACACCTGTTAGTGTATAAAGTTAACATATTCAATGCTACAAATAGTCCTAGGTTTCACCTGTGACTTAATGCGGGGAATCAAAAGAAGCAACAGGAAGTAGCCAAATCTAAATGCATGCCAAATTTATTTAAAATCTGTTCAGCAGTTTAAGCTACATACTCCAACAAACGTCCATTTGTCTAAACATCCAAATGTATCATTTTAGTAAGATTTGAAAGATTTAATAAAATGCAAGGCATTATAGTATCTCATATCTCTTTTGTTAATCCATTAATGTATAAATTTTATAAAAAGTTTCTCACAGCTGACTTAAATTGAACATCTTGTTGAAGTATCTTTTAATTACAGTTAAATGACAACCAAATAGCAGAATGGTCGTCGGTGGAATATTTAAAAGATAACAAGAAGATTGCAACAATATACTTGGAGAGGAACCCTCTGGCATCAGACCCTGCGTACAGGAGAAAGTTGAAGCTCTGTCTCCCCTCGCTGCAGCAGATTGATGCCACATTGTGTAGAGGAGATTTCTCATTAGTAGCATAGTTAGTTAGAGGGTAGTTTTAAATTAGGCGATTCCATAAATGTTCATATTACTTTAAATAAAATACCTTTAGTTGTATGGAATGGAATCCTTGACCAATTTTCATGTCCACTGAGATATGTATTATTTTTGATAAATCACAGGGATTCAATCAGTTTTATTGGGTTTTAAATGAGTTTACTAACTTTTGTCCGCGACTTTGTCCAGTATTCTTCCACATTGTCCTAAAAATGTCTTAGAGATTATGTCAGTAAGACAGTAACAAACATCCATACATTCGCATTTATAATATTATTATAATCTTAATTGTTATAAAGCTGTAATGGGAATTGAAATTAAAGTTTTCCTGATTTTATTTATTTATTTCAAGCATGGATTTTACAACCATGTTTGTTTACAAAATTTGTTATGTTTCGCCTAATTTAAAACATTCTTTTAATTAAAATTATTAACTATAAAGTATGCTAGTTATGTTTACTACGTAATTTATAATTTTAGTTTATCATTGTATTAGATTAGCTTGAACTATCGCATATTATTGTTATGGTTCCTAAGTAATTATGCATTTAGTTTGTTAAAACTATGTATTACTTCAACTAAGTATATAAGGACCATTTTTATTTCATGTATTCACGGGATATTTTGTCATTTTTAAATAAGCTAGAACTTTACTATATACAATTAATTGATAAGGAAATAAATAATATCTAATTCGGTTCAGTAATGTCCTTGTTGAGGCAAACAACTGAACATGTGGCAGCTAAAACATTTGGTATATCTTTTAAATTTTATTCCCCGCTCCCTTATATTTCATTGTTATTTAATAATACTCCAAATCACCAAAGTGCCTTCCTTTACTTGCACTAGTTGTCCATCTAAAGAATTAAATATGAAAGAGGCAATTATGATGAAAAACTAAACTCTAATAATCATTTAAATTATACATGTTTTGATATACCCCTTTTTTTGTTTTAAAAAAGTATCTAAACAATGTTTAATATTAAATAATCTATTACTATTGCTTTATTATTATTAGAAGATAATGTGAATTCTAAATTATTACATATTTAGACAGTGATAAGCTTTATTACATTCGTTTGTACACAAATAAGCTATGTATAAATCCTACACGTATTTTTTTCTTTTCTTGTACCAAACCATCCATATACTGAATTGTTACTATTAAAATTATATGAATGCTTACTGTTCGTATACTTTATATCGTATTTGAATCATTCCCTTATTAAAATTCCTCCCTTCTAGACTAACATGACCTTAAACTGTACAGTCAGCTGCATAAATAAGTAAACATATAAACACGTCACTTCTCATTTCAATATGCACCTTATCACCAGTAGCGAAAATTCATAGCAGACAGCATACAGACAGATTCATGCATTCATATTTCTTAAACCGATAGCGTATACAAGTTTCTAAAGCTTTAAAAATGTATACATATTTGTGCAGCTGACTGTACCACGTCTTTACAATTTTTCGTATAAACTCAGCAAAATTACGAATCTAATTCTGAGATCTGACACTTTCTCAATACATCGTTATGATGCAGCGTTATCGTTGTTTAGTCGTAAATAGTTTGCAATTCGTCAAAACAAGTACTTGAGATCATATAGAGAAGTAGCGCTAGTGGCTATAGTAATATTCGCCCTTCTGGAACTTAGAGTAAACACGCCACTGACCAGATACTAAACTACACTTAAGAAATTTAACGAGTCCCAGGAAATAATAGTCGTAAAAAAGCCCTAAGCCCGCAATATTGGTTCCAAGACATCATAAAGAGTTCTTAACGGCGAAAAGAAAAATCAATTACAGTATGCATTTAGTGTTTCTGTCATACACCAACGCTTGCATGTTTCCAGGCAGTCAAGGAATCTCGCGAACGCCTCATTCAGAGCAATGCGTTCGGCCGCAAGACCCTGCGCAAGGACCCGCTGCTCCCTAGCCTTAGTAAAGTCGACTTCGACATGTAAATACGAATATATTGATGTAATAAAGTAATTTCAAATATAAAGTGTATTTTGTTTTATTCCTTAATTGCAAAATAGCAGGGCATTACCGGTTTCAGAGTTACATTCTCTTATACAAACATTTTTAGGTTAAGTTTGTAGTTTTTGACATTTGCAGCGAGTGTCCGATATTCCATTTCAGGAACAACGTATTAAAATATCGTTTAATTTAAAAAAAAAAACGATACGGAGGACCAAAATATGTTTCTAAACAAGTTTTTCGACAGTGGAAATCCACGGTATCATTCACAGATAAGCGCAATGTAATTATGACCTTGGCGACTGTAGGAATCCAGTCAGTCGATTCGCACCGGCCGGCTTTATAACTCGTTCGTCTAGTACATTTACATAAATAAAACAAGTTTATCTATCGTATAAAACGTAGAATAACAAAATAATACAGTTGGACGGTGGACATAGTTGTAACAAAATGAAATCGTACATCGAATATTCACCGAATTCCGATTTTCCAATTGAAAATCTCCCTTACGGTGTATTTACATCGCCGAAGAATGTAAGTTGTTTATTTTTTTAATACCAGTAATAAAGATATTCTAATCTGACAGTTAATTTTATGTAAGAATTGCATGTACAATTAGTATATAATGTTAAATTAATAGAACTTGATTTTTTAATTTAAATGAATTTATAGAAATCAAATTAGGGTAGACAGAGTAAATCTTTTTTTATAAACTATTAGGTAATACTTCCGAATTATACTCTTACAATAACTAAGGCGTTTATTCTGTAAAAAATACAGATGAATTGATAATCTACTTTTGGAGATCCTGTTAAAGACAACAAAATATTTTTACACAAATTTTAGTTTGTATAGAGCTAATCAAAATCATAGCAAAAAGAAATCAGGGGTCTCTGTCTGCCCTTTATTATGTGCTTACATCTTAATCCCTGCAGTTACTGATTAAAAATACTATTTTGTATTTCCAGACAGATAAACATATCGGAGTTGCAATAGGAGAATGGATTCTAGACTTGAACGCAATATCTCATTTATTCAACGGTCCCTTGTTGAAGGACAAACAACATGTTTTTAAGGTACAAGTAAACAATATGCTAATTTTTTGTTTATGGTCTAAGGAGGTGTGTCATTGCGCAATATTTTAGTATAAATTATGTTATTATTCAAATTAATAGTAAGTTTCCGTTATTGAAAATGCTATTCATTCCGCCGGTTTTTTTATTGCCAGTCTTGGATATTTTAAAAACTCGAATTAACGATTCTCGTTATGTGACATTTAAATATTATAACGTTATCATAGTATTTAAAGTTAACCAGCTTTCGCCCGCGACTTTGTCCGCATGAAATAAAAAACCAAAAATAAGTAGCCTATGTCTTCATCCAGACTATGCTCTACGTCTATGCCAAATTCCATTGAGATCCGTTCAGCTGTTTAGGTTACAAACTCTAACAAACATCTATCAATCTAAACTTTCGCATTTATAATATTAGTTAGTATGATTAATCAAATAAGAAAATCCAATTTTATAATATTCATGTTTTTTTTTTATAACACAAGGTGGCAAACGAGCAAGCGGCCACCTGAATCCGCTAAAATGGCGAAGTGACCGCTGCCCATAGATATGCGCAATTGCAGATGCGTTGCCTACCCTTATCCGACAGAGGAGGAGATGCACATAAAGAGGATATTTCCCCTTTCTATGCATCTCCTCCTCCGTCTAGCCCACTTCCCCTTCCCATCCCCTTCTTATAAGAAAAGGGTGGTAAAGAGAAAGAGACTTAAATCAGGCCTCCGGCACCACACTCATCAGACGAAACACGGAATTGATTCCATTTGACGCCTGTCTTCTGTGTGGTCGTGGTATTACACCGGGCGAGCCGGCCTATTCGTGCTAAGATGTAAAAGCGGGCACTACCACTGTAAAAATTGTATATTACTCCGCCCTTTAAAAGTGTTTCGGTTTGGGTGAATTTCAATTTATACATTTGCATATAAAATTCGAAAAAAAATTAAACATATGTGGCTCACACCTATTGTTTTGGTTACATTATGTGATTTATTTATACAAGCTGATATGAATAAAAGGACAAGTCAAGAGCATGCTAAAGTTCAATGTGCCGCAATTCTATTAATGCACAATGCAGGCGAAATTAAAACGTGTTACATAAATAATCGCAATCAGACGGTAGTGCGAAAGTTTAGATGGAGGGATGGATGTTTGTTAGAGTTTGCCGCCTAAAAGGCTGAACTGATCTCAATGAAAATTGGCATAGAGGTAGAGCATAGTCTGGATGAGGTCATAGGCTACTTACTTTTGTTTTTTTTATTTCATGCGGACGGAGTCGGGGACGAAAACTAGTTTTGTCATAAAGACCAGACGTAGGAGAATAAATGTCTTACTGTAAAAGTATGGTCACATAAAAATATAAGATTAATTTCAGGAGGAGAAACTGAATTCCTTTATGAGCTTGACTAAACCACACTGGCTGGAAGCAAGGAGTACAATACAAAGCCTTCTAGATGTTTCTAATTCAACGCTGCAGAATGACGCTGACCTTAGGGCACGGTAAAATAGCGATATGATAGACACTGTTTAACTTTCAATATCAAAGTGACTGAAAAAATACCTCGCCTTCACAAACACGACTCCTATTTTTACTTACAAAAATATTAAATCTCTGAAAGTGATTGCTAAAAGTGAAGAGATCGCTTTTTGTCCCCACTGTTCCGATTATTTTAAATTTATGAACCAAATAATTTGCATAATACACCTTGATTTTCCAGAGCGTTCGTCAAACAAAGTGAGGGGAAGATGCACGTCCCAGCGGAGATCGGAGACTACTCTGACTTCTACTCGTCCATACATCACGCCACTAACGTTGGTATCATGTTCCGTGGCAAAGAGAACGCATTGCCTTCTAACTGGTCTGTATTCGTATTCAAAAAAATAATCGTTTTTTTATGACATAAGGTGGCAAACGAGCAAGCGGCCACCTGAATCCGCCAAAATGGCGGAGCGACCGCTGCCCATAGACATACACATTTGCAGATGCGTTACCTACCCTTATCCGACAGAGGAGGAGACGCACATAAAAAAGAAAATTTCCCCTTCCTATGTATCTCCTCCTCCGTCAAATCCACTTCCCCTACCCATCCTCTCCTTCTAAGAAAAGGGTGGTAAAGAGAAAGGGACTTAAATTAGGCCTCCGGCACCACACTCATCAGACGAAACACGGAATTGCTTCCATTTCACGCCTGTCTTCTGTGTGTTCGTGCTATTGCTAAGATGTTAAAGCGGGCACTACCACTGTAAGTGCTCATCATCTTCCTCTTTGTATTCCTGTAAAGTCGGCGCAACAGGTTTTTGTCCTCCACATAACTCTATCATACGTCATCTCAGTCATGACTCCCTTTTTGATCACGTCACCTTTCATGCAATCCATTTATCTCTATCTAGGTCTATCTCTACCGGAACTAAATCGGTACTGCTTAAAACTACTTAAAGTTTACCTTCTGTGTCCTGTTTTCTATTAGACTCCAGATATAAATTGAAAAGTAACGTAGATATTATATTTTTTAGGAAGCACATACCTATCGGTTACCACGGCCGCTGCAGTTCGATAGTGGTGTCCGGCACGCCTATCTACAGACCGTATGGACAGACTTTACCAGTCGAAGGTAGGCGAAAATATTTAAAAATCGCTAAATACTGCACTCTCAGTACTTTAGAAACCCATTAGTGTCGCTTTTAGTGACTAATGTAAGGTTCTAAGTACGGCAGTAAGCTTAATTTTAACACAATTAAGATTTTTTCAAGTGTTACGGAAACTAAAACTAATTTCGAGTTAAAGATGAGTTATGGGTAATATTATGTATTCTTCATAGGTGCCGAACCCCACTTCGGTCCCTGTCGTCTAATGGACTTCGAGTTGGAGATGGCATGCTTCGTGGGTGGTCCCCCCACCAGCGTCGGGCAGAGGGTCACTGCTAAGGAAGCTGAGGACAAACTCTTTGGATTCGTTCTTATGAATGATTGGAGTGGTAAGGAAATTATTAAGTAGTAATTAATCAAATTGTTGTTTATTTTATTAATTTTCCTATAATTGTAAAATATAAACAGCAAATGTATTATAATAATTGAATGTATTTTAAAGAAATCACAATGAAATGTTATATGGTCATTTTGACCATAAAACATACCATTGTTTAGAAATTCAACGCAAGTTAACAAATGTTTTCAGCTCGTGACATCCAGAAGTGGGAGTATGTTCCCCTAGGACCTTTCACAGCTAAGAACCTCGGCACCAGTATATCTCCGTGGATCGTAACCATAGAGGCGCTGCGCCCCTACATCGTAGACAACTACCCGCAGGACAAGCCGCCCTTCCCCTACCTACGGCACGATGATAAATTCAACTTTGACATCAAACTCGAAGTGGATTTAAGACGTGAGTATAAAATTAAATTCTAAAAAACTAAATTATACATAATTTTAACTTATTAGTAAAAAATACTATATTTATAATTTAACATGTAAATTAGAAGATTGTAGTCTCATACTCCGAAAGAGTAACTTAAGTGGGATCAAGATCATTGTAGACAGAATTGCATCCAATCTTTTTTTTTAAATTCGGCAGTTAAATACTTCTATTTGTACAATACAATACATTTCAGCCGAGAGCTCTCCAGTAGCAACGACCATCTGCCGGTCCAACTACCGCTTCCTGTACTGGACAGTGAAGCAGCAGCTGGCGCAGCAGACGGTCACCGGCTGCAGCCTGCGCGCCGCAGACCTGCTCGGCTCCGGCACCATCAGTGGTGATGTTAGTATTTACACGATGCACCCGAAACACTAAATTTTTCTCACTCATGCGTTAACAAGAGCTAGCATAGAAACAGCTACTAAAAAAATCCATATAATAAACTACATCTCAGTTTTTCATTAAAAAATTGTACATGTTAATAATCACTCGCTTGGGAAAAGAAGAAAATGTTTACTAGCCAGATCTTAGTGAGTGTGTGAAACTTACTTTTTCTGCTCATATAAAAGTCGGTTATATCTGCGAGAAAATAACAAAGGCTGTTTTAACGTATTTTCCTTTTGTAGACATCTGATTCGTACGGAAGCATGCTGGAGCTCAGTTGGAAAGGAACTAAACCTCTGCGTTTGCTTAATGGAGAAGAAAGAAAATTCCTACAAGATGGCGACACTGTCATTTTACGCGGATATTGTTTAGATGAAAATGGCATCAGAATCGGCTTCGGTAGCTGCGAAGGAAAATTACTTCCTGCTATACCTTTTCAAGAATGAACAAAAAGATTAAACTCAAATACATGTATGAATACCATTGTATCTATTTTATAAATTCTACATGCGTTAATAAATTTTTTTATCCTTCTGAGCTTTGAGACTTTATTTATTACTTTTAGTCTTAACCTTAACTCCTCGAGTAACCAGTTACTGCACATCCCACCAAACACTTGAAAAATGTGTGGTGTGGCAAAAAAGTCTTGTAGCAATTTGTACAATGTTCAACGGGATCAAATAATTACAATAATATTAATTGGAAAGTAACTATCTTTTACACAGGCCAAGACTTAAAAACCTGGTATCGTAAAATACCGGTGTAAATGTACATCCTTACTACTGTCATACATCCCGTCTTATCTTATCTGTGCGAATTATGAGCAAATGTCATAATTTTATTGATACTGATTGTTTTCTGTTCATCCATCGTTTTCTGCATTTTCACGTTTGCGTGGTTGCATTTTTCGCGAGGCCAGTTGCGAATTTGCGATTCGTACAGACCTTTGTCAAGATATGGTTACATAAAGTGTAATTTTTTTTCTCCATCAAATCCTTTGTTAGTTCATTTTCCAACACACATCGTGGACGGCATTGAAAAATACCTTCCATTTTTGCACCACCATGGAAAAACACGACGAAATAAACAATAAAAATGTGCCGCGAAGTCTCGTTGGCGATTACGGCACCTCGGATTCTGAATCGGAAGATATTGATGGGACTTCGAGTGGACAAATCGGCAGTGAAGAATACGATCACACGGAACACAGTGAAATGGTTTTAAAAAATAACATTATAAATGCTTGCGCCCACGGCCCTTTGCCCCGTTCCAAAGCGGAGAGAGATGTAAAAACTTCAACAAATATGATAATAGATGGTTCAGACAGTGATGTGGTTAATTATGAAGTGACTGAATATAGAGATGTTGATAGTGAATCCTATTCGACGCCTTCAAGCGACTCCAGCGACGATGAGGGCTGGATAGAGGCTGTGCAGAGTAACAATTCTAGTGGGTATGTGTACTGCCTTTATTATATTTATCTTTTTTATTAATGCAGTAAATACTATTTAATGCAAATTGAGTTTATTTAATTAAGTGACAGTAATCTTTAAAATATTATTTATCTTATATGAATTTAATATTTCTACTACTTACTCATGGACATCAAAAGCTAATAAGTTAATATATCATTTAGAGATGAAGACGGTGAAAAACAAAGTAAAGCAGAACCAATAAAAGTTCATGGAGAATTGGGTCTGGATGACCTGCCGCCTATTGAAGACCTCGCTATCAGCCTGCCGGCACAGGACACCACCAAGATTGGCACCATCCTCAACATTGTAGATAGATTAGGTGAGATAAATTTACTACATTAATAAACTTCAAAGATATATTAAATTCAAAGTTTATAATTTAGCAAGCATTATGTATATAACCTAAATGAATGTAAAATTAATCTTTTTTTTGTAGTTAAACTTGTAAAAAGATAACAAATGCCTAAATACAAGCTTTCCTTTATTTGTTACACATTTTGAAAGTGGATTCCAAATGGCCTTATGGTATGATTGATTGGTCAATCAGCCCAATGACCAAGGGGTCATTAAAAGTCAGTAAAAAGTTTCACTTGAATATTCTCATTACTTTCAATAATTTCAAGTATTTTAGTATTTATTACAAGTACATAAATGTAAATTAGTTTGTATCTTTGTTTCATAATTTTAGGAAACTATTTTATCTAATTTGTTATATCCTGTTCATTTCCAGTGATAATTCGTGCGCTGCCAGAAACTCCGGCTGTAGATTTAGACAGCATATTGTTCCTTGATAATGGTGCTCGTGCGTTGGGGAAGGTGTTTGATGTATTCGGACCGGTAAGTTAACATTTACTCCACATCCCTACAGGCAGAGAAAACATCATGATGTTTGCACATCTGTCAAATTGTTTTACTAGAATACTTTTCTTGTTATCAGTGATGCAAATTTTAGTAAATTAGGTTCTTTATTTAAAACTTTATACAAAAAAGTTAAATTCTAATAATACAAATGTTTAAACTATACTAATACAAAATATGTGCAAGGGCAGCCTTATTGCTATGAGCAATATCTTACAGGCAACTCAGTGGCACAGGAGAAGCTAGACTTTTTGGTAATACTACTAATAGACACTTTAATTTTATTACATGTATAGAGTTATGAGTGTGGTGGTACACTGGTAGAGGTAGACTTAGAAAGAGATGGATGGATTGTGTGAAAAGTGACATGATTAAGAAGGAAGTGATGACAGATGATGGATGATAAAATTGTTTGGAAGAAAACCCAGGGCGCCGCACTTACGAGAGTAACATAAAGTAAAGGAGATGATGTATACATTGATAATAATGGCTTATTTATTTATGTTCTATTGTCTTTGAAGGTTATTTGTATTGTGAAATGTTTCTGTCAGGTGACGGAGCCCCACTACTGTGTGCGGTTCAACTCCGTGGATCACGTGAAGGAGCGCGGCGTGCAGCCCGGCATGGACGTGTACATAGCGCCGCGCAGCCGTGATCACACCAACTACGTCTTCCTCACAGAGCTCATGAAGTCAGTACTGGAGATAATACATAGTAGGGCGTTTGGGCGACCGCCCAGGGCGGTGGGGCCATTAGTCAGCGATTTACAAGCTCTTAAGCAGAGATGTGATTTATATAGACTTTGTATTTGAAATACAGATACAAAATACATATTTTGTCTTTTATCAATGTATTTTGTACCTTGCATTTTAGTATTTTAAAGATAAAGTATCTTTCAAGGTTTTCTTTCGTTCAAGGTATTTTGTATGTCTTTGCCCTTAAGCCTATTTACTGCTACTCCGTAAATCATGGTATAAAAGGGGCCCGGGAAACTTCACCCAGCGCGTTAGGAGCGCTGAAACCGATATTCATAGTATGCAGGAATGTTTGTTTTGACAAGTATTTTTGTATGGAATAAAGCAAAATGTTCTTTGTATTTCCAGATCGAAAGGTTCCGATGCATCGTGGCTGCACGACATCGAGCCGCCGCCGAGCCACGTGGACTTCTCCGACGACGAGGAGGAGCGCCGCGCCAACCGCGCCCGCAAGGAACAGAACAAGACGACCGACAGCGGGGAGACCAGCAAAACCATCAGCCAACCGCCCAAAAGAGATAAAAGAAGAAACCAAAGACCCTCGGAGAGCAGCAGCCGTTTCGGATACGAGGTCGGGTTCGGTAGGGGAGGAATCAACCCGTTCGCGGAAAGACGGCCGATGAGGTTCGTCAATCCGTGGTTTGCGTGGGATTTAAATGAGAGCAGAAGGTCACATAATGATTCCTTTCCCCGACCGTTGAGGCCGCCCTTCAACCGGCCCCCGATGTGCGCGCCGCCCTTCGATCCTTACATTCCTCCTCCGTTCGTCAGCGAATACCAGTTCGGAGGCAGACCGCGAATGTTCGGTCCGGTGCCGGCGGCGAGCGCGGCGCCGCGGCCGGGGCCGGTGTTCGGCGCGGCGTACTGCGCGCCGCCGCCGCAGCCGCAGTGGGCGCGCCGCCCGCCGCCGCCGCCCGGCACATGAATATATATGTGAATGTAATCTGTAATATATATCCTGTCATATAAATACTTCGAAAACGTTCTAACAATACTAAAGTGTGGTATCCAAATATAAAATTATATTTATATAAAATAAAGCAGTTGTGTTTACGTTTCTGGGTTTTTTATTTTTTTTTACTTTCAATTGCAAATGTCAAAATTCTAATGCACAAATCACAACGAAGGAATTTGACATTGGATAATGATTATCGTTACCATGGCAACCTCGCTTTCTCCATGTCAACATGTAGTTTATGGTCCCCGTTCCACATGAAGGATTTTTTCAATTCATTTAACCTCTAATTTTAGTAGCTTAAAAATACAGATAAAGGCGTGTCGTAAGCGTAGAACTTTTTAATAAAATAGGAATTGTTCAAAAACATGTGATTGCAGACAACTTACTCCAAAATAAAAATGTAAATATGGATATAATAAAAGGGTATATGTTTGTAATATCAAAATAAAAATTCCAGATTTCGAGACCTATTTGCGTTGATGATAACGAAAATTGCTTTTAAGAAATGTCTGTGTGGACAGACAGAGATTTCGCGACATTGCGGACGTAAGCCGCGTTTGACCCGGGTAATCTCCGAAACGACTGGGCTGAATTTGATGGGATTTTAACTAGAAGGTAGATACACTCGGTAACATAATAGATAACATTTTTTTAAATACTACACTAACGAAGTTTGCATGCGATAGTTCGTTTAAATCATGAAAAGTTAAGGGATCGATTCTTTTTCAAATAAAAGTCGAATAATTTTTTGATTTCTTTATTAAATATTTCATTGTTAGAAATAAACTAACGATCGAATTTCATAAATGTTAAAAATTATATTATAAAAAAAAAAGTTATAATAATAAAGATTACAACTAAAAAATACTGCTCTTGGACTACGCAGAAAAAATACATGCGCTAACTTCTGCTGCCCTCATTGACGTAAGGTCAAATTAAACTGGTTACAATAAACGAAATTTTGCACTCACATGATCACAACGTAAAATGAATAACATTTCACAATACAGGAATACAATAGAAAAAACGATTACAACTAAATATAATAATTTCGCAGCAACTGTGCCTATAAACTGCCCTCAGAGGTACATAAACTAAAACATTTGAAATAGCCATTGTTATTAAAGCTAACAAAGTATCCTTGGGCTTTGAAGACATTAAAGGAACAATAAGCAGTGTTCATTAAAAAAATTCCCGCCATCCGCCATTTTGATTCTGTCACAAACGTCAGTTACGTCAAAATTAGTGATGAATGGATACAAGTTGCTTTGATAAGATAAACCAAAGTTAAAATATTAAAAAAAATGCAAAATTACTAAACATTTATTTATAGTTTTTATTTCAAGATCTAAACAACTTTTGACGTAACAAATGTATGTGTTTATGCATTTAAGGTTGTTAAAAATTTAATATAAAAAAATCGTGATAATTCCCGAAATAACTGCCTATTGTTCGAAATAAAAGAAAACAAATAAACTGTCAAATGTTAAAATTAACAATATTTTAGTATACAATTTCAATTGGTTTTGATTTAAATTCATGACAATGGTAAAACAAAAGACATTTCGTAAATTAATTTTTATTATCTGTTAAAATTCTTTAGTTGTACCGTTGCTATGATAATCAACAAGAAAATAAACTTAAAATAAATGCAATCAAACAGCGAGCATCTCAAACATTTCATATAAATAATGTTTATCTCAAAATACGCAGAAAGTAAACTATGTCGTACGATCACGGGTCAATAACTGAGTACAATCGAGGTTTTAAAAATTGATTTTCATGTTTCAAAGATATAAAAAAAGGTTTTAGAAAAAATATTCAAACAATTGATTTAAAATTAATCACATTTAAGTAAATTTCAGTATTCATTACACTTTTAATAAGTTACAAATAACTTGTTTTTAATGTAGAAAGTAAAATGTGAATACATAAAAAACAATAAATTTGATTCAAAATAAAGATAGAAAAGCGTAATTTTTTTGCAATTTGCATCATATATACATGCTTTTGAAAAATGTAAATTATTACATAAAGTTACACAAATTATATAAAACATGACCCGTGAAGTTTCAAGTGAAGTTCGCTTAAACTTAAAGTAACGCAGAGCCAATAGGGCTTCAGTAAAAACATAACTTAGACGTTACACTACACTAATACGTGTGGGATACAAGATACGTTATAAGGGAGTAACTAATTTAACTTAGCTTAGTTTTATTATAAAAATACAGATTCTTTCGTTAACTTAAACTCTCGATAAGCTTAGCTTGCCATGAGACTCACGACTGCCTCTTCGGGGCTCTAAGACTTAAAAAAAAAAATTGCAAAGCCGGCCGAGCCGACAAAATAAACCGTAGTTTCGTACCGAGCAGTCTTCCGTCAAATACGTTAAACTTATTACAAGTTAAACAAAAATTACTTATAAATGTGATTACCACTAATAGTGAAGCGCTAATATTAAGTTGATCGAATATAAAACTTAAATCTAAACGATTAAAATGAAATTACGTTTCTACTTGCAAGGGTTATAATTTTGCGATTACATGTTTTTAGGAACTATACTACTGTACAGATTATAAAGAAAATATTTTTTTTTTCAAAAATTTATAGCGAGTAATACTTTCAAGATATAATTAAAGAGAAAAAAACGAACGGTGTTTGAATGTGAGTCAACACCCGTACAATGTAGACGTGAGCAGTAGCGGTATTAGGGTAGGGCAACCGCCCAGGGCGGCGGACATAAAGAGGCGCTATAAATTTATATAAGGGCGCTTACTTTGTTTTGTAATTAGGGGATGCCATAGATATATCGCCCAGGTCACCGGTATCACTAAAACCGGATCTAGACGTGACTTGTGATACTTTAGGGCGACCGCCCAGGGCGCTGGATAAGGGCCACAAGTCTAAAGATTACAGCCTCACGTAAATCTGTTACCTCTCCTCCCATATGTATACTAAATTAGGGTTTGTGGTATTCCGCCCTAGGGCGTTAATAGCCCTAAAACCGGTAATGTACGCGAGTTCCCACTGTTGAATGTACGAAAACATATAGTATCTTATTCGATTTAAAAAACAATATGTTTTCGCATATATAGTGGCAATCAACAAAGGAACTTAAAATTGGTTTTGTAAGAATATATACCAATCGGGGCTGTCTCACAGCTTTGCACAGCAGATCTAGCTGTCTGTTTAAGTTGATTTAAGAAATATATTTTAGTTAAAATTGTTTCGCTAAAAATAAATAGCTATCGTATCACTTGTTCGTGTGGTGTTGCCGTATTTAGAATATGTTTTTTTTAAATCTAAAACACTACGCCCTACTTAGTATTCACAAGACCTGGGAAAGGCGAAATAGTGCGTAACTACACTTTTTATTAATGTCAATTTGAAACTTATTTTTACGATTATATGTAGCCAGTAGGCCCTACTATAGAGATAACTCAGTATCGAGTATTTAATTTTTTAAAATTTTCCTGGAATGCCTCTATATTATCAGATCAAAGATATTTTAGTGGTCAATTGACCATGAAAAAGGACCTAAGGCAAGAGTATACGATTCTATCATACTAATATTAAATTACTTAGTAAATATGCTGCCTCTATGTAGAATATCTCAAAATATTATATGCTATGTTTGTTATGTAAACTGCTAACAAGAATGGCCTGCACACTTCATTACCGAGAAATTAATATTGATATGTTATGTAAATACATACGTCATTAAAATACATAGAGTATTAAGAAATTGTTAATTTTGAGATTTTGTGATATTCAATATTAAACCTTGTTCCACGGTAATAAAGTGCATTCGTAGACCAATCTCGTGCTTGTGACAAATTCTTTGTTCGGTATCGGTATTGAGTATTGTATTGTATACTGTTTATTCTAACATTAGAAAAATATGGCATCATAGTATATCCTGTACTAAAAGTATCCTAAAAACTAATTATTTCCCTTAATATTATGGCTATATCGGTTATATAAGATCATCTAGAAGTTTGATGCCATATATCAGTAAAGCTTATTTTAAAATGGATAATTTCTTCGGTTAAGTGATTTTCTTTTTCTTATTACCAATCTAAATGCATGTTAGACAGTCAGGTTTACTAGGATTAGTGTAGTCGCGTTACTAGCAACAGTGGTTTAGCAATTAACACTAAGCCTACCGTGACGTCATCATGGTAGCATTTGAGTTTAGCGCTACCGTGACGTCATTGCGGTAGTATACAACTAAGGCTACCGTGACGTCATATTAATAGTTTTAAAACTAAGGCTACCGTGTCACCTTGGTAGCTTTTGCCTCTAGGGCTCTCGTGAAATCATAGCATTTACGTCTATAGCTACTGACGTTAGTAGTTTAACTAGGGCTGCCGTGACGTCATCGTGGTATTAACACTAGGGTAGCCGTGACGTCATTGTACAGGAAGACTTAACTACGCATAACGATCAAGGCAAATATTTCCCTAATAATAAAAGTGAACACGTGTACGTTATGCGAATGAAACTGTTTCCCGCTAAAACATTCATACATTTTACATTAAAATGCGTTTCATAACCATTCAGCAAATACACGCACTATCATAAGAGAATCGGTCATTTAGGCAATACTTAGATCTAAAATCCGCGGTTCGAAATAAAGCATTCCCATTGGTTGTTTCCCGTCACGTGACATTTCAACCAATCACGTAGCTCCGTCACAATACCGAGGATAATTAATGTGGAAACTTTGTATGTTGTGAACATAGCAAATGCCACAATACCCCTTATGATCTACCCCTTAAGAACTGTTTTAGTTCGTACAGCCGTAACATTCCGGAAGACCAATTTTATCATTTCATCAAATAGGATTATGATATCGAAATGAATACACGAATCCAATACGAAGATATCCTTCAGTCAAAGAAATAAATTTAAAAATATCAAATAAATTGACAAAAATCATTCGTTCTTTATCTTTCTCAATATATCATTTACAATTCTCAATAAGCATAATTAAATTGAAATTATGTAATAATTTAGTTTGAAAACAAACTATATTACAAGAAAAAAACACCAATAAGGCTATAAAAACAAATATATACTTGAATTCAATTCAATGTAAATTTATTTACACATTTCACTGGCTGATGTTATTTTTCCTCTATTTTTAATAAATCTATGGCTCTTACGTAAACTAACGTATGTTGTAAACGCATTTTTTCAAAATAAAAACTTTAAACACATAATTTAGTATGTCAAGTTCATTTCAAAAACACAAAACAAGATGTAAATTGCAAAACTGTGGCTTAAGAGAGTCTACATAGAAGTCATTGTTGATTAAAGCCTTGTATTGGTTAAAATTGTTATTTTTTTCACTTTTCTATTAAATTCGAGTATAAATTTGACTGAAGGATTTATATTTCGCTTATTTACTTCTTATCTTTCGGCGTAACAACGGGGTAGATCAGGAGTAAAGGTACATATTATGTGTTCTCCACGGGCCTTATGGTGCAATCACCCACTGTGGTGATGGGGGTGATGGTCACCGAGCTGGGAGTGGAAGATGGTATATTCACCTCCTGTCCGTTGTCCATTTTATCATCTTTCTCCTCATTATTAGGCGGTAGTTTGACAATCTGACAGTCTCCGACCGTCATGATCTGCGTTTCCATAGCAACGGGGGGTACGTTCTCTTCAGGTTCGATGCGGGAGCTGTCCTCGTCGTCGGAGGAAGAATCTGACACGTCAATGGTCCTGTCGTGCGAGGTCTCGGTGGTGGCGCTGTGGTCCGCATCCACGTTCCTGTCAGGGTCGACGCTGGTCACCCCATATGAGTAAGCCAATGGGTTGTACATCATCTCCGTCAGATAGGAAAAGTCGCCGAATGGTAGATTGGTTGCATTGTAGTTCTCGTTAGGTCGCCCATCTGGAAGTATTTTATATTTTTGTGATATAAGTCACTGTCAATTACTGGTACATTTACCTAGTTAAAATTAATACGCATTCGATGTTAATAAGTTAGTTTTATGTGTTTATTTTCATGCATATAGGTGTTTTACGGACGGAACTATAATAATTTTCATATTTCAATACTAACATAAACAGCCGAATACTGAAACGAATTAAACACATCGCTATGACAAATGACAAAACTTTAATAGAATGGAGTTTAAGCATAGTCTACATATATTGAAATTTCGTTTCAGTAGTTTAGTATTCGGCCGTATTTATTATATTTAGTTGTCATACATCTTGTAAAAGGTATATGAATCTATCGACTCATTTAAAACAAAAATAACATCTAATAAATGTGATCATACTCGTATATTTATATGTTAGGGATGTTGCAAAGCAGGCATGTTAGTGTAAGAATTACAGATCCCTCTACCTCTAAAGTTACGACTAATTTTAACTTAAGGCCGAATTCTGAAACTACATTTAAATATTTAACAGCGTAAATAAGTTTAATCTAACTCCAAATTACATTAGATTTTAACGTCTGTCAGATTGTAAGCGTTACGAAATGTTTATGGTTCGTTCCTGTATTCGGCCGTTAGATCACCTCAATTTTAGGATGTTCATAAAAGTTATATGAAATTTAGACTGATATTACAACTTTTAATATAATTTTTATTACAAGTTTTAGTTATTTCCACTATTTTTTTTTATTTCCCGATAGAAATAAATTATTCTATAACTAAATTTAATTATATTATATGTTGCATTCTACAGTAAATCGTGCACATTTCTAAGTATATACATAGCTATATATATATGGGCGTCGCAAGCCAATAAACAAAGGAGGGACGGCGATGACTAAGAAGGGCCAAGTAATAAATACTTTATTTGTTAAAAAATAACGCTTTAATGAAAAACTGACGTCTTTTTTTATTTATCTATGGTAGGAATTATGGAAAAAATAGTAGTTTTAATATTTTTTTTTTTATATTCACGTAAAAATATTGACTCTCTACGGTAGGGGGGCAAGTGCTCCCCCTTGGCCTAGACAACGCCCATTATATATGAACTAAGACTAACTAAGTTAGAATACCGATTAGTACCGACAATATATCCCCATAATAGAAATTTTGGTATAAATAGTTCTTTCATGCGTTATCAATAATGGGATACTAACAAAACTTGCTCATTTCTGCGGCTAGTCCGTACTGCATCGGTATTGCCATATCCATACCTAAAAAGACTCGCCGATTAGCGTGGCTCAGACAAACGCTTACTGGCAACACTTGATATTAAAATGTTACAAAATAAAGAAAAGTTTAAACTATAAAAAACAAGCAGATTAATAATCTAAAGTAACGAAACTTTTTAATTTCAAATGGCACCAGTGAGCATACATCGTTTCTATTCCGTATGTTTCTTAATCAAAAATTATATTTATATGAATAAAGTATACGAAAAAGGAGTTTTTTCTTTAAATTAAAAAGAGCATTTTTAGATAATCTACTGATTCAAACAATATACTAAATAAACGTTTATAGTATAAATCTATACTAATATTATAAAGAGGAAAGATTTGTATTTTTGTATGTATTGAACTCAAAATTTTTTTTACTATTAAAAAGCTACGTTATCAGTAAAATAGTATGTATTTTTTTTATTTCAAGCGAAGTCTTTAACAACAGCTAGTTAAACATAAAGAATAGAAACGAAATTGCAAATAAACGAGAAGCAAACCGCTATAAGGCAGAGTGATTTGCTGCACACACACAAACACACACACACAACACATATATGTACAAGACGACGTTGAACAATCGCATTAATCGACAAAAACATTCATCTTTGAGTCATTGCTTTTATTATTTCCGCTACACTTCTCAAACTCGAATCTAACATATATCAATTTTAAACTTTATCTCTATGTATTTTGGGTTTATTTTTGCATATGTGTGCCTGTCATTAATTTATTTTTCAGTGAATGTTTTTGTAACAAACGAAATACGATTTATGATTATGAAATAACTACAAAATAATCTGAGATATGAAATAGATTTACGTATGATGTAACTAAATGTGACTTGCATAAAAAATAAATTGAATCCTGGACTAAATTACTTATCAAGTAAAATTTAATTTAAGTCTAGTAAGACCAAAATAAATTAAAAATTGCATGAAAAGACGATCAAATTACAGTAATACAAAGAATCTAACTAATATTATAAATGCGATGGATGTTTGTTAGAGTTTGTAGCCTTAACGGCTTAACGCATCTCGATAAAATCTAGATTAATTGTCGAAGATATTTTGGAAGAACGCATAGGCTACCTACTTTTTTTTTTAATTCCTCGCGAACGGAGTCGCGGGCGAAAGCCAGTATGTAATAATTAAATTAACTTTTTTCACATTTAAAATATTGAGAAAGACGTGAAATTGCAAAAAGTAACGAGTACAAAATGTGTAGGTGATGGAAAATGATAGGAGGTGATAGGTGTGGTTACCTCCTTGCGGCAGGAGGTAGTTCTTGGGCGGCCTGCCGCGCTTCTTCTTGAGCAGCAGCTGCTGGGGCGCCGCCAGCTGCGGCAGCTGCTGCGGGCTGGGGCCCAGCACCGTGCCGCCCGTCAGCACGCAACCTTCCATATCTGGAATTATATTCAGAGTAATGTATTGTTTGACATTTCAATAGGAAAGATTATTATTTTTTTATTCTTTTGATGATATTTATCTGTTTCTATTTCATTTATATATCTCTCAGACATTAGATTTGTGATTTTCGTCTACAAAGTCTAAGTTTTCATGTAAATTGATAAGATATATGTCAAAATCAATCAAGAATGTCTAACTTGTTGAGATGGGAATTGATATCCTTTGGTTCTTTCAGGAAATATGCAAACTTACCTATTACAAAATATTTGTACACCTATAGTAAATGACATAAAATGAGGGCGCTAGTAAGCTATTATAATTTAGTTTATATCCATGAAGTGAGATAGTTGTTCAATGTACGCAAGCGAAGTCGCAGTTGACAAGTATGGTATAAAATGTTGAATTTTACTTGCGACTCACCAAGCGAAGTCTTAGGGGGTCGTCCGCGTCGCTTCTTTATCTTGGGGGTGAGGGGCAGGGGCGTCTTGCGGGGTCTGCCCCGGCCGCGGCGCGGGGGCTCGAGGTCGTCGCGCGGGGGCATGGGGGCGGCGTGCGGGGCATGCGGGGCTGCATGTGGGGCGGAATGCGCGTGCGGGGGCAACATCACGTCGCCGCTGGGGGTGAACACGAGGTGTCCGGACTCGCGGTGCGTGGTGCGCACCATGCCGGACATCACTTCGGAGTTGTTCTCGCGCTTGATGTTTGGCAGCTCGTTGGTCATATCCACTGTTGGGTCCTCCTGTATATGTATTCGCCATTAGCGAATTACTAAAGATTAAGGGCGCACATCTTTGACTGAACTATCGCACAACTGGTTAGCCAATTCAACTGTTTAGTTGCACAATTAAATGAGTATATGGAGGATATAAGCTCTTAAACTGATTGAAAAAAACGCAATATTACATAAAATACTATCGTTAAACATTGACTATCTCCTTTACTAGTTATTTTAGCGACACTGCTTTACCTTTAAAGTTCTAATCTGTCTTCTATCATATACCTTTATATGAGAGAATGTATTTGAACTCACCCGTTCGCAGATCTTAGTATGCACGCGCAGTTTGTCGGAGCGCGCGAAGGAGCGGCCGCAGCCGCCGCAGGTGAAGGGCCGCTCGCCGGTGTGCGTCAGCCGGTGCCGCGACAAGTGCGACGAACGCTGGAACCTGGAAACATCACACACTCTTTTACCAACAAGTATGTACAAAATTCAGATAAAAATCGTATATGATGAAAGATAGGCATTGTTAAGGGTGAAGCTAAAGCATTAAAAATGTAAATTAGATATTATAAAGTACTGTAGCTGTAGCTCGCGACTTATTCCGCGTAGCTTTTTAATGGTGAAAGAATTTTTCGAATCAGCCTAGTAGTTTTTGAGTTATTTCAATATAAATCTCCTCCTCCTCCTCCTTATAATATTAGTATAGATATAGATAAAAACTACTATGAACAAAACCGTGTTAATTGTAGCTAGAGGGCTTTAGGCATAAGATCGGCTGGCGACCAACAATAGAAACACTAGACATTTAAGAATCACAAAAAACGATAATTTAAAAATAGATAAAAAACCTTTGCATATGTATTAGGGAAAAAATAAATAAAATCTCCAATAGCGGTACTTTACCCAAGCAGGAAAATTAATTTGGTATTAATATTGGGTCGAAAAGATATTTTACCTGAGGTCACAAACATCGCAGACGTGAGGTCGGCCGTCTTGGGAGTCGTTGGCGGCGGAGTCCGAAATAGACCCGCTAGAGTCAGTTTCCTCGTCATCATCCATTCCCATCTTGCCAGCTTTCTCTGGAGAAAAATGTTAGAATTATAGCATAAGATCGCACAACTGTTGTGCGATTGTCAATTGTTTCGTATCCAATTCAACTGTTTAGTTGCATAACTAAAAATCGAGTAGTGTGCACCTCCATATAAGTTCATAGGACTCAACAGACTAAACAGTTCTGCGATAGCTTAGTCAAAGGTGTGCGCACTTATCAGAAATATATATGAGGTGAGGTCTTTATCGACTCATAAAATGTTATGTAAAAAAGGCTATTGAGGGGCTTTGATGGGTTTTCTTTTTTTTTTTATAACATAAGGTGGAAACGAGCAAGCGGCCACCTGAATCCGCCAAAATGGCGAGGCGACCGCTGCCCATAGACATCCGCAATTGCAGATGCGTTGCCTACCCTTACCCGACGGAGGAGGAGACGCACATAAAGAGGATATTTCCCCTTCCTATGCATCTCCTCCACCGTCAAATCCACTACCCGTTCCCGTCCTCTCCTTATAAGGAAAGGGTGCTATTTTCCTAGACATTGTAACAATGAGTTGCTTTTAGTTAGAATCCTAAGAACCATTACTGTCAGTTGAAAATTACGAAAATCAAATTACACGAAGTAATTAATTTTTTTTTATTCAGTTATAAAAAAGATTTTTTATCTTTATAGATAGTATGAATAACAATTAACAAAGCCATTATAGATATACAAATTAAAAAAAAAAAATTATTCACTGGAGTAATTGTAATATATTTCCATTTGGCTGATTCTTGCATATGCAAATACATAACATGGCGCCAGTTTAGTTATTCATTTTACTAATCAGATAGCTTACATTTTCGGCAATCAATCTTAAAAAAATATATATTATTTAACATTTTCACTGATTTTTTTGACAAATTACATAGATAACTAATGGTTGCTTGTAAAAATTGTGTAAATCAAAGCATTGAGGTAGTTAATTAATTGAGCTTGGGAAGGTTTTACTTTTTTCTTTTTTATGTTTTTAAAGGTAAGAATTTTTGAAATCGTTCTAGTACTGGGTTAATGTTATTGCAATATATACAAATTTATAAATCTTTCTCTTTATTATATTTGTATAGAATAAAACTGTTTTTTTGGCACACAAATTTTACTCCGTACTGTAGTCACGTTTTAAGTAAATTAGGTGTGCTCACCATCGGAATCATCATGTTCATTATTGGTGGGTTTTTGCAGCACCGCAAGTTGCACCACTTTGATGCCGCCCTGCTTCGTCTCCATTTCATTCCTCGAATCTATACTTGCGCCTGGAAATTATAGCAAAATATTAGGAATTGTGTAGAATTTAGTAACTTACGTGACATTCTAGATTATGTTTTAAATCTGTAACTATCATCAAGATCCGTTGAGCCGTACAGGAACTAACCTGAACCTTCTAACTACCATCCATCCTAATATTCGTATCTGTAGTATACTAGCTTTCTCCCGCAACTCCGTCGCATGATTTTAAAAAACAAAAATAAGCTGCCTATGTGTTTTTCCAGACTGTGCTCTACATCTATGCTAAATTTCATTGCGGTCTGTTCAGCAGTTTCGTTTACAAACTCTAACAAACATCCATCCATCTGAACTTTCGGATTTGTAATATTAATAAAATAATACAACAGTAAGTACATTTAGTGTGCACAAAGGAATTAGTTCCATAATCCCGCAATATGGCGAGGGTTTTATATTTCTGAACAAGTTGTAACGATTTGTTAATATTACATGAAGTTTTTGATAAGATTATTACGAGGAAAATACTTATTCTAAGTAACATAACAGTTTTTTTTATGTAACATGCATACGTCAAATAAAACGTTTAACATAATGTATGGGTTTTCCTTAATACAAATTATATGCATTTGATGATTTTAGCAGAACATAAAATCATTTGTAATAACCGTGTTCCTTATTTTTTACTGTATTAAAGATTAAGTAGATCTTTACAAAAACCGCTTCGAATTTAGAGTAATTATGACTTTTTTAGTATAATTGGTATAAAGTTTTTAACTTACAAGAGTCCCTAAAACAACTGGTACAAATATTTTATTTCAAATTAAAATGCGCGTTAAGTACACTTAGATTTTACATAATAGTATTTAAGAAAATAGCAACACGTACTTTTAGCATAATTATACCGTAACTTATGTTAATAAGTTGCGGACAATCTACGCAAGTGTGTAATGAAATCATTTAAGTTATAGCGGGAAACAATTTTATACGGTAACATATAATTTAACTACGCATGAAGTGACCACGTGCTTTCTAACATTTAAACAAATAAATATTAGACCAAACTTTTTATAATATCAAGCTTTTATTAAGCAAATGGATAAGATACGAAATGAGTAAAGAGGAAGTTTGAGAGTAGCCTCAATGGCAGAGATGGTAAGGAGTAAAAGGTTAGCATGGTATGGGCATGTTATGAGGGATGAATTGCATGTAACAAGGAGAAAGTTATGAGTGAGGAGGTACACCGGTAGAGGTAGACATAGAAAGAGATGGATGAATCGCGTCAAAACATGATCAAAAAGTGAGATGAAGATGGTTAAGTTTTGATCCAGGGAAGTAGGACATTGATTAGAAACTATATCCTAAGGCTGTCCATAAGTGAAGATTAAGTACGAGAATTTTTCACTAAGGTACAATTAAACTACTATTGAATATGACTAATCCGACGCAGTGTGTCCTATTTTATGCAAACGTCAACTTTTTTTTTATTTTTTATAACATAAGGTGGCAAACGAGCAAGCGGCCGCCTAAATCCGCCAAAATGGCAAAGCGACCGCTACCCATAGACATCCGCGGTTGCAGATGCGTTACCTATCCTTATCCGACGGAGAAGGAGACGCACATAAAGAAGATATTTCCCCTTCCTATGCATCTCCTCCACCGTCAAATCCACTTCCCCTTCCCATCCTCTCCTTTTTAAAAAACGGTGGTACAGAGAAATGGACTTAAATTAGGCCTCCGGCACTACACTCATTAGACGAAACACGGAATTGCTTCCATTTCACGCCTGTCTTCTGTGTGGTCGTGGTATTACACCGGGCGTGCCGGCCCATTTGTGCTAAGATGTTAAAGTGGGCTCGACCACTGCTTGGGTTTCCATTGTCGAATAACTTGTTAGGAAATTTTACGATCTGCTTTTTGTAAATGAGTTATTTTTGTGCAACTATAACCTTTTCGTATACATTATGTATAATGTGTTTACAATATACATTACTTATATTTTATCAACATTAACAATTTACCTGAAAAATTATTTCGTAAGCAACCGTATATACGAGCACCTATTTATATAATAGACGGTAAATATTCTCAATAATACGTAATGACTTTCGCTAACGGCATTTCCTTCATACACTTTGAATATCTAACATATTACAATAAGATATGGCAATTTATGCTTTATTTACTTTCGTATAAAGTTTAAAACCAATCAATTATTTGTTGAACTTAACTGTTATTGCAAGATTATAAAGTTTTAATCTATACTAATATTATAAAGAGGAAAGATTTGTATTTTTGTATGTATTAAAATAACTCAAAAACTACTGAGCCGATTATAAAAATTCTTTCACCGTTAGAAAGGTTTTCTCCGTGAGTAACATAGGCTATGTTATTCAATTTCACGCGACCGAAGTCGTAAGCAAATATAGACGTATTGTTTTTTAACATCAGTATATAGTCTATACTTATCTATGTTATAATAAAGCGTAAACACACACTTCTTTGTTGCCTAAGATGCCAGCAATTACAGCATTTTTTTGAATAATTCTTTGTTTAATAAAAATCCCTACACTTACGTCAGGCTTTAGGCTATAAATTTTAAAGCCATTAAACTTAGGGGGTAAATATTTTGGATAAAAACCCTAATGTGGGAAAGAGACCATAAGTTGTTGCCAACATCAAGGAAGCAAAGTTGTCATGGTTTGTCACCATGTAATGTCATTTTGACATTTGCAATTGATAATTTAACACATGTAAATAATAAAATGAAATCTTCATAATTTTATGCGGATGAAGTCGCACGGGAACAGCTAGTAGTTAATATTTAATTCACTTAAATTTTGAATATTTTATAACAGCAAGGGGAAACACCGAACGAGTTCTAATGAAATACTTAAAGCACGATAAAACCAATGTGTCATTCCTAAAAAAAACACAAAGGTAATTTCTACACTGCGCATAGTGGTATTATTCTGGTTTATTATGAAACCGTAGCCTTTAAAGATTGTTTAGTCTAAACTAGCTGGAGACGAAAACGAAAACTATATTACTACTACAAGAGCGTCAGTGGTTTAAGCACTTGACTTGTAATCTACATGTCTTGGATTCGAATCCCGTCATGTACCAATGTGATTTTCCATTTGTCGAATGTCCATATGTATATAATTTACCCGAGGTTTTTACGGTGAAGGAAAACATCGTGAGGAAACCTGCATATATCGGCGAAGAAATTCAAAGATATGTATGAAGTAAACCAAGGCAAACTGGGCCAGCGTGATCGACTATCACCTAGTCACCCTAACTTAGGGTAGGCTCCGAGCCCCTCGGTGGGGCCGTATAGTGAGCTGGTAATGATGATATTCCTACAACAAAATTATCGATTTCTGAACTTTAATTCGTAACCGAATGTAGGTATGTTTGAAACGAAAATTTTGCAAGACAAATCATTAAACAATAATACATTTAGATACGACATATTAAATATGAACATAAGAGAGACAAACAAAATCTCAAGTTTTTTTTTCGTTACTTAATTATACAGAGAAATTATTTATAAGTTAATTTACGACATAAAACAAATTTGTAAATCTCGAAATTGTGGCTTATGATAGTGTACATAGGAGCCATCGAAGTATGCTACCGTTGGTACTTTCTCAAACATAATGCGTCTACAGTTCATAACGGTGACATGAAACAAGACATTTCCAGTATATTTCATGATTAAAGCCCGGTCATTGTCTACGTTTGTTTTATTACAAAACAACACCCGGAATGTGAGAGTAACAATGATGTGCGCAAAATTAAAACAAATAAACATCGTCCATTCGCTTTATTAAAAAACATGTTTATTGAACGCTTTTGAGTTATTCACGTGTGTGTGAGTTTACACACACGAACAAGATCTTTGTAATCATCTATATAATAAAATTGGAGTGTCTGTTGGTAATATTAACAGAAAAATTCCAGATCTCGGAAACATGATGTATTTGAGTTGCTGATGACAAAAATCGCATTAAATTTTTTTTTGTCTGTTTGTCTGTCTGTCCACAAGCCGCGTTTGTTCCGGGTAATCTCCGAAACGGATGGACCGATTTCGACCAGCCTTTCACTGGAGGTTAGCTGATATAGACGGGCATATTTTAGGCTACTTTTTTATCTTAATATTGCGTGGACGAAGTCGCGGGCAACAATTAGTGTTCTATAAAATGTTTATGTTTAAAAAATTAACAAATCAGGACATATGGTATATAAGTTTATTTTTTTGTCAATAATGAAATGAAAAAATATTGCCGCAGGAAAAAATATAATAGAATTTTTGGTATTTCCACTAACGTCAGATGACTAAGCAAGATAATAAAATTTAATAAGAAAAATGATTAATGAATGATATATAACAACGATAAGGAATACAAATTAAGAAAAGTTCTAAATATTAAGTATATTTTTTTTTTAACTTTATGACTGTCGGTTCCCACTACCTAAACGTAACCACATAAACTAGGCCGAAAAAAACATATCTTTTATGAAATACAATTATTTCTTACACATATTATTCTTTACATGGTCTTCCTCATAAATAAATACGTGGTGTTGAATCATGAATCATCACGTGCATAGAAATTAGGCATAACAATTTATAGAACGGAAACTTTAAGATTGTTCAAATCATAGTGAAATAAAATTATACTAAATTATTGCGTGTACCAGTCTATCTACTATTTATTTTACATGCAATAACATGACACAGTAACCGTAAGTTTCCACTATGAAAATACTGATATAAAACAAACAGTTTTCTCTTTTCCTTCAAAAAATAATGACAAGGATGGCAATATATTTTGGTATAAGTGTACGTGCTGTGAAAACCCACGGTAAACGCTTCAACTAACGGTCACCAATGTTGACAATTGACGGTCGTGTGTGCTGTCTCTTTTTAACATGTTCTGCGGTGCGCATTTTTCGTGGAAAATTTACGGTAAAATATTTTGAACTAGCGCTTTTTTTGCAGTTATACATACATCATTACTTTCGGGAGAAACGCAATCAGAACTACGCTTCTAATATATCTTGACATTTTAAAAGTTGGTCACGTCTATGGATTACCGTTACAAAATTATTCAAGATTTTTGAAAATTGAACATTTTCGAAATTAAAAAGAATTTATTTTTTGTTGACTATTAAATTTTTGATTACTTCCAAGTCCGGACCCATTTCCACTCAACAAAGGTTCAACGGTCGCGAATACTATTTTTTTTGTTCATATTTGACGAGCACTTAAGACATGCGACTTGAGTACGTAAATATCATGTTTAGTGCACTTCAAAATATCATTTTAAACATTTTACAGTACTATAAAGCGCTAAAGCCGAAATTTATTTGAATTTATTAAAACACTCACATCGGATATAAAATTTGGATCGTTTTAAGCATTTCATAATATTAAATCTCACGTGTGGTAAAAAGTTTTTGAATTTTTATTACTATGTGCACACACGCAAGCTTGAATTGTATATTCACGCACACATTGAAAGTAAGAAACTTTTCATTAATTAGATCATGTTTTCCCAGGCTTAGTTGAAAAATTCTCTCGTTAAAATTTTCGTCATGCCAACTTTTTGGGGTAAGCTCGATACGATCGTGAGAGCTTTTATTAACAAGTACACACAAGTATAATATAAAGTAAAAAAAATATCTAGAAATTAAAAGCTAAATACGACACGTAAAAAACTAAATAACCCAAAAGTAAATGGGATATAAAAAATTCCATTAACTTTATGAGGCACTTTATCAAAATAACAAAAAATAAACGAAATCTCTTGTGTATCAAAGCGACTTTACAGTCATAATAAATATACGGAAAATAGAACAATTGCTTTGCTTTTACATAAAATATTTTAAGGATACAAAAGGTTTATGATTGACCGAAGAGAACAAAAGACTTAGATAATGTTCAATATTGGCTAAGCTTTTACAACCTTAAATAAAAAGAGCATAAAGTTAAAAGAAAAAAATGTTTTTTCCATAACTTTTTACGTTTCTGATATGCTTTTATTACCGTGCACTTAAGAAGTACTGGTTAAATTATTATTACATCACAAATATTGTTTTTTTTTATTCCGACAGTTTTTGTGTAATATTCTGCTTAAAACCTACAAATTGGTAGACCGTCCATTTATATACTTTTGATAATATTTTCATATAAGTAGAATCATCAATTTATTTTTCTTAAAATAAGGAAAAAAGCATGAGACGCAATAAGAGATTTTAAATCTATTGAGATATTTTTAATATTAGGTAAAAAAAAACACTTTAATGATGACTCTTCATGAAACGTTGTATTTTTGAAAAACATACAAAACTCATAGTTTGAATTTTATAAGACTTTGATTAGTGTAGAATTAAAAAAAAAACATTTTAAGTACATAAATACCACATTTCGAAAAACAAAAATAGAAGCTATTAAGTCTGAAAAAAATATAGAAAAATGTAGGTTGTGTTTAGTCGAACACGATAATTATTTTAAAAATCTTTGCGAACTCGTTTCCACAAATTTTTGGATGTTTTTTTTCTATTAAGATAATCTATAGTTATGTTATTTTTTAAACGAAAAAGCGATCTCATTATCCGGTTTTGAAACACAAAAAAATAAACTCGTTCGCCATTTTGAAAAAACCCAAAACTATTAGCAGTCATTGTTGTTAACCGACATTATGTTTTAAAATGGAACAATCGATTTTTGAATTCGACCTGTATTTTTTATTTGTCTACCTGTGACGGTAACCTTAAGGAATGGCGTTGTCGGTTTTTTACTTGATTATCAATACGTTATTAATATAAATACAAGATTTTTTCTGTTAATTTTATTTTTGAATTACATTAATATATTGCTTGAAAGGAAAAACCCGATATTTGTCATTGAAATTATAATCTGTAGAATTTATAAATAATATTAAATCAGTATACAAGAATGGCTACATTGTAAAGTGATAATTGAGTATATTTCGGACAGTCATTGGAGAATATTAATCGCTTATTCAAATATTTAAAAAGAATGATAAGTCAAATATTAATAAATCATCAGAACTGTTACATACATAAAGTATATAAACCTACAATTTAGACACATAGGTTTTTTGATAGCTTTACGCAGAAAACTATCTATTTAGATTTTCAGCGAAAAACGTGTATTAAAGATTTTATCGTCATATTCTTATAAAAACTAGCTATTCCTGTGCGGCTTCATCCGCATGAGGTTAAAAAACTTTATTTTATTGTTTACATTTGTCAAATTATCAATAGCAAATGTCAAAATGACATGACATGACAAACCTAAGCAATCTTTCTTTCTTGATGTTGGCAGCAGCTTAACGTCTCTTTCCCATATTAGTGGCGTAAAAATATATAGGCTAGAGCATGACGTAAGTGTAGGGCTTTTTATTAAAAAGAAAAAATTTCAAAAATGTGTTGTAAATGCTGACATCTTAGGCAACAAAGAAGTGTGTGTTTACGCTTTATTATAATAGTATAGAGTATAAATTAGAAATACCAAAATAGTGTTTGCACAAATGTTTCGGTAATAGAATTAAAATAAAAGCTGTATACAAAGAATTCATGTACTAATTGTTATATTATTTAACAAAACATACTACGAACTTAAAACCATTTCCGAATATATAAATAAAACATAAAAAAATAATAAAAAATATTTTGTAACAAAGGAAAAAAAGAGAGCAATAGTAATAAAATGAGTTATTGTGTTTTGTTAACACAAAAAACCCTTCTGGAACTTGTTTCGGAGCGGCTTTCATGTCGATTTACTTTTATTCTTCCAGCTTCACATAAAACCCGGCAGAAATAGCTCCGCGCCCGATTTTATATCGTATTGTTAGACCCGTTTGAACTTTCTTCGTATTCAACTATAAATACGAGTAATAAAGATTGAGTAGCGAACGATATTTTCTATATAATAGAGATATTCTGGGAATAACATATTTGTTGCTACGAAACTTTTATATGAATCGATCTTACTTTGTCAAAACATCTTAACAAAACCATATTTTTATCTCTTTTTTAGAGAGTATGAAAGAGATGGCTATATATCGTTGTGTTTTGTTTTGTGTTAATGATTCGCACGGGCTTTTTAACGCTTTGCTTACTTATACGAACGCTTTAAAATCACTGTTGTCTTTCGCCCAGCAAGCACTCTAAATGCAACAATGCGCGACAAAAAAACGCGTTTTAAAATATGCCGCATGCATACTCGGAAATGCAATTGTTCTATTTTGAATGCTTCTTTTAGTGCGCGTTAAAAAATCGCCCGTGCGAATAATGACTTATATTCTAAGTTTACGTGTACTTTACAACTCGTATCTCCTAAACGGAATTCATTTTGTTGGTACACTACTACGTCAAGTAGTAGAAACGTTATTGTGGTACAATTTGAAGGGCTTGATTGCGTCATAAGGTTCTCGCGGGGCATTGTATTCCAAACTTGCGTAGCGTCGTTTTAGAGTAACATTTGGCCATTTGGTTAAAGTTTTTATACACCTAAACATATCAATCGGGTTTTATTAATTGTAAAATGTCAGTTTTAAAAACATCAAAAAGCTTTGATAAGATTTGCCTTATTTTACATGATTTTAAAGTACATATTCTTTCAGATAATCTGATAAAAAAAAAGTAAAAAACAGATAGAGACGCCCTTCATACTAGTTCTATTTATATGCAAGTCCTAGGTATTAGAAACTAGACAAACGTGACATAAAAATGATATTTTCTGCTTAGAAATCAATACAGGTTAAGTTGATATTCAAGTAATTAGATTAGTAAAAGTTAGCGCGACCTTGCGGCGAGCGTTGCTCTATAACTCCGGACAGCGCGCTTTTGCTTTTTAATAAAATAAAAACCCATTCCAAGTTACTGCTCTTTCAAATGTCAGCGCATTTTTTTGCTTCCACAAGACTTATGATATAAATTATTTTAATGTTATATATTGTTCGCTCACTCGAGACTAGACTTAACAAAAAATTGAGCCGGTCATATTTGGTACTTATGGTTACGTTTATGTTCGGTCACCGGATCAGTTTATCAAGCAATTGAGAAAACGCTTAAAAGGATATATGCAACATTAAAAAACACACCTAATACACTGTCAATAATTTATATTCAGCAATTGGTTATAATTGCTATAACCTACTCATGCACCAGAATATTCTTGTGTACAGAGTTAATTGCTTTATAATTAGTTTTGATTTTGATTTGTTACCCAAAAAAATTGTTAGGCACCGTTTAAACACTTCTTTGCCGATTAATATGGACTTCGATGTGGTTATATGTTTGAACACTGTTTTCGGCAAAAGTTCATTATTATTGCCTAGCTTTTTTTACAATAAAAGGGGCAAGCGAGCGGCGAGATCACCGAGGTGGTCAACGTCCATGGACATCCGCAACACCAGAGGCACTACAGTTGCGTTGCCGGACTTTGAGGAACTCGACCGCGCGCAGCCTGCGTCGAGTTCAAAAAACTATGTGTTCTGCCAGATTACGCTCTACATCTTTGCTAAGTTTTCATCGAGATCCGTTCAGCAGTTTAGGCTACAAACTCTAAACATCCATCCATCTAAACTTTCATATTTATAACATTAATGCTGATACTAAGATTTGTCATTAAATCCGCACCAGACGCTAGACGGTATAAAAGTGTTGACGTATGTTTGAGCTAAAATGCAACGAAAACATTGCTTAAGTCAGTATGGTAAGTTAAGCTACAACATAGTTACTTATAGTAAACAGCATGACTTACCCGGTGACATAATCTTGTTGGGGCGTTCATCAGTCTTACTATCGTCTTGGAAGCGCACCGTCATCTTCTTCTTGGCTCTCAGCTTGTCATCATCAGGTGACAGGATGGACACACGCTTCTTGGGACGTTCCTCTTCTGATTCACGTTTAGATTCCGTCACCGTGCTCCCTATAGAATAAAATTTTATTTAATAATACAAATATTGATGTGAAGACCTTTATTGTCGAAGGTTTAGGTCTATTTTAGATCTAAGCTAGTTTGTTTTTACAGTACACACAAATATTGGTCAATTGGGGTTGGGTACCGACTTAATATGATATTAGCTGTTGCTCGCGACTTCACCCACGGGGAATTAAAAAAGAATAAAAACTCACTGATAACGTAGCTTTTTAATGGTGAAAGAATTTTTGAAATCGGCCTAGTAGTTTTTAAGCGAATCAAATACACACAAATAAAAAAAAATAATTTAACTGCCAGAGACAATCGTCGCAGATTCCTAGATTATTTTAGTCTGGTGAACGCTACGCTATGAAGTTGGTGTAATTAATGTTATTAGTAACGCTTTGTAATATTTCTTAATACTCTATATCCGCCTGTGAGCGATTAAAATCTGATCCAATCAGCATTCAATAATTATTTTGTTAGTGTAACGACCTGAGACACCGTTATAAAAATAATTATTGACATTATATTATAAAAAGTTTCATAGAAAAAAAAATTAAAAATATTTATCGAACATTATATGAAAACACATTTTATATTTACAATAAAATTTAATAGAGATTAAGAAAGCTAGAGGTTTTTGAAGGTTTTAAGTTGAATTTTGACTTCCATCAAAAAAGTATGTATGGTAGATTTCTCATAATTTACTCGCACAAGGGACTCTCTTAATGATTTCTTAAAGACTCCAAGTGATAGATAAAGGCAGATTTTAGTAGGCAGATAATGTAAGTTGTATTGTTTTTTTTTTTTTTTTTTAACTGTTATGGAAAAAAAGAGCATCCTGTCACAGGTATTTTATTCCTAAAAATGATGCTCCAACAACTGTTTAAAACTTTTGTAAATGTATTTTTCAAATAAACAAATTTATTACTATTATTACTACCCTATATATCTTTAATTACTTATTTTTACATATAATATATTTTACATGATTTTTTTTTTGTTTTTAATATGTAAAAAAATAAAAAAATATTATATTAAAAATAGAACTCCACCGGCCGCGAAATTCGATGACTCAAGCAACCAGTGGTCAGGGCTGCAGAGACAGGAACCTCCTCACTAGTCGTGCGGTTTCTAAAATAACCGCCTTTTGAATCGGGCCCTTAATCCAACTGTCTAGCGAGAGCTTCTTGAGGTGTTGGTCGAAGCTCTTCGCTATCAGCCCGTGTGCCGAAACGACTATCGGAATAATGGTAGTCGATTTCATACGCCACATGGCGGTAATCTCATGAACCAAATCCAAATATTTTAATATTTTTTCATTTTCTATTATTACTTGAAGCTACATTTCGAAAAGGTTACAAGCTAATATAGAAAAAAACATTGTTTAGCATTACACTAGTAAAGGTATAATCCTTTTAAAAATATATTTACTATAAAAGTTATTACTAAATTTATTGTTAAAAATCTTAATAGTTATTAATTTAGGTATTATTTACCTTAGTTTAATTTATTTTTACAGAGAATTTTTAGATGTTTTTCTTGTTACATTGGAAACAGATTTTACAATTGAACTTACCTTACCCAAATACCTTTAGTTATTGTATATTTTTTAATATCTTAATACCTTTTGCCCTTCATAAAAAAGTAATACCTTACATTTTTTCCTGTGTTCGGAACAAGTACAATGTAGTGAGCGACCTTAATATTTCTCCGGCCATCTTGAGCCTACGCCCTTCGTTACATTGTTTATTCAAAACGATTATTTACGACAGGATATTACTAAATTATATTTGCAATATATTGATATATTTGTCTGTATTAATAGATGTATTTCTCGATTACGTAAGTATTTTAACCAGGCTTCAACGTTTTCGACAAGTATGATATCCGATATAATTCACCGGAATACCATCATCATCATCATCACCAGCTCCTATATGTCCGAGGGGCAGCGAGCCTACCCTAAATATCACAAAGGTATAAATTAACGGAATTCTTCAATATTTAACCTTTTCCTATAATTTATTAATGCCAGAGGGCATTTTTGACCTCAAAAACCAGTTAACATTAAAAAAGTTAAACATTCCATTTCATATTAATTTATTACAGCCAACATGTTTGGAATATAAAGTATAAAATATTTAAAAATGTTTTTAATTTGCTTTGCCTATTTATGTGGTAAGGTAAAGGGGATCCCTTAATTTCCATAATTTAATGAAACAAGAAGTTTTTAATTAAACTTGTACGTGTAACGGAACAATTGTAGTTGGGGTCTCATTGTAACTGGCAGTAATTAATCACGGGACGTCAATCGTTCTCGAAAGCAATCCACACAATGTGTAACTGTGAAACGATGTAATGACGCTACCAACGTAGAAAGCGCGAGGTGAACGCTTCATTGTTAATGCTTCCCGTCAATATAATTAACTATTTTAGTTTTTAATCAATGACATAAAATTACTATTCTAATTGTGATTCATATTGCTGCTCATTTTCATTTTAAATATTTGTTATTCACAAAAATAATTCTAGAAAAAATATACCTTCTTAGTCAATTTGGACACTGGCCACTAAACATCATGTAAACAAAACCTTTCTTGTAAATACTGACAGCAAAACATTTTGCTACATAATGTTAGCGAATTTTAAAAAAAAAAACTAACCTTCTTGCTCAGTCTGAATGCTGGCGACTACACGCTCGGTGTTCCTAGCTGCCAGTCTGGCTTCTTCCATTTCCCTAGCAGCCGCTGCCAGTATGTTGTTCACAGCGGTGTTGGTGCCGGGGGGGTCTTCACGCCGCCGCCTGCGCATTTCTTCCGCGCGCATCATTGATTGCTGGTACAAATGTATCTAAAATATAAAGAAAATGTTAATGCCGTTCATGTTTTGAAAATATAGGTTATGTATGAATTGACAATATTCCATATAGAAGGTATTTATCTTATAGCAGCCAAGTGAATCTATATGTATTACTTATTAACATAATAAAGCATAAACACACTAGGCATAAGATGTCAGCAATCACAGCGTGTTTTTGAATAATCCTATCTTTAATAAAAAGCCCTACACTTACGACACGCTTTAAGGCTATATATTTTCGCGCTATTAAACTTCGGGGGTAGGAAAAACCATCATGTGGGAAAGGGACCACAAACTACAAGCTGCCAACATTCTTTTTATAATTTCATGCGGATGAAACCGCACGGGAACAGCTAGTGATTATATAAAATAATGTCTTTAAAATTTTCTGACATACAAATTAGGTGAATCCAACATGAAGATTTTGTGGACGTAAAATGCGATAAAAAATACAACACAGAAAAATAAACTTATCATGTTGTTAATACATTTTTTTATTATTATAGCTAAAGTTATCGCGTATACAATATTTATCTTGAATTTAATAATGTTTAATTTATTCAAGTTGATAATATTTGCTTTTAAATTAATACCTACAGTGGACGAATAATACAATAATTGTTTGTCATAAAATTAAATAATTTTATCTGACGTCACTTGGAATAATACTCTGTATGAAAGTTCTTTTTGTTGCGATTTTCTTTGCTTCTTTTTTATTTTATTTATGATCTTTAGCTTTAATTGAAAAAAACTTCTTGTTGTATTCTTTACTCAATATTATCCAGTTGTTTCCTTTTTAATTTTAATCGTTTATAAGTAAGTTGATGCTAGATTTGTTTATTTAAATTAGAATTAGAATTCAGTGGTTACTAAAACGGTGTAGAGGTCCATGTTTTAAATCTATACTTGTAAAGAGAAAAGATTTGTATTTGTGTGTATTAAAATAACTTAAAAACTACTGGGGCCGATTTCATAAATTCATTCACTATCAGTAAGGTAATTTATCTGTGAGTAACATAGGCTATATTATTATTTTTTGAATTTCACGCGCGCGATGTCGCAAGCAACAACTAGTGTAATATAAAATTTTAGTTTTACCACAGTTAGACTTATTTTATGTTTCCATAAAATACATTTTAAGTCATTTAAGGAACATTTATATTAAACTAGCTTTCGCGCGCGACTCTGTTCGCGAAAAAAAAAAAGAAAAATAAATCCAAAAAGTAAAAGTCTATGTGTTCTTCCAGACTATTCTCTACATATAAATTCAAATTTCATCGAGATCTATTCAGCAGTTTAGGCAACAAGCTCTAACAAACATCCATCCATCTAAACTTTCGCATTTATAATATTAGTATGACTAGTATGATTAACTTAACTGAAACATTAGAAGGCATTAGTATATAAAAAACCATACGAAAGATTGTTATACAAATTGAAGTAAAAATATAATATACCTAATAACTGCACTTTTATTTTGATTTAACTACAATAATATTTATAAATTACAAACGTACGTTTGGAATACCTTGAAGCAGGTATAAATATTAAACGAAAGGACATTCATATTTATACTAACGCCCACCTGGTACACATCAAACATATTATCCGGATTGCATCATAAATACGTATAATATTAAACTGAGATCCCTCAAAATCTTACTAATATAAATGCGAAAGTTAAAGCCTAAACTGATGAACTGGCTCTCGATAAAATTTGGCATAGAAGTAGAGGATCTGGAAGGACACATACGCAACTTTCTGTTATTTTTTTAATCCACGCTAACAGTCGCTGGCGGATCACAAATTGCTCTATCAGTAACGATTTTGAAGCAGTCAGGTCCAATTTTAAATGTCGGCTCTATAGACTGCCTAAAACACTGTAATAGTCATCATCATCATCTTTCTTCTTATCCTACTCTCGTAGGGTCAGCGCAACGGGTTTTTGTCCTCCACATAACTCTATCATACGTCATCTCGGTCATCACTCCCTTTTTAATAGTATGTAACAACCCTCAAATCTAACAAATCGTAAAAATCAGAGGGTCTATTAGAAATCGTTACGTGAAAGTACGAGTACGAATTAGTAATACTTGTATGAAATTTGTCGATGTATTTTATGGGATGCACAAATATAATACAAATTTTGTCGATGACGTTATGGACGCATGTTCACGAATATTCGTGATAGCCCACCGCTCATATAAACGAAAATATCAAACTACAGAACCATCTTTCGTCTTATATAAATTGTAAGCAGACAAAATGAATGACGTAGATATTACAAAAAAAAAAAACAATAGATTAACGTCATTGCTTTGTTTGTGATATGTGCGAAAATATTTAAATATTCTTAGAAATCCAAATTAACAAATAAACCACCGTTTAAATATTAAAAATAATATATTTGCATGATGTTTCATTTGACAAAAAATTACTGAACAAACTTTTCTATCACAAAAGGTGGGAATTTTAAAATGCGTCCAGACAAAGTCGCGTGGTAAAATATTAAAAAAAAACATAAATCTTTGAAACAAGCTCGTTAAAAACAACGGTAATCTTTACCGTTAAATCAACACTAAACGTTACATTACATCATCCATCATCACTGGCAGAAAAAATTGTAAAAACAAAAAAAAGTTTTTTGACAAAACAATAAACATTTTTTTTAAATTGTCATTACATTTTATCAAATTCAGCTGTGTGTAAATTATATAAAATGAGTGTACTTCCTGCCATTATACCGCGAATGCAAATTCTTTAATTGTAAGATGTAATCATTTCTATGAATACTAAACGCAAGACTCGCAAAAAGCGATTTTATCTATCGAGTTTCTTTAAGATTATTTTGCAATTATAAGATTTTAACAAAAGACGCCGTCTTGTAACCGGTACTAAATTATGTTTTATTTTAATTACATTTATGTTTTACTGTTGCTGTCTTGTTAAGAAATATTAAATTCATTTCAAAGAATATAATACCATGAATAAAGTTAATTAAAAACATACTATACCGATCCCCCCTTAGGGAAAAAGCTTTGTAAAGGGAGATAAAAAAAAACTCAATATTTATAGGATGTTTATATTATTGACGGTTTATAAAGAATCTTACTTATATTATTAATAGGGAAATTTAAATAAATGGATGGATGTTTCGTATAATGTATCTTATAAACGTGAAACGAATCTCGATGAAATTTAGCATAGATGTGGAAGAATACGTTGGCTGTAAGCAGCCAACTTAGTAAGCTATTTTTTTTTAAATGCACGAGATCGCGAGCAAAAGCTAAATTATAAATTGTACAGACTCTAGTTTCAGAATATAAAATTAATACGCTTTTGTATCCGCGTTGATTTTATATTCATGCGAATGCATTAATGAAAGCAGTCTACGGGCTTTTTCCACCTTTTGTTATGTCTTTTGTAACAGAGCCTTCTTTGTATTTACTCCCTTTGTAGCGCATCTCTTATATTTTCTGTCTACTACACTAATTTACAATATTTCGATGGTTCTTACGTAAAACGTAATTTAATAATGTATAGATTATAAATAATATTGTTATATTTAAGTCACATGATGTGTATAGACCATAGACATATACTTTTTTTTAACATTGTGTAAACGAAATTGTTAAATATGATTAAATAGGTCAGTTGATTTTCCGTCCGATTTTTTTTATTTACCTAGCACGTTGGTAGTGTTACGTCACAGATTAAATTTCTAGAGTATCAGAGTAGCCCTTGAGACTAGTTTAGAAAGCTCTGACTCATTTAAGTACTAAGGTAGCTATAGGTATACTCAGAAACTATTTAATTGGTGCCAACCATGACCTAACATAAATGCAATATTGCCTATCGTTACTAGAACTTATTTACATCGCAACCGCTTTGCAGTTTTTATATTCAGAAAATACGTAGCTGTTATATTCTTACCTAAAGTTTATGTTAAAAACTATATATGAAAAACTTGAATTAAAAATAGGCTATTTTAGTCCATTGATCAATTTGGATTTTTTGACCGACTTCCCAAAAGAAGGTACTCAATTCGTCTGTATGTTTTTTTTTATATCTAATAAATAAATTTAATTCGTAAAACCACGACCAATATATTGTAAATGCGCAGTATTTTGCAATAGCGGCATTATTTTTTTGTTTTTTGTTTTCGTAATATTTTTTACGGAACCCTATTTACTTATATCAATTAATACTATTAAACTATGTCGTTGACATTGACGATATTTTTCGAAAAAGTTATTTATGTTCACCTATTTAGAGGATACTGAACCTTATGTTACTAATTTTTATACATTTATCGGCTTATTTGTTGATTTAAAATCCGGTTGAATTATTCATTTTTAAACATAAAAATACACAATTAGAATACATAAAAATTAATGGAAAAATAGTGATAGTTAAACCTTTAGTAGAGTATTAAAATACTATGTACTGTTGCTGGCGACTTCGTCCACGTGTAATTAAAAAAAGTAACCTATGTTACACACTGATAGCTTTGCTTTTTAATGGTGAATTTTTGAAATCGGCCCAGCACTTTTTGAGTTATTTCAGTACATATAAAAAAAAATTTTTTCCTCTTTATAAATTTTGTAAAGAAGTATAGATTGGATTGTCCTTACTTACACTAATGATGGTTTTTAACAAAAACAGACATGTGATATCAAAAAAAAAATTGCAAATTTGGTGAAAAATATTTTAATTCGTAATAAAATGGCATCAGTCTATTTAAAAAAAATATAACATATGTAATGTAGACTAAAAAGAGATTTTTATAACATTTTCAAAGTGACTTTTTCGACATTCAACGAATAGAGCTCATTTTTTTAATTATTATTGCTTAATATATTCTATTATTATTTATTAAATAAAAGATTGCTTGCGTTTTTTTTCACAACAACTCGGTATATCTAGTTATTTTTTGACGTCATGTTTATTTTACGATAAAATTATCAGATAAAAATACAAACGTCCTTAGCACCTTCATTTACAAAAACATAATAAAAACAAAAAGAATTAAGCCGTCCTAATATTTATCCAATATATTTTTTTTATAAAATAAACTAATTAACATATTTTAAAGATAAATATGACAAATCATAAATATCGATTATTAAACCCGTCATGGTTTTTTTTTAATGCTTTATATTTTTAAAGTACGAGTTCTTTTGAGAAGTAAGATTCCATGCCTTCAAAAGGTCAAAGATCGTGTTTGACCTTCCGAGTCCGTTTTAATACTCACGTAGTCTACTCTCTCCAGTACAAAAAATACATTTATCTTAACACTAGCTTTCGCCCGCAACTTCGTCCGCGTACAATTAAAAAAAAAAACATAAGTAGCCTATGTATTCTTCCAGACTATCCTCTACATCTATGCCAAATTTCATCAAGATTCGTTCAGCCGTTTAGGCTACAAACTCTAACAAACATCCATCCATCTAAACTTTCGCATTTATAATATTAGTAAGAAGTAAGATTATATCTGTTCAATTGTACATTTACATTTTCAAAGCTTAGTTGCAAGAGTGTTAATAAATTTAGAATGCACACGTAATATGTGGAAAAAATGTTGCAATATTTGATAATAAGTCACGAGTTCTCGGAATAATTTTAGTAAATTCTTGCTTCCGATATTTAACACTAATTAAAATGAAGATTGGAAAATGTATTATTTCATGAAAACTTTGCTTAAATTATCTTATAAAGAGTGTTTAAAAAATATTTTAGGTTTAAATATTATGTTCAAAGCGTACCACGGGATATTTTTAAATCCAGATTTTTTAATATTTAGTTTTCTACGTTATCGCGTTTATGTACATTTCATGATGTACAGTCAGTTGCTTACGTACACATTTAAAAATCGGAAACTTGTATACGTTTTCGTTTTCAAAAATACATTTCCACATGTAACCTTTCGAATATTTCCGAATATACATGCTATTGACGATTTAATTACGATTTTAAAAACCGACAACCTATATAAGCTACTAGCGTTTTGTAAATTTATACATATGCAGTTATACACATTATGAAGCTGTCTGAATCTTTATAGTATCTTTTGGTAGATCAACGCAAGTACAATATGTAATTGGCTGATATTAAAACATTTTAATCCTACGAGATTCGATCTTTGAGCTACATTGTTTTAAATTTTGAATTACATATTAAAAAATATATAAATTATATAAGGCAAGTTAAAGTCGTGAGACATCAAAGTATTGCGATGTTTAAATCATTAGTCACCGCCACCCATGACGAATCCTATTATTAGACTTTTTGTTTATTTTAAACACGTCAGCTGAAATCTGTCCGAGTTTCTAAGACCATACAAACTCGCTTAACGGACCATATGTAGATTTAACTGAACATTCAGTCTTAAGACAGTACAAGAAAAATATTAAAAATCAAATATATCTAACAGTGCGACAAGTTCGTTACAAAACGTACCAGTAATTGGTTGATGACTAAAGTTCTTGGAAAGGCAATCTAAACGGACGAAGCAAATACTAGACACAAGATAGATATGGCTACAGCATGTTTAAAAAAGCTGTGATAATCTTTATACAACTTGTATGGATAAATTAATGTATTCATAATAAAACAGGTGTTAAGCAACAGCGTACTCGGCTGCCAACACGCTTGCCAAGCGCAACACGGCAACATCTATTTCAATTAACCCCCATTTCTACGAGGCCTATCGACGAAATTTCCAATAGATCGATTCTGATCACGCATTGTCTACGTCACGATATAAGATATTTGTATAAACTTTCATACGTAAAACTAAACGGAAGAGGCAATAAAACTGTCATACATTTTACCTAGCTCTTCTACCGTTCTGAGTGAACGCCCTGGGCAGTCGCCCAACCGCGCCCTACCCTAACAACGGTTTTGTACCACTACGTACAGTCGGCGAAACAGGCGGTGGACTATCTTAAAAGCTACAATCGTTTAAACATTTTGAAAAGCGACGCGGAACAAAAATCATTACAACGCAGTCTGTACGAAAAAAAAAATCAGTTTTATTATTGTCTCTTCGTTTGCGAGAGTAACTTCGTCTCATTAAATTTGCGTCTTTTATTACCAAATTGTACAGTTAATATACACCCTTCCATACTCCATCTAATCTTGTATACTGATACAAACCCTATAGCACTATACATTGCTAAGGGAAGGCAGAGGGGTGGCTACCCCCACTTTAGACCTAGCATAGACCGGGTGGCGACGACTATCTTAATAAAATATACAGTCCATTGTATATTGAAGGTTTTAGTTTTTCCAATAAGTCATTATCTACTACCTTGAGTATTTCTCCCTAAGTAATTAACATAGATGTTTAATAATTCAAAAGCTACATCTGCATTTTATCCCAATAACTTAATCTTTACCAGAAAACAACTTTAAAACACTACATATGTAAATAAAAATAGCTTATTTGCCCTCATCTCATAAAAAAATTAATAAAGTATTTATTTCAACCTTGGCTTAAAAATCGATTAATATATTTCAAAGAAATCCATGAGTCATTTCTATAAAATGTGAATAATGTTCATAATATACAATGCTACATTTTCTTTGAGTTATCTGTATAAGGATAAGGGCTTTTTAAGGAAACATTTTATCTTTACCCTATGTAACTAAGATAACTGATGAGATAATATTTATGTCTAATTTAACTTGAACCAGACATCAAAAGTTATATTTTAACAAAACATTAAGTAATAAACATTCAATAATACATCTGTCTAATATAATGTAATAAAGAATAGTACAGATAAATGTACTTCTATGTTGTAGAAAAACTCAAAAACTACCAGACTCATTAAAACAATTCTTTCATCATTAGAATGATACTTAAGTCCCAAGTAGCATATGCTATCTATACTAATATTATAAAGAGGAAAGATTTGTATTTTTGTATGTAATAACTCAAAAACTACTGGGCCGATTTCAAAAATTTCTTTCACCGTCAGGAAGGTAATATTTAATAATTTTGTTATATAACATTATTAATAATAGACCCATGCAAAGACAGGACTGACGACTAGTCTTGTGCTACATTATTCGAGATACATTATGAAAAACACTGCAAATATCTTTAGTAATTTGGGCTCAACTTAGTTTAGGTTATTCCACTAAAAAAAGTTGTAAAAATATCCAGTACTTTTTTCAACATTCAACATTAATTTTGTTTTTTATGATAATAATGATAATAAATTGATTCAATGATGTTAATTTATACATGTGTACATGTTAAGCAATTGAATCACCATTTAAAACAAGATGGTAGCAATTTACAGTTACATATGTATGTAACAAACATTGTAGAAATTCTCTTCATAAAATTATCATTAAAGAATTTGTTCATATCATCAAATATTATGCAATTGAGCGTTCATAAATTTATAAATCACATTAAATAAAATTAATTAATAATACCAATCAACTTTTTTAGTTATTATTTACCTTTATATCAACATTTAATATTTTATGTAGATAATAATTTATAAAACATGTTTTGTTAATAGAACACTGTTTAATATTCATATTCCAGTTTATTTTTCAATTACTAATGGCCAGTATCATTAACAGAAAAGAAAAAATAAAATAGTAGGCGACATTAAATTGATTACACAGAGCATAATGATAAATTGCTTTAAAAAGACTAAAAACTAAACTAAAAACTCACCTGTTTAAGCCTTTCAACATCGGTGCGTGCTTGAGTATAAGTTTGTTGTGTAGGTACTGCGGTAACAGTCTGCGAATATGATGGATACTCCAAGTTGACATTTAGAAGCTGCGCTGCATTATCTCTGGCTTCATAAGCCAGGCCTCTGATCTCCAGTTCCGATGCTGTATGCATCAGGGACTGGAGATCCAGTTCTTGTACATCCACAGAACCTTTGTACATGAATTCCACAAGGAGGTTGATCTCCGAGAATGGTATTCCTTTGAGTATAACGATTGGATGCTGACATGGGTTGTCCCTACGAGGAAAGAATATAGTATAAATAAAGAAGATGGAAATCTTAACAGTGACTCAAATCAAAAATATATGATTATCATTAAGAATAATAAAACTAGCCAGCTATTCGCTATCAGATAAACAAAAATTAAATATCCATTAATATTTCATTTAACTTACTGAAATAGTGTTCGGATTTCAAAATTACGACGTATAACGTTAAATTACCTTGAATATTTTACATCTACAGAAAGTATTTGATAAAAATAGATTGCGAGCTTCTCAAAAAATACCACGCAGCGAAAATATGTTATTTTATACACGACGATAATGATGGATAAAATACTTACTTAAATATTTGTTCGAAATAAGGGCTGCAAGCTGAGAGAACGAGCTTGTGCGCCTTGAGGGTCCCATCGCGACAGGAGAGCGTGACGTCTGCGAGCGCGGAGGACGAGTAGATGGTCGTGAACAGCTGGCTCAAGTTCTGCAGGTGGTTGTTCCACTTCAGGTGGAACGTCTTGTCGCTCACCATCCCCTGCATCTGCACCACCACAAACACTTAGCAACCACAATTCACTCACTACTTCACGTGTAATAAAAAATCGACAGAAAACCGTCTCTGCTGCGACCGCTACATAAAATTATAATTATTACAACTTATTTTTAGAACGATGCCCGTAAAAAACACTATACGTACGCGGTATGACAGTGTAATACTGTAGGTACGCGCCGCCGACGGAATTTAGAACTATAAAATTTTATTTATATTATATTTTATAAAACGGAAATTTTGACAAAAACCTACACATTGCGATTTTCTCACCTTATTTACGCTTTTCCGACTTCCCTAATTTTCACAAATAACACCGAAACATTTCACAAAAATTTTAAATACTTATTATGTTACACAGAAAGCCGTGTCGTAAAAAACAGAGTGGGGCACGCCGTGGCCCCCTCCTTGCCCCGGCCCCCTCGCACACAATCAATATACGGAATATGAGAGCGCGCCGCGCCGCCTCGCCCCCCGCATGCTTTATTATACCGTAATTAAATATATACAACTTTATAAATTGTACACTAGCGCACATACATTCCTCCGGCAACCAATAACGTAAAACTTGGGTGGCGTACTAATAATATTTTTAATTTACTTCACATTTGAGTAATTTAATGAAAACACTAGTGTTAGAATTTAAAAACAAATGTATGAAATTCTCAAAGTTCACTATTTGACCAGTTAAGATGAGATGAAATATGTTAATATTTTTATTATTTGAAAAAGTACCGATGATTTTTAAATTCACGTGTAAACTCCGAATATATCAATGAAACATTGCAATGTCCAATTCTATTTAAAGCTTAACTAAGACTTGGGTCGCATTTTTACAATACATTTTCAGATGAGAACGTGAAGCCCTATTGTGAAAAGTACCTATGCCTATAATGTTTTTTTGAACACACAGCAATCATAATAAACACACACATTCAAACATTGGAGGGAATAGTCGGATTCAGTTCAGTTCTTTTTATTAGATTCCATCCAATAACCTATAAGTACCTACCTGTCATCGACTGCATGTTTTTATGTATATGAAAACGTCTGCGACTACAGTATGTTCAGCAGACAATATTTTGTTAACATTGTAACAGGGAAATTAGATGCGCTAGTTTCCGGGGAGGTTACAAAAGAATTTTAGATGATTATATTCATATTATCTATTCAATAAACATAAAATACATTCCATGTACGCTGAAATAGTTTAGTAAATTATTATGTGTAATTATTATGTAAGTGCGTGCGTCATTAATTAAAGTAAATACTAAGTCATACATTACATATTCATTTCATATCTTAGTCCAATATTAAAAAATGTTAAGAAGTGTATGAAAGACAATCCATTATAGTTAGACAATAGACTTTAAAAACCAGTTTCAACATAAACAAAAAAGTCGCCCCACCCTAGCCCTACGAAAACTAAGTACTAAATAAGTTCTTGTAGCTGTTAACATGATGAAATTAACATTATGTGGTACACAAATTCAAGTTCGTCTAAAAATGTTACACTTTTGTGTGTTGTAAAAATTCATTTCAATTACGTCTTTTAAAACAATGAAGCAAAATATTTCAAACCTAAAAATATCGTTTAGACGTTTGTTAGTCTGTGCCATTTATTTATTGGCCTGGTAACATTTCATTTTCATTCTCTTCATGAGTATTACTCAACATCATTCATTTCAATTGCACCTCACTTCACTTCTCACTTGTTCGAAATTTACGTTCAGCGTTCACTCAAGTTGCAATTCAAGTTGAGTTAAGTGTCAAGTCTGAAAGAGCCGGGTTTGAGGTTGAGGTCTATGTTTGTGCACTGCTATTTACTTGTGTAACTTGCAATTGTAAGAATTGGAAGTTAATCCATGATACTCTAGCTCTAGAAATATAGTGGCATTGAATGTACATGAGTAATATTGAAAGGTTAAATTGAGGAATTTTTGTGGCACCACCTTCTCTGTAAAGAAAGAGTACCGGAAAAAAGATGGAAAAAAGTTCGAACATACAAGTTATTTCACCTAATGTAAAATATACCGACGACTATATTTATGCAGATTATGAGTACGAAGAAACTTTAGTTACTAAGAAGGATAATGAGTTATTGGTAAGTGTTTTCAAAAAATTCAGTTCCTCAGTTAACCTACCCTCAATTTTGAAAATTTTAATATGATTTATATCAATATTAATAGTATAGTGTTAACATTAAATTTAACTATACCTAACACTAATTATGATTACTAGTTGTCATATTGCTATCTCAATTTTTCAGGGAGAATAAGAGAGATGACAATGTATTTGTAATGTATGTTTCAAAAGTTAAAACAGCTTATTGGAATACTGACTTATACTGCTGCACTGTAATATTTTTAAATTTAGAATGGATTTTATTTGAATAATTGGAATTAAATAGAACAAAATTCATAGTTGATTAAAAATTTTATAAACATAAATTGTTTATTCAATTTATAAGTATCAACTTGTTACAACAACAACAAATTGTTGTTACAGTAACAACAAATTAAGAAAAAGTATTTTATTAATTTTGATCATTGAGTTTAAATCACTTTCAGTGTTGCTGATCAAGCATGACTATGTTTGTTAGAAATTATCTCCCAAACAGCTCAACAATTATACAGATATTTGTCATGAACATAGTCTGCAAGAATAGGCGGCTATTTACTATTTTTTTTAAATTAGCGGATGAAGTTACTGGCAAATATAGTTTTGTTATAAGAAAAAAAAAAGTCTGATCTGTTTATTTCTTGAACATTCTATGACCGTTGATCAATGTGGCTTTCAATTTGTATTTTGTTTGTTTTCTAATAATATATATGAATTGTAATACTGTTTATAACTCAATATCTATTTATACTAATACAGATTGATTAATGTTAAAGATATTTACAGTTGTTCCACATATGTTTATAAAAACTGAATAAGTGAATGTTGCATCACTCTGGGTTTCTATTAATAAATCAACTCCAAAAATATTATAATCTCTGATTTTTCTAAGGGATGAGAGATAACATGTTTTTGTTTTTGTATACATGATTCTATAGTGGAAACTAAACACTTGGAAAGGAAAAAAGTATTTGCTAGATGTTTGCAAAGAGAATCTTTTACACTTTGAAAACATTGGATAACATTTTTAGCATACTTTTTTCTATGGAATATTAAAAACAGTGTGTTATGAATAATAGTTAAATCTCAAACACCTAGTTTTGACTAGGACTGAAGTATGCTTTACATAAATGTGAAACTGTTACTTAGTATCTTATAGATGGGTTAAAGGATATCAAATTTAGCACAGATACAGAACATAGACAAGAACACATAGACAACATATCCATTTTTTAATTTGGCGTGGATGAAGAGAACAAACGCTAGTAGTTTTATAAATTAAGTTTGAATGCAATAATGTAGATGTCATGCATGTTTATGTGGATGTTGACAACAAATTTTAAATTATAATTACTGTAACTATGTACAGAGTTAATTTATTGCAATTTATATTAATGTCGGCCTACACGTGTATCTTGGCATTTGCATAAACTTGCCAAGAGTGTAGAGGGACAGATGCCCCCTTGAAAATCGGAATTAAAAAATTAAAAACCACTTTCAATCAGACCATACTAACGGCTGGCGACTCCTTTGCACTTGTTTCACATTTATGGTTGAATTCTATAATCGATCTTGGAGGCTAATCTTAAGAATTTATTACCAGACTGCAGAATACAACTATCGCTGTAAGGTTTTTCGATTGCTGTAGCGATCCTTAGGTCGGTTATTTAAAGCAAATGGATTGAAAATGTCTTTTAAAATTCGTTAGATCAAATTATTGAAGTAACTTACGAAAAGTTTTCCATTATATACTATTTTGGTTGTCGTAGGTAAAACCATATCAGACGTCTCTATGTATCCGTACGGGTCGCAAGGTGGGTCGGCTGGGCATCATGTTGGTAGGTTGGGGCGGCAACAATGGCTCCACCTTCACCGCCGCGGTCCTCGCCAACCGTCATCAGCTCTCTTGGCAAACAAAGAATGGGAAGATGGATCCTAATTGGTGAGCTCATTAATTTAAAATCATAGACTAAAGTACTAGAACTATCAGTTACTAAATTTCATGTCTGTCCTTTGTTTAATCGTAATTTTCGCTCCAAAATTTTCTTCATACCAAACTTGAAAATTTTTTACATATTCACATTAAGTTTTTTCAATGTCCTGAGTCAGTGTTGGTTTTTATTAAGTAGTCTTAAAGTCATGAGAATGTTATAATATTTACTAGCTGTCGGTCACGACCATGTCCGTGTTGAATTAAAAAACAAAAGTGAGTAGCCTTTATTCTAGACTGCTCTTCATCTATGCAAACATCGAGATCCGTTCAGCCGTTTAGGCTACAAACTCTAACCAACATCCATCTAAACTTTCGTATTTATAATATAAGTAAGATAGTGATTTTGTATTAGGTATGGTTCAATAACACAAGCATCAACAGTTCGTTTGGGTATCGATGAGAGTGGCCAGGATGTGTACGTGGGCATGTCTGAACTCCTGCCTATGGTACATCCTGATGACTTAGGTAAGTCCTTAATTCATCATCTTACCTTTATTCCACTCACGTATGTGCTTATCGTAAAAGGCAAGATTCAAGGAAAGCGAAGTGTAGATCGAAGAACAACATCTTGGTTCAAAAACCTACGCCATTGGTTTGGAAAGAGCACCTGTACTTTTTAGAGCCTCGGTGTCAAGAATGCAAGTTGCCTTAATGATCGCCGACTTCAAAAGAAGATGGCATTTTAAGAAGAAATGCTTAACTAGTTGCCGATATTTCTGTCATACGTTTCTAAATTTTCCTTTCACGTCATTCAATTCCATCGCTTGTTATAATACTTGCTCCGTGGAACTACCAAGAATTCATCTATACTCAAAAAGAGGAAAGATTTGTATTTTTGTATGTATTGAAATAACTCAAAAACTACTGGACCGATTTTAAAAATTCTTTCATTGATAGAAAGGAAATTTATCTGTGAGTAACATAGGCTATAGTTTATTTGTATTTAGCTCATTATTACTAATATTGAGAAACTATTAATAAACAACATATTTCTGTACCACGTTGTAACTCATATGATTCTAGTAAACAGTAAACAAATTCATTGACGATCCTTTCGTTTTTATTTACACAAGCGTAATTTCAAAGTCGGTCATTCAGGTATTTGCAGATGATACGGTATTGATTCTGTACGAGGGTCATGGTCGGTATGAAATAGGTCAGCTCCAGTGACCTAATGACATTTCAATGCTTTCAACACTAATTTTATTTCATACGACCTTAATAGGTTTCAATTTACAGCTTCATTGAAGTATTTATTTTCCTTTCATCGAACGTATTGGAGTTAGGATTTGTAAAATTATGGATTATCATCACCAGCTCACTACATGTCCACACCGAGGGGCTCGGAGCCTACCCTAAAATTAGAGTGATTAGGCCATAGTCAACCACGCTGGCCCAGTACGGGTTGGTCGACTTCACACATATCTTTGAAGTTCTTCGCCGATATGTGCAGGTTGCATCACGATGTTTTTTTCACCGTAAGAACGTCGGGTAAATTATGTACATATGAAAATTCGGCAAATGGAAAATCACATTAGTACATGACGGTATTGGAACCCAAGACCTGTAGATTACAAATCAAGTGCTTAAACCACTGAGCCATCGACGCTCTTTTTTTAAATTATGGATGCCCACTTGAAACTAAACTGTCACACAACTGTTTAGTCTTGCTTTGATTCCTATGAGCTTATATGCGCACACTACTTGATTTTTAGTTGTACAGCACGGTTGGGTGGGCTCCGGAACAATCGACAATCGATGTTTTAGTCAAAGGTTTGCGTCTACTCTTAACAAAAGCTAGTTAATTCACAAGTAACTTACAATGCAGTCCTTACCTTTCTATTCTTCATTTTTCTAATATTTTTCTTAAAAGCAAATCATTTATTTTTCTTGGTAAAAATATAAACCTTAGCAAGCTTTTCATATTTTTTAATAGTGATCGACGGTTGGGACATCAGCCCGCTGAACCTGGCGGAGTCGATGGTGCGCGCCAAGGTCATAGACTATGACCTCCAGCAGAAGCTGAAGAAGGAAATGTCAGCGATGAAGCCACGACCTGCGATCTACGACCCCGATTTCATCGCTGCCAATCAGGTGAGAAATGACTTCTCTGTTAGACTTTGTTTCCACTAACTTTGCTGAGATTATTTTTGAAACTAATTTACTGATAGAAAAGGTCAATCATTTTGTAGAAATAACGACAACTTAATCTATGGTAAATATCGTAAGAAATTTCTCGGTTTTAAAATATTTACAAACATTATAACTGCAAAAAGTAGAAGTGGTCACATAAAATCGCCTAAGCCGTTAGTTTGTAAAAAATCATAATATAGGACATGTGGATGCAAATATGAATATGTTAATTATGTTTATATTTAAATAATATGCGTATAAAATGTTAGACAACATAATAAATTAGCTAATTAAGATTTCCATTTGAATAACATGAATAGGTTGCCTAGTTTATATCCTTATAAATGTTTTGTCACGATTACATTAGCATGTGGGCACGTGTAAATTACTCATTATGATGATTTGGTTTACAAATTAGGGATAAATTAGAATTAACAAACTTGGACGCCTGCGTAACGGGGATTTAATGCCAAACGCTTAAGTTGGCACGTCGGGTAACAGAGTACACTTGTTCCAGACGTGCCAACTCATGTTTTAATATAAAGTTTGGTATCTCTTAAGTTTTTCTTGGCTCCCAAACAATGTCATAAAAGTATTATATGTAAACACAAATTAATTGGCATTGAACGTAAAATACACAAAATGGTCTAATTTTCTTTATGTATTTTCACTAGCGGTTGCACGTGATTCCGTCCGCGTCAAAAAACTAGTAATATAACTTACGTTAGCCTGGGATAAAGTAACTTTCTAACTGTGAAAAAATTATTAAAATCAGTTCAGTATTTTTTAACTCAACTACCTGTTTCTCGCGACTTGGTCTACGTGAAATTAACTTATAGAAATATAACCTATGTTACTCACTGATAACGTAGTTTTTTAATGGTGAAAGAATCGAAATCGTTTTTGAGTTATTTCAATATATACAAATCTTTCCTCTTTATAACATAAGTATAGTTTACTTGTATAAATCATTTATACTGGTTTCCTTATAATCAAGGTGTAGTTCCTGGCCGCCATATTACATGAACGCCCTATTGATTTTCTGTTCCTATGCACTGTGTACATGTTAGGACGCTCTCGATCAATACTCGTCGCGCGGAATATTCCAGAATCTGTACTATTATAATAAAGCGTAAACACACACTTCTTTGGTGCCTAAGATGTCAGCAATTCCAGCATATTTTTGAATAATTCTTTTTTTAATAAAAAGCCCTACACTTACGTCATGCTTTAGGCGATATATTTTCACGCCATTAAACTTATGGGGTAAATATTTTGGATGAAAACCCTAATGTGGGAAAGAGACCATAAGTTGCTGCCAACATGTTGAAGCATTTAGTTTTTGGAACAGTTGAAGCAAGCCTGTCAAGGTTTGTCATGTCATGTCATTTTGACATTTACTATTGATAATTTGACAAATGTAAACAATAAAATAAAATTTTTACAATTTCATGCGGATGAAGTCGGACGGGAACAGCTAGTACTTTAATTCCTACCGTTTACGTTATGAATATAAATAGTATTTTGTCTTTCTTAGATGTTTGCAGCTTGTTTTATGTCTCTTGATGTCTGGTTGGTACAATTTAAATTTGGAATGTAGGAATTTTTAGTGTATTATTGTAAAGAGGAATGATTTGTAATTTTGTATGTATTGAAATCGCAAAAAGTAATAGGCCGATTTCAAAAATTCTTGCACTATAAAAGCTACGTTATTAGTGAGTAACATAGGCTATATTTCATGTAGATGAAGTCGCAAGCAACAGCTAGTTAGTTATAATAATACTTCATACTAATATTATAAATGCCAAAGTTTATATGGCTAAACTGATTTCGATGAAATATGGGAAAGATATTGAGTATAGTCTACAAGAACACATAGGCTACTCACTTTTGTTTTTTTTTTTAATTCCACGCAGACGGAGTCGCGGGTGAAAGCTAGTTTTACATAATTTCTGTTGTAGATTTCAGATTACAAGCCTTAATTCAATAGCGATTCTAAATCTAAATGTTAGAGATTTGGTTTTCACAATGATTTGTTAAAAAGATCCTATTGTTTTGCGGCAAATTTAGGGTTTGAATAGAATCGCTCACACCTCATAGTGTTTCCAGTACTTTCTATGTAAGTTAGCGTGTCGTATTTCAGTTTATATGTGTAAGTCGGTTTATTAAACGGTGTTAGCAGTAATCCAATGCTAGATAGATCGAGTTACACTTGTTTTTGTAAGCACTTCCGTACCCACCGCGCCGCGTGGAAAAATCTTGGTTGCCAAGGCTCTATTTATACTGGTCGTTAGAATGTTTTGTAAACTTTTTTGCAACGCATCTGACACTCATTGTAGTGTTTGACTGTTTTGACTGGTTACTTTGTTTTGTTCGCATTCTAGTCAATGTGTGTTACAAATTCAAGGAAATATGCAATCTGATGTGACAATAAAACCGTAAAAACTAGTATTGAGTTTTTATAGGTTTTATATGTTTTTTTTTTAAATCTAAGGGATATTTTTTAATTCACTAATTACTTGTAACATACCAACTAAGCCCTAAGTTTGCTAGGTTTACGATTATAGTCGAATGGCGGGATTCGAACCCTCGAACGCTTTATCGGAAATCCGTTATTAACCATTAGACTTTTTAAGCTTCATAATGTTTTTTACATTTAGTTTTACCTCCAACTAAATGGAGGTAGTTAAGTATTTCCTATTTAGTCAAAACTACATTTCCTAACACACTCTTTTAGTATTTATTTTTGTACCTTGCAACTGTTAACTATGTGTGGTTTGCGTCTCGCAGGCGGATCGAGCAACAAACCTTATCCGCGGCACCCGCTACGAGCAGTACCTGCAAGTTCGTGCTGATATAAAGGACTGCCGCGACAGGAACAAGCTGGACACCATCATCGTACTATGGACCGCCAATACTGAGAGGTCAGACACTCATTAACTTGCCCTTATCCCTTATGGAGGGTCGGCACAGTATGTGCTTCATACATCTCTATCAGCCGTCATATCTGAATCCACTCCTTTCTTAAGCATATCCTCTTTCACACAGTCAAACCATACTTTATGATCTGACAGTATCATCGTACTATGGACTATAATACTGAGAGGTCAGACACTATATTATAAGATTTTTTTATAGAGTCTCTGCATGGCTGTAGCTAGTGGGACATTCTCCCCAGTCCTACTTTAAAAATACCAAAAACTAAGATTAAATAACAATGAAATTGTTTACAGTTTGAGAGAAATTGTATCTAAACTTTTCCGAACCACAGTTTGTGACGTAATAGGTGGCCTGAGTGAGGCCGTGCATCGAGGGCAAATCAATTATGATATTTTTGTTCAGTCCTACTTGTAAACATTGCTGCCCTATTCCATCGCAGTTCTACAATATCAGGGATGAAACCTATAAGTACAATAAAGAAGATAGTATAGAGCTGTTAAACCCCTATTCCACTAGTGGTTCCGCAAATCATACATGTATCATCTGACGCGTCGTCTGAAAAACGGGTCTTAAATACGACTTGATGTGATGACATCGAATGATAATTCGTATTTCAATGAATACTTTATGAATGAAAACTGGAATAAAAGTGTCGATTTGACACAGACAAGTTGTGTTAATGTGATCTGATTTAATTCGAGTTTGGTTGGACATACATAAGTATGAATGAGCGTATACCAATGACTGGGTGACGGGAGCAATGATCTTGATTGTGTCGATAGTGCGGCTGGCTTCACATCGGAACGGCACTGTGAACTTGAGACTGCGGGTATAGTGCTTGAGCGATAGCGGATTTGGATTACAAAAACAACTCTAAAAATTATAGAAAAACTAGCTTTGGCACGAAATAACAATTGGCGTGGAGTAAAAAAAATGAGTAGCCTATGTGTTCTTCCAGACTATGTCACATTTCACCGAGATCTGACTGAGTTTAGGCTACAAACTCTAAAATCCATCCATCCATCTAAACTTTTGCATTTATAACATTTTATAATATTAGTAAGATTACTAATATTATAAAATACTTACTATAGCTAGTAATAGCGGTTTCTTTATATATATTTTTTTTTCTATAATATGGAGCAACGATAAAAAAAATCGTTTCACTCACATATATGAGTAGTTGTGTAAATTGGCTATTTTTTTAAATAGTCAAGAAGGAATAACTTTAATTATTTAGATACTTACACTTCAAGTGTCTTTAAGTTATAGAATATTTAAGTCTTTACGGCGTTAAGTTTTTAATTTATCCACCATTTGTATTTTACAAGACAAGAATATCATAAATCGCTTCCTCTCTTCAATATACCAGAGGGCGACTTCCATGGAAGTTACCAAACGTGATATTTAGTATAAAAACAGGTTTCCTGTAAAAATCTTGGCGTAATACATCGCCCGGCTGGATTCTTTGCATTTTAATTGCTCAAGTATCAACTGAATATTGTATTACATGTTACGAAGATTTGTATGTAATCAAATTAACTTTATTGCCATAGTTAGATAAGGTTCTACGTCAAATTATGTAATTAGCTTTTTAGAGATAACCACACCTTTACTGATTTTATCTTTTTGTTTTTATGGCGTGACGTCATTGCGTCCAGGTATTAGTAATTCCAGTTTATTTTCGTTACTTAGGTAAAACTTGAGACTTTAATTGATTCAGATTACATTTATCTAAGCTTTGTTAGTCAGTTCTGATAGTTTTGGTCGGGAAATTTCAGCTCCAGACTTTGTTGTAGCTCTAGGGATCCTTAACTCGTACTCTGACTTACTCCAAACTTTCCAAGGCGAGCACATTGTTTACATTAATATTTTAAAATCCTAGCAGATTCAGTAATATTTCCTATACCATTCTAGCTAAGCTGTAGGCTTGGGCAAAAACGGTTTACGATAGTAATCGAATGGCGGGATTCAAACCCTATGACCATGTCATCGGAAATCTATACCCGTAACCATTAGGTTATTGGCTATTAAGTATGAAAAGTTTTGTTAAGAACGAGCGTACACCTTGGACTATACTATCGCACAACTGTTTATTTTCACGTTAGTTCATGCACACACTACTCTATTTTTAGTTATGCAACTAAACAGTTGAATTCGCTGCGAAACAATCGACAATCGCACAACAGATATGCGATAAATTAGTCAAAGATATGCGCCCGCTCCCTTTTTTTAATTGTTGCTGATAATTTTATTAGTTTAACTAGCTTTCGTTTGCGACACCGACCAAATTAAAAAAAAAAACTTATATATCGCATTTATAATATTAGTATGATGTGGTCGTGTTATAGGTTCTGCGAAGTGCGTGCGGGCGTTCACGACACCTCCGACAACTTGGAGCGTGCGCTACGCAACAACGACTCCGAGATCTCGCCCTCCACCATCTTCGCTATGGCCGCTATCGATGAAGGCGTAAATATGATTTTGTATTCATTAGTTAAATTTAGTCATCACTAGCTCACTATACGTTCCCTACGTATAGTGAACTAGTGAGGCGCCCCTAAGTTAGGATGACTAGGCCGTAGTCAACCACGCTGGACCACCGCGGGTTGACTTCACATATATCTTTGAATTTCCTCCTTGATATGTGCATCCCGATGTTTTCCGTAATTTACCACCATAATTTGTTTATTCCCAAAGAATGGCGTGAAAATATGTAACCTAGAACGTGTCGTAAGTGTAAGACTTTTATTAGAGAAAGATTTATTCAAAAATATATTGTGATAATTAACATCCTAAGCCACAAAGTAGTGTGTATACTTATTTTAATTTTTATTTATTTACATACATAAGAAGAAAAATTATACAATTAAAAATGTCGCCAAACTGCACAGCAGTTTGTTATATTATGTTATTAATATGTATGTGTTATGTGTGCAGTGCTGCTACATCAACGGGTCGCCGCAGAACACGCTGGTGAGCGGCGCGGTGCAGCGCGCGGAGCGGGCCGCCGTCTTTGTAGCGGGGGACGATTTCAAGTCCGGACAGACTAAGCTAAAGTCCGTGCTCGTTGATTTCCTTGTCACAGCCGGTGAGTATGTCTGTACTAACATTATAAAGATTTGTATTTTCGTATGTATTGAAATAACTCAACTACTGGGCTGTAGCTAAAATTCTTTCACCAATAGCTACGTTATCTGAGTAATGCCTATATTTTTTATTATTTCGAATTTCACGCGGACAAAGTCGCGAACAGCTAGTGAGTTTTAAATAGGAATGTGCATGAATAAAACAATAGTACATAATTCCATTATGAGATGGAATTAGCCCCAAAAGGAACCTTTGTAATGTAGGAAAGGAAAATTTAACATTTTCGTTTTTTGTTCACATTTTTTTTAAATTTTACTGTCTTACAGGTCTGAAGCCAGTGTCCATTGTGAGTTACAACCACCTTGGTAATAACGACGGCAAGAATCTCTCCGCGCCCAAACAATTCCGCTCCAAAGAGGTACAAAAACTAACTAAAGATAATAAAATAATAAATATAGACGAGGCATAAAAAATTGTGAAAGGTAGACTTGTATAGATATATAATAAAACATTACACAAAATTATAATAAGCTCCATCTATTGTTATAAAACAAAGTAAACAGTATTACAAAATAAAATATAATAATTTGATTATTATTAATGACGTATAGGCAATAACACAAGCGTAGTGAGATTATGTGCAAAAATGTATATAAAGTGTTGTTGTGTTGCAATTATGTCTCCTCTATATTTTTTAATCTCTGGCTCAGAGTAATGTTTTCCACAGTTCTTGTAAATTGTCAGATAACAATCGAACGTATAAAATATGTGAAGAAAATATCGGATTTTGGTACTCTATCTGACGTCACTTCTAAGCTATCTGAGCCTCTATCAACCAGTTTTGGGACATGTCTTAAATATTTTATTTATTATCAGATAACGAAGAGCAACGTGGTAGACGACATGGTGGAGTCCAACAGCATCCTGTACAAGCCTGGAGAGAAACCTGACCACGTCGTCGTCATTAAATATGTGCCATATGTCGGTAAGTGACTAATATAGAATCTACAAAGAGATTAAAACCATATATAGAGTAGGCATAGTTGACACTTCACTTGAAATATTTTTACATGATCCACTAACTACCAATTAATTGGTCTATTAATTAGTGTCACTAAATAATATGTTTGTTATTTTATAACACTGTTAAGTTTATTTTATAATAAAAGATGGGACTTATTGGACTTATGGGATAGGTGACGTACTAATCTTGACAACTAACATAGTACCTTTCAAAGAAGTTACCGGTGAAAATGTAGACCCCTATGTCTAGTCTATATGTTTCTTAAATCTTGATCTTATGGCACTTCTTTAAACACTAATAGTTGCCAGTAAGCACAAAAATTCACAACTTCTTTCGAAATTATCCCACGTTGCAAACTATACAAATATCAGAACGTGTATTTTATTTCTGGAATTTGGAAATTATAAAAATGGTGACATCCACTCGTGCATTTGCCGCTCCCTCATTGGTCAAAATGTGACTCTTTCTAGATGACATTGTTAGTTCAAAAATGTACAAACTGCCTTGTAGGTCTGTTATCTTAACTACAACTACCTACACCTTGCTGGTCTGTCTTTAACTTTACTGTTACTTATATTTAGCATAGATTTAGTTCAGAGCTATTTTAAGTAATACAATAAAATTGTGTTTCTTTTCTGTTCTGTCTACAACTTTACTGTTTTTTATAGGCCTAGGTGTTGTTTAAAGCTATTTTAAGTAATCCATAAAAATTGTGTGGTATTTTGGTACAATAATAGGTGATTCAAAGCGCGCGATGGACGAGTACACGTCGGAGATCCTGCTGCACGGCACCAACACGCTGGCCGTCCACAACACATGCGAGGACTCGCTGCTGGCCGCGCCCCTCATCCTGGACCTGGCGCTGCTCGCCGAGCTGTTCAGCAGGGTGCAGCTGCGCAGGGACGACACGGAAGGCTCGTTTCCATATTAAGATATAAGAAAATAAAGAAAACATGACTGCTCCACGCGCCAATAAGCTGGCCGTACAACAACTCACTGCTACATGTCGGCTACCCCGTGAAAGTTCCGTCAAAATCAGCCAACACGGTTCCAGATTACCCGGAACAAACGCGGCCTGCGGACAGACAGACAAAAATATTTCTGGAATTTTTCTTTCAATTTTGCATACAGACAATCCAATTTTATTGTATGTATAGAATATTATGTCATTTTATTCCAACAGTAGCTGTTGCTTGCGATTTCGTTCGCTTGGAATTAAAAAATAATAACAAATATAGCCTATGTTACCCATATAAAAAAACATTTCTAACGATGAAAGATCTTTTCAAAAAGAATTTAAAATCGGCCATTTAGTTTTTGAGTTATTTCAATACATATAAAAATACAAATCTTTCCTCTTTATAATTAGTATAGATTGTAAGCCAGTTGTATGTATGTAGAATGGGAGGGTCTGCACGCGGTGCTGTCGCTGGTGTCGTACCTGCTGAAGGCGCCGCTGGTGGCGGCCGGCGCGCCCGTCGTCAACGCGCTCGCCAAGCAGCGCGCCGCCATCGAGAACATGCTGCGCGCCTGCCTCGCGCTGCGCCCCACGCACCACATGCAGCTCGAACACAAGGTACACGCACCTCACTCACTCACTCATTCACATAGTCACTAAGAACGCTTGCTTCGCCTTGCATTCCACACACCACACGCAGCTCGAATACAAGGTACACTACACCTCACCTCACTTACCCGTTCAATCACTGACTAACTAAGAGCGCCTTCTTCGCGCTGCATTTCACATCACATGCAGCTCCAACACAAGGTACGCACTACACCTCATCTCACTCACTCACTAACTCACTCGTTCAATCACTAACTCTCATTCACCTAGTCGCTGACTAAGAGCGCCTGCCTCGATCTGCATTCAACACACCACATGCAGCTCTAATACAATGTAACCACGCACTATACCTCACCTCACTCACTCAATCACTCATTTACATAGTGACTGATCAATAACCGGTTTGCCAGTACAATTGGGCATTGCCCAGGCTGAGCTCAGGCCAGCTAAACGATTGTATGGATTCAATGGTGCCAGTGGAGTGTTCAATTAAGCGCTATTGTCCAACTGTACTAGCCAAGTGTGAACCAGGCCTAACTCACCGCTTCAATAACTCATCAACTGAATGACAATAATGAACGAATGAGTTACATTACTGTTGTAGAAACTATTATTTAATCTGTATTTTTCTAAATGAGATTTATTAGTATAATAGTTATCATTTAATTAGAACAGATTTAATAATGAAAACTTTACAAGGTTCTAAGACAATAACTATTAAAAAAAAACAAAAATGTTATGTAAGATTTTAATTTCAGTTATTTATTCGTTCCAGGTGCAGTTCCTGCGCGCGGAGCTGCAGTCGGGCGCCATGTTCGCGGGCGCGCCGCCCAACAAGCGCCAAAAGCGCGCGCAAAATGGCGCACAATAACTCACTAAATACACTCAGAAACACAGATGTATTATAATCTATGTCATATTAAAAAAATATAAAAAAATAGAATCTATTATTAGATTAATCAGATCAGTTAAGAAATATGTATCTTTTTATTTAGCACAAACTTGCACATTTTTTTTATTTTTGTGTTTTACCGAAGCGCAAACGATATTGCACTTTGAGTCCAACAATTTTTTCTTACAATATTTCCTTTTATTGTGCTTTAGATGTTTAGTAAATCTCAGATTTAATCTCAATTTTTTTTTCATCAAATTTTTGTTTAAACAATAAAGGAATCTCTTTTCTTTTATAATATTCTTTTTCGAATGGTTTTTTTTATGAGTAAACAGTCAGTATTATGCTTATTTTATCGAATTGTAAGACAATTTTCTTTCAGTATAAAAACATAGTATTTTTCATTAACTATATTCTGTTAAATACTAATATAATTCCATTTTATATCATAAAAATACTATATCAATAGTTTTAGACCTAAATTATTTTGTGCACAACTTTACTAAAAATTATTTTCTTTATATTCGTTGTTTTTTTTTATAAATTTTATATCATAAAATGTAACTAAAGCTGTGTATTCATTGAATTTGAAGTATTTAGATTTGGATATATTTACAAACTATTAAATATCTTAAATATAGAAGATATTTGCATATAGAATTATTAATGATGTCCATTCCATTATATTTCCTTTATAATCTGTGGACTAAATGATATTTGTATTCTTAGTTTTAATTCAGAAAGTATTACATTTTTCAGTATTCTTTAAAATTGTTTAAATTATTTTGGCGTTTGCATTTGATGCTTTTATGTGATGTTATTTTTTTTAAATAGTTTTTTTCGATGTTCCTTTCGAGCGAGGCTCCGTTATTCAAATTTTCAATTTATTCAAAAGTGAATGTTAGATTTTAGTGATTTGCGTAAAATATAATTGCATTGTCAATGGTAAATGTGTGTTTTATGTAATAAATAAATCTTATATTAATAATTGGGTTTTAATTTTTTCTAAGGAATCCCAACGCCATATCAGATCCAAATGTAGACGAAAGTAATCACAGGAACAGTATACTTAGACATTTGGATTAAAATATATTTTTTTTAACAAAAAGACGAACACAAAAATAACTGACTTAAAATTAACATTACTTCCAAATTACTGTCAACAAAACACTAATTCAACGTGACGCGACTTATTCAGACCATTACTTAACTTAATCTCAAACTGCGCAATTTTGTCACTTGCGCGTACTTCGATGTGTAATTGTAAGATTTTGTAATCTTTTTCTTTCTCTTACAAAAGAACAGAGATGACAATTTCTTTACGATAGAAAAAATAAAAGACGTCATAGATTAATCATTGTTTATTTTTCAGTTAAGCATAGAATAGTGTCTCCAGTCTAATTTAACAATAAGTAGCGACCTCGCACCAAGCCATACAACTTTCATCCATACATCCATACAGCGATTAATATACAAAATAAACAATTACAGTGTAGAAAGTGTACAGTTTTAGTTTGGCTTTACTCGTGTTTGCATGCATCAGAACTTACAACATAAACTTAACTAGAATACATTTTGTTCTAAGTTGTGAAACTTAACGCGTAACAAATCTTAGAAATAAACGTTAGTTGTCATGCAGTTAGTGCTTTTTACATGGTTGCTTTTTGGTAAAAAATATATTATTTAATAGAGCGAACATTCTACGTAGACTTTATTACAAATAGAAGATACAATTTTTAATAAAATTTTCAAACAGTTAAATTCCTTTTAACGTTTTCATCAACATAAAATAAGATCAGTTACGCTATCGACGACATATTTCGTCGTAACTTGTGATGGAATGTTAACTAATTACAAACTAAAGTGTTAATACTAAATAGTACCAAAAGATTAAATTAAATACTTAACTAAGTAATAATCCCGCGCAGACTGAGAACACGCCTTAAATACTGATATTTTTCAATACTTATAACATGCGAACTCTAATTTAAAATAATACAAAAAATGAATACCTCACCGCCAACATAACATACGAAGAGTAAAGAATAAGTCACTGCCGTTTTAAACATAGCATATAGATGAACTTAAACATTTCTTTAAGTTTAAGTTACATAATCTAGAAGAATTTAAACAGAGAAAAAACTCCATACAACATTTATCAAACATTGTAATTGTTAAAATACTGAAATAAGTAAACCCCGTTATACTAGGGTTTTATTCCAACAACTTCCGGCTCGAAGGACCAACATCTTGCAGAACAACGCCGCGACACTCACTTATAATATCGGTGCAAAACGACTAATAGATACTACGCACTATTTAGAATAACTTGTGGACACTTGAGCTCCAAACACCATCAAAATACTTTACAAAGTCCCTTCCTACCTTTAACAATAAAGTTAATTCAAACCGATTTACAATACACGATTTTAAATATATTTCAGTGCTCAATATTTTATATAATTTATTTTATTATAGAATTCGTTGGCTACCTAAGTGTGGTGTACAGAAAGGACAACAGGACCTACGAAAGGAATAATATATTTACATTTAACGACATACAAAACGATAATGTAAGAAAAAAATCATTTTGTACTCCGTCAAATACACATGAAGATAAAGTGTGGCATGTAATACAAATATTATTAAATAAAACTTTTAACGTATATATCGATATATCGATATATCGATATCGATAAAAAGTTACATGCCACACTAGATTACATACAACACTAGCTTGTATCTAATTCTAGGGATTTCACTAGGTTTAGGAGAGGGTACAGTGGGTAGTAATTAACGTCCCTTTCTATTAATTCCTCGCGTGCCTATGACCATCTCACCCTCAATAAACTACATTTTTATTGCTTCAAAATTATAACAATTACAAATATCTTTATATTATTTATTGCGGCAACACTAAGCAGTCATATTTTTTTTAAAAACTCAAATGAACTTGGATAAATTATTTAAAATCAACAATAAAAATTTTAAAACTGCATGCATTTAAAAAAGTTTAAAGATATTTTTGAAAAATACTTTAGTGTTGCCGCAATAAATTTCCAATTCTAACTAGCAACACTTTTCCACAGAAAATATGAATAGACACTACAATAGTTTCAAAAATATTAAATCTTACAATATTTCTTGTATTTATCAATTTTTATATTAATATTATTTACAAAGAAGCACCAAAGTCGAGACTTTGGAAATTTTAAACGATCTAAGTTGCTACATAGGAAGTGTGCGTTGCAAATCGCAACTATTTTATACAAGATAGTGCTCTAAGATAGATAATATTCTCTTATGTAACTTGAATTGTATTTTATATGTTAATATCATTTATCCGCCTTTACCCCCATACCATATTTTAAAAAACGCACATTTAAAACGTTCATCACGCATTTTGAATGTTAAAATCTTTTAATACACAACGAATATTCTTAGAGCAAATAAATTATAGAAAAAAACACTAAATACGCCGTACAATTAGAAATTAATACAATAAATTATTGCAGTGTCTAACTCAACATTCTCTTAACGCATTATATTCTATTAATCGTTTTTTTTATTATAACCAAAGATTAGTTACCAAACGTCAAAAATGACATTTAATCTATGAAAATGAAGAAAAAGACAAAAGCTTCAAGTCAACAGTTTCCTAGTACAAAATATTAAAAAGAAGAATAAATAAAATCCACTTTTGCGCACTTTAAAGTTGCTCACACACTCGACAATGATTCCTGTTTGGCATTTCATAATCTGTTGCTTACACATTTAAAATCACATTTTCGCAGGTGATTTTGACAGCTGTCATTGCGACATATGCCAGAAAAGTGTCAATTTTATAGTTTTTATACCGAAAGCGCTTTTGGTATATATAATTGAGATTTAAATAAACTTATTTAATTGAATAAAATACTGATATAAACTGCGAATTTCGAATGAATTACATAACTGACAATTAATAGCAAAATACATTCAAATTCGAATATAATTTGGTTGTCTTAATCACGCTCACCTTACAAAAACTACAAAGTTGACAGTTGACAGTAGACAGTTGACAGTTTACAGCGAGGTGTCGCAGTAGGCGGGCGCCCCCGGCACGTCAGGCGGCGCGCGCGACAGCTGTCACAGCGGGGTGGCATGTGGCGAGTGTGGCGAGTGTGGCGAGTGTGGCGAGTGTGGCGAGTGTGGCGAGCGTGGTGCGCGTGGCGAGCGCGGCGTGCGTCAGTTGAGCGGCAGACAGAACATGTGCTGCAGCAGCGTGGGCTTGCGCGGCGGCAGCTCGGAGCACACTGAGTCGTAGTCGGACGACGACGACTCAGCGCTGTAACCGTAAGCCTGAAACGTACACAAAATAAGCATATTGTTAAGAAATATTAGGAAACGGAAATAATTCCAGACTAATGTCTACATCTATGTCAAATTTCATCGAGATCCATTCATTCCATTACCTGCGCGGGGTGGTAGGGGTGGTGGTGGGGGTGGGGGTGCAGGCGGCAGGCGTGCCGTCACACGCAGTCCTCCAGCGACATCAGCAGCGGGTTCACGTACTCGAAGCCCTCGAACTCAGACTGGTCGATGTCCGCTATCACCGTGCTGCTAACAACAATAATATTATTTTATTAACACATTCAAAGAAAATTCACTATTAATGTATTAAGGAGTATTCAGTTGTGGTGAATGTTAAATAAAATTAGTCAAATGATTACTTTATTAATGATGGAAGGGCGGGGCAGGAGGCGCAAGGGGCGGACTACAGTTTAATCACGCCCACTTTACTATTAATTAAAATTGTAGAATACTTCGCCTTAATAGCAAGAATACAGCATCGTTATTAGCTTAGTTACGTAATTATAATTATAACAAAGTTCATGTCAGGACCAAGTAAGATGTATATGAAATTCGATTGAGATTCCTGCGAGGTTCGAGCGAGGTGTGTTTGACGTTCGAGTGAAATGTATAAAAGTTTCGAGTGAGGTGTATGTGAGGTTCATGTGAGATGCTTGTGCGATTCCTGTGAGGCTTGTATGAGGTGCATGTGTGAGATTCGTGTGAGGGATGTAAGAGGTTCATATGAGGAGTGTAAAGTTCATGAGAGGCGTGTGTGAGGATCGAGTGAAGCGAGACGCATGTGTGAGGTTGGTGTGAGGTGCGTATACTGACTCATCATCTGGCGTGAGGTGCACGGGCTCGTCGGTGAACTCCGGCGGGAAGTTGGCGAGGTCGCGCTCGCCCTCCAGCCGCGGCTTGAACGGCGGCACCACTTGCTTCTGCTCCAACTTCACACACAAATAATATTCATTGTTAATCATTCCAATTATTTCAATGTATAACAAAAACGTAAGTTTCAAATCATGATAATCATCATGTTAAACAGACTTTCGGACGCGACTCCATCCGCGTGGAATTAAAAAAAGAAAAAGTAAATAGCCGGTGTATCCTTCCAGACAATCCTCTACATCTTTGCAAAATTTCATTGAGATCGGTTTAGGCTACAAATTCTAAAAAACATCTATGCACTAAACTTTCGTATTTATAACATAAGTAAGATAACTGCTTTATAAAGAGGAAAGTAGAATTATCCGTCGTCTGGTAGCTGCCATTCTAGGAGTTTCTAAGTTAAATCTGAATCATTATAGAAGCAGTAAGTGTGGTGCGGGGTAGTGCTCACCATCTCCCACTCGATGCTCTTGAAGAAGGGATGGTTGACGATGTCGAGGAAGGCGCCCTCGCCGCAGCCGAGCCGCTCCACAGGGTTCTTGTTGAGGAAGCCCTTCAGCACCGAGGCCGCCTTCACCGACAGCGAGCGCGGGATACGGATCGTCTTCTCTAAAATAACCTGAAAACCAACATATAGAATACTAGTTGTCGCACGTGACTCTGTTCTAGAGACAGATACTTTCACATTTATAATATTAGTAACAAGTACGATAAACAAATATTCTGGTCAATTCTGAAAAAAATGGCAAAAAATTCTCGATACCTAGGCCTATTTAGTCCTCTTGTGACCCTTTTTCATTCAGAAAAGTATAGAAAATGGAAAGTCGTTTAGAAAGAAACGTAAAAAGAAAAGAAAAGCCATTTTTCTAACATCCTCTTCTCTGTCTATTCTTCAGCTTACTGGTTTTTTCATCATCATTATTACCAGCTTTATGTACCTCTCCATTAAGCGATTTAGAGCCTGCCCTAAGTTAGACTGGTTGATAACATAATAAAAAAACTTCACTCACAGTGGCATAAAGACTATATTATAGAAGTCCCTGAAGCAGTGTAGGTTACCTGGAAGAGGTAGTCCTCTGTATTCTGGTCGGGGTTGTCGGCGGCCTGCGCGATGTCGAAGGGCGAGCGGCCGGCCAGCATCTCGTAGGTGAGCACGCCGAGCGCCCACCAGTCCACGGAGAAGCCGTACTCCTCGCCGCGCAGGATCTCCGGCGCTATGTAGTTGGGCGTGCCGCAGAACGTCGACGTCGTGTCGCCGGGCCGCACGCCCTCCTACACGTCGCACGTCACACATACGTCAAACGTACGTCACGCATACGTCATACGTACGTCATAAGTCACGCATACGTTATACGTACGTGACGTCATCAGCTTGTATGTCAATATGACGTTTTAAGTAAAATATTAACAGATTTCTTGTTCATTTACTAATATTTTTACCATGCCAAATAAACTCTAGGAATTTGGAATTCTGCTAGAAATGGTGTAAACTGTAAATTAAGCTAGGAATGGTTTACGATGTTGAATGGCGGGATTCGAACCCTTGATAATGAATTAGGAAAAGTGAAAAAAAGAAAACGATCCTAATAGTAAATCGGAAATCCGTATTAACTGCTAGGTTATTGACGCTTTTATTGTTGTGATACATATTGTCGCAACATGCAATTGCTTGCACAAGATATTTGTCTTAGCAGACGAAGAGTGGAAGGTAATGTACGCGGTTCCACCCTTTTCGTACAAGGAAGTGTATTTGGTGGGGAATGGTCTCATAAGTTGGAGAAATAATCTCTAAGCATCTTTTACTTTGTTAATTAAAGGTAGGCAATGGCAATTCCAATGGCTCATTTGTACACAATAATATTTTTTTTTTATAGATTTAAGTATTAATGTTATTGTGCAAGAGTACTGCAGAGACGCTGAGTTGTGTGTGTCGCTGACCTTGCACATGCCGTAGTCAGTGAGCTTGATGTGTCCCTCGTGGTCGAGCAGCACGTTGTCCAGCTTGAGGTCGCGGTAGATGACGCCGCGCTCGTGCAGGAAGTGCAGCGCGAGGGAGATCTCCGCCGCGTAGAAGCGCGCGTGCTCCTCCGGCAGCCGCCGCTGACGCTGCATGTGGAACCTGTTGGAACCAACTTGTTCAATCCTGCTCGAAGGACCATATTTGCTTATACGTCATTTTAATGAATAAAATGATTTTTTATTGTAAATTGATGGTTGTATTTGACTCGAAGGAGGAGTACTTGATTGTAATATATGTTTGATTTATTAGAAAAATTACTGTATAGATTTAAAAATATATTTTGATATGAATTTTTAACAGGTACCGTCTGTTGATGAAATTTAAGATGTAATTAAAGTAACAATGTGTTTCAAAGAGTATGAAGCATAACTTTCGCTCACGACTCCGTCTGCGTGGAATTAGAAAAACTAAAGTAAGTTGCCTATGTGTTCTAGACTATCCTCTACACCCATACCAAATTTCATCCAAATTCGTTCAGCCGTTTAGGTTACAAAGTCTAACATACATCCATCCAAACTTTCGCAATAATATTAGTATAAGTATACTCACATGAGATCTCCGCCGCGCACAAACTCGATAACAAAGAACAGCCTGCTTGGAGTTTGGAAGCAGGAGTGCAGGCCGACGAGGAAGGGATGGTTGGATGCGGTCTCAAACACGTGCTTCTCTGTCTGCACCCAGTCGATGTCCTCGTCGTCAGTCACCAGCGCCTTCTTTATCACCTTCATAGCGTACACTCGCTTCGTGCGCTTCAGTTCCACCATTAGCACCTGTAATTACACACAATGTGTAGGTAATCTATTTGACAGTATCCTTAACAATAATTTCCACTTCTTATGGTTTCCGAATCACCTTTAACTATTCGATAGTGCTTATGGTACGATAAATTCATAAAATACCCGAACTCAGTAACTTGAGTTTTACATCATTGAAACTGAGGTTAATTGATCACTAATGAAACACTAGGTAACGATAAAATAAACAAAAACTTCAGAAACCCAGCATTAACCAGCTACTTAAAAATTTAAGTTAATATTTTAAAGTGACATTTCCCTGTATTTGAGAGTAAACTGGAGTTCACATAAAATAACACCGTCTTGGTCATAGGCAGATATTAAATTGATCGATAGGTTATACCTTAGCATATGAGCCGCGTCCGATGACCCTAATGAGCTCGAAGTCTTCCAGCGAGTAGTGTCGCTGAGAGCCGGGCTCCAAGTCCTCGGCGCGCACGGGCGCTGGCGGCGCGGGAGGTGTCTCCGGTAAAGGCTCGGGCTCCGCTCGGGACCTGGAAAAGACCAGAATCATTAAGCAAGGCGAAATTGAGACTACATTATATCATAAGCAAGCGGTCATCTGAATCTGCCAAAATAGCGAAGCGACCCCTGTCCATAGACATCCGCAATTGTAGATGCGTTACCTACTCTTAAGCGAAGGAGGAGGAGACGCACATAAAGAGGATATTTCCCCTTCCTATGTGTCTCCACCGTCAAATCCACATTTCCTTTCCATCCTTTCCTTTTAAGAAAAGGATAGAAAGATGAAGAAACCTGACATTGCATGCTGGTCAGTGTGGTAAGTTGCGATAAGAGTGCAATCTAAATATCACTCACCGAACAGAAGACGCTCTGCCGAGTGTACTCTCTCCGTTCGCATCCTCTTTGACTTCGACTGGATCCACGTGTTCATTCGAGCAGGGCTTCTGCACCAGTTTGTGGCATTTCTTGTGCACAAGCAACTTGCACTGGATGCACTTGAAACCTTGGCGACCCAAGCCCCAGATACGATCCTGGCAGAACGCACAGAACGCCCGCTGGAACCGAATTAAAACTTTTTTTAATAAAAAATACAATAAACCCGACACTGTGTACATTACGAGTACGTATGTGGAATTACGAAACAAATGATTTCTTAGTTTGCAATCGGCGTTTGCCACTATGGTACATACAGAGTAAAAACCCACAAAAACGTGTAATGTCGAGGGGTCAGTTGTTAGATAACGATAGTTAAACAGAACAGCGACAAATATTACTCACTTTAGCAAACAAATAACCAAATGGTTATTTATTTAATTATGCTTCTACTTTGAATTAATTAATTTACAATTTCAAAATGTTATAATTATTAATATTACCGATTCGAGCTGTTTATACCACTCGTCATGATGAAACTCTAAAGTGGTGTAAATAAATGAAAACGTAGTAGGGAATGTAATTAATTTAAATTTAATTAAAAAAAGGTAACATGAACAAGTTTTATTTCATTTGTAAAATATTAAATATTATTCCGTGAAAACCGACTACCATAATAGTATCAAAACACATGTTTACGTTAATATTTAAACAAGTATTTCGACAATGGAAACCCACAACTACATTTACAAATATTGCAATACTGCCTTAGTAACAGTTAACTACTTACTCTATTAAACCGCTTAGCTTGGAAGATGTGGCCATTGACACGATATAGTTTCCGCCACCGACGTGCGCCTCTCCTGTATATGCTTCCTGTAATGATAACATAAAAAGGCCTTTTGTAATCGAAATAATTTAGAGTGGTATTAAAAGCTTTCAATTTATTAGTTCCATCATACTTTTATCAGACACAATTTAAATTATAAAGTATGACATAGAGCATAGAGGCATAGACTTAGACGTAGGTAAAAAAGGATCCTATGATGAAAAGGAACAATGTTTTCCACTGGGTCTGCCGGCATGCATAGAAAAAACATGGGAATAGTCATTTAGTGCGTCTAGTTTTTTCATACAATAACACACAAAAATGCCATTTCACTAAACTGTTTAATCCATACATATTCAGCGATATTTCTAATTCTAAAAATGTAAAAGACTACTAAGTCAAAGTCGATTTAACTTATATTAATATGAATTAAATTACTTGATCAAAATATCTAACAATGTAATTATTTTTAAACATTGTTAATCTAGCAACTCTCGTTTTTATTATTAATCTTTGTACAAGTAAGTGTAGGCAAAGAATTGGGTCACAGAGTATACAATGCGATCAGATCCGCCGCTGCGAACTGCGACAACACAATATATTTGCACAAAGTGTTAATTGCTCCTTTAAATTGCCACAGCGGTTTGTTATGACTGTTATAATTCCTTATGAATTTAATTAATTAATTCTTTAGGAAAACTGCTAATTTAATTAAAAAGTAGACCTTTTTTGTTTAATGTTTAAGTAATTAGGTCAAATACGTTTTATAGCATTCCGACTTTTTTATTAATTGTTTATTTTCTGCAGTATGCTGCTTAACTCCCTGTTTGTTTTAATTTTTTTTAAAAACAACTTGAGAAAACATTCACAACCATATTTATTGAATTTTATATATTAAATTTGGTTCTTTTCATTCACAGTAGATGATCGAACTGATCGATGACCGCACGATGCGAGAATTTCCACCAAAAAACAATCTTTAACTTCGTAAACGTCTGTGTATTTTTATCTTTGTACTACTTTACCTTAAATTATTATAAAAAGAACACATTCACACACGCTAACACACCTGTCACAAATTTGACGGCAACGAACGCACAAGACATTTGCTCGTAGGCACATTGTAGCCACTGATCGATCGCGCGGCACACGACTTATCGTTATAATCTTATCGTTAAGGCGAAATTTTTCAATCGTTTAAACGTAACATGATGAACGAATCGTGTTGATTAAATGATTGACTCCACCTTTACAACTGCGGTAATTAAGGAGTGTCTATTTCCTAACTTCAACAAAATTCTATTGTTAAAAATCGAAAAGATTCAAGAAACTAACCGTCAAATTTTAAACATCTTGTTTCGATTGCATTCATAAATTGATATAAAAGTTATCTATACTATTATAATAAAGGGTAAACATACACTTCTTTGTTGCCTAAGATGTCAGCAATCACAGTATATTTTCGAATAACTCTTTTTTTAATGAAAAGCCCTACACTTCCGTCACGCTTTAGGCTATATATTTCACGCCGTTAAACTTAGGGGTAAATATTTTGGATAAAACCCCTAATGTGAGAAAGAGACCATAAGTTGTTGCCAACATCAAGAAATCAAGATTGCTAAGGTTTGTCATGTCACGTCATTTTGACATTTGCTATTGATAATCTGACAAATGTAAACAATGAAATAAAATTTTCATAATTTTATGCGGATGAAGTCGCATGGGAACAGCTAGTGCAAATACAGAAATGTTTTAAAGAATTATCTTTGCATAAACGCATATATAAAATGGGTCAACACAAAATCCAATCCGCTACCAAAACATACATAAAAGTCAACACTTACGGTCCTCGCCCGCGCAGGGCATCCCCGGCGCCGCGGGAACATTCGGGAACACTGGAACAAAACAACTACGTTAACATGGAACATTGGAACAAATAACGCCGGAAGTATGCGGAACATTGGAACAAATAACGGAACATGACTTTAATAATATTAAGCATGGTAAACGTTGTGCAAACAATGGCGGGCGAGCGTCCGAGGATTTCTTATATTTGCTTTACCAAATTGCATTCTTTTGTTTTACGGAAATGTTAGAAAGCTCTATGCTAGTAGGAAATCTGCTGGAGTTAAACTCTCTAATATTTACTTTTCTACACATTTGTAGGCTTTTTAAAAATTAGACGCAAAAACATAATTGATGCCTGAAAAATTATTTTATAAACTAGATGATCAATCATTTCTGGATTGTTTATTTATGATGCTGTAAAATAAAAAAAATGCATCTTTAGAGCAGTTTAAACGAGGTATTTAATTCAAACGTCCGCTCCAGGCCCCGCTGGCGAGTGTTCATTAGTGCGGATGTCTCGGCCAATTACATATTTCAGCAAGTTGGGAACCAAGACTATTGTAAGGGACAGCAACTGAACGTAAATTGTTCGAATCATTGCTAGGGACTATTGCCTTATAACTCCGGGACTTTTAAGGTTAAATTGCGGCAAAGCGTTTGCTCTGTAGGAAAGATCTTCGGGTTTCTTTGAAATTAAAAAAAAAGAATCTCTTACTATTCCGTGCTGTGTTACATATAATGTAATCTATCATATACTAATATTGTAAAGAGGAGAGATTTTTGTATATATTTGATTTACGTAAAACACTACTGGGCCGATTTCATTCTTTCACCATTATAAAACTACGTTATCAGTGAGTAGCATAGGCTACGTTTTTTTATTATTTTTTGAATTTCACGCGGGCGAAGTCTTTTTTTGTAATGTTAACCAGTACATAGAAAATAAGGTTTTTATAAATTCTAAGGTTTTTATAATTCATATTTGTTGTGATAATAGTTGGCGTAAAGGTAAGTTGTTGTTGATAATAGTTGATGATCAGTTCAGTTGTCACAAAACCGCGGGTTTCTACTTCTTAGACGTTTATAAACATCGTTTAGTCATTTTCTAACGTGAAAATGAGAATGACAACAATATTATAACTGTTTTAACATTTCTCTTGTTCATAAATGGAAGTTGCGAAATAAATTGTACGGCGGTAATCTATTTTTAACTTAGTTTGCAGAAACATTCTGTTGTAACAATAGGGCTTCATGCGACAATGCAATATACATTTCTGAACAACTACACAATTGAATAAGGTTTAATCAATAACTTGCAGTGGAATCGTTTCAGGCAAACTTCTTACATTGGCACAAAACAGTCAATAAAAATGTCTCTTGTCAAACTGAGCAATAAAAATGGTTTAATATCGTATGGCTGAGCAATAAACTTTTTACACAATACTTTGATCATAAAACGATTGCTAGGATCAAATCGGTTTGATCTACTGCCAGCTATATGCTTTTTTATTTCAAAAACTTTATGACTGCGACTTTACAATTATCATGTATTAGCTTTCGCCTGCGACTCCGTCCGTGTGCAATTAAAACAAGGGAGTAGCCTATGTGTTCTTCCAGACTAACCTCTACATCTATACCAAAATTCATCGAAATCCGTTCAGCCGTTTAGACTACAAACTCTAACAAACATCCATCCATCTAAACTTTCGCATTTATAATATTAGTGTGATAAAAATGTTAATTTAAGTATTAAAAATAATATTTTTTACATTTCACATACTATTGATAAATTAACGAGTGAAACACATAGGCATAGTTAGTTGCAAATTATTCAAGTTTTACAATAGCTTTTTTTCATGTACAATAATAGTATTTTATTAAAAGTCGTGAGTACAAATGAAGTTACGGTGGCCGTTAAGAAACTTATTGCTAGTCGCTATAAAATAAAATTAGGTCCGTTAACTTAAGTACATTTCCAAGGCTTTAGAAACGGGTAATCGTAAGAAAGCAATTTAATACGTAACGAGAGAAGAGAAACATTTGGCCGTTGAATCGACACTGGCTCTGAAGATTGCCAAATGTAAACTGCTTTGTCAGAATGTTGAATACAGAACTTCTTATAATAACATCTAAAAAAGCTACTATTTACAGAATACTATTTTATGATAGTTTTCATATTAATAACACAAAAAACCTTACCAATATTATAAAAGCGAAAGTTTAAATGGATAGATGGATGTTTATTCGAGTTTGTAACCTAAACTGTGGAACGACCCTCGGTCAACTTCGACATAGATGTAGAGGATAGTCTGGAAGAACATAAAGACTACTTACTTTTTTATCTTTAGTTTCACGCGGACGGAGTCGCGGGCGACAGCTAGTATGTCGATAAAATATTCAAAAGTATGTCTAGTTTGGTATTTGTTTATTCAGAATATACATAAAACGTACGTGAATTTAAGAAGGCCTAAAAGGAGGGCGTTAGTGAGCTGTCATAAATTACTTATGCCGCCTGCTCAGATATCTGGTTAGTTTATGAACAATCGAATTGTTCAATTAACACTGTCAATTGAAACTGAACGTTTGTAAGGGAATTAAACTACCATAACTCAATTATAAAAGCTAGTACAAACATAACCGTTGTTAAAATTAGTTAATTAAATCGCATTTAACAGTTAAAATAGGCATTTTCGATGCTGGGATGTCTATGATTTGTTTTTACCGCTATCATTTAATACAGAACGCCTGTAAAGCTTTGCTTTACAATCCTTGCAACAAGTCGGGACGCTTGCTGCATGTAATTGGATTTGTGGGAGCCAGTTAACACTGCCGACTATTTACCTCGTTATGCTGTAAATTTATTTTACTTTGTCGCTTGACTTTGGAAGCATTTAATTTCAAGAGACTATAAATACAAAGGTTTTTTTACTACGAGCCTATGAAAATGGAAAAGACTAATAAAACAAGAATTTCAGCTTGAATAGGTACAATACCTCGTTTTCTAACATTTATTACGTATTGTTTGACGGAAGGGATATTCTTGGCCGGTCGCGGTTAAGACGGGGGGAAGGTTGGAGTTTGCGTTTGAGAATTGAAGGGGATGTTTTGTTTCAATACTATGCAATATTAATTTGATTTAACCCCTTGTAAAGCGGTTAAACTAAAACTTTCTAAGTACATATTGAATACGGTGGTTTCGAAACATCTAGGTAAGGGGAATGTCTATCGATTTAGGAAACGCGTCTACAAATTCAGATGTCTATAGGCAGCAGTTGGTTCGCTATTTAGGCGAATTGTGGCTGCTCTTGTCGTTTGTCACCTTGTACAAAAAATCTTTTACTACGAGTATAAGGTGGTTTCAGGAGACTAGTGAAGGTGGAGGATCAGCATAAAAATGCTTTTGAACCCAGTCCCTTACAAGCCCCTACGGGGATTGTCGTTAAGCCTTTACTCCAAAATTGAGGAAAATGGCGGCGAGGATAAGCACAAAGGTTTCAAATCATAATATAAATTTAATCGACCATTACGTTTTATGGCTTATTAGCAACGTTAGTAAATCAAGACTTTACAAGCCCCTATGGTATAATAATATAGATTTTATAATCAAGTTCTAATTCGCTTTTTTATCCGCTTTAAAATTTTAACTGCAATCGCTTTAAATACATACAAGAAACATTAAATATTAAAATTTCATACCTTAGTAGTTAACGTGTATGTAAATTTTAAACCACAATAAAATAATCAGTCTGTAAACAAATAAGTAAAATTAAAATCTTCTAAACAATTTCAATTTCCAATAAACAATGTTAATTACGTTTGACTGTATCAATAGTTCCCCTCTCAGTTGGACTAACAATGGAAATAACAACGATCCCTCCTTCCTTCTGTTACTGCATAAAAGTTTCTATGAAAGTAGGAAAGTTACAAAGTGAACCCGGACTTAAACTAATAACAAACGTTTCAGCAACTACCGTATTCTTTTCTTTGACAATTTTACATAATACATTTTTTTTGTTATTTTTTAAATAAAGACATTCAAACAAGTTACAGAGCGGACATTTAATAGTTATGTATAACTTTAATAATAATACTCACAGCACATATATCGAAAAAAAAGATATTTCATAAGTCTATACTTGTTACAAGGCAATAATTTCTTTAACAGTTTAGTTTGTTTGTCTCCTCTATTGATACATGTAATGTCTTTATTTTAAAAGTAAGACAATATTTTCTCGTGACTTTTCTTATACAAAGTCTTTCTACCAAATCGAAAAAGGACGTGTGCAAAGACCCATAAACTGAAATACCTTCCCTTCCTAGACGTATATCGTCCTAAAATACCATAATACCATTAAAGTACGATAAGTTTACAAATCCTTTTACAATTTATCTAAAAAGAAAACGTACAAATGACATTTGGAATAAATTTCGCTCGGCAATTTCTTCTAGTGTTTTCCAGCTTATTTCCGCGTCGCCGCCAAGGACAGTCGCAAGACAAATGGTCGCAACTGACATTCCTTTTTACTTATACGAGGAAAAGTAAAATATTGCCTTAGCTACACGGGCGTTGTAAAACAAAGTCCCTAAACGCAAACTAAAACTTCTTGTAAAAATGTATGCCGTGTTTCTAAAGTTTCCATTTTTATCATTACCTAGAGATTCGATAGTTTTAGTGACCTAAGTAACGGAGTAAAATGACGTAGTTCGGAAACGCATTCTATGAAGTTTTCGAAAAACACTAACGAATGGGTAAGTGTAGCTGAGAAACCGGCCATAAGTTTATCAATATACATACCAAAAATACTAATGAATGGTTAAACGTTGCTGGGAAACCGACCATAAGTCAAACATCTTATTGCTATAGTCACAAACGGATATAAAATATAAACAAAATTAGTATCACAAATTACGGGTTTTAACGAACAAAGTAATTTGTAGGAAATTTCGCCCTCTAAAGTTATTCCTTTGTAAACGAAAATTTACATTCTAAAGAGTTTATACAAAAATGCTTTTCGTTTAAATGCTTTAACTTTGCAAGCATTTGGGG